ATAACAAAGTCAGTTCCATGATAGAATTTGGTTGGATAATAACTGTTTATGCATTTATAAGAAATTTTGGCTTCTTCTCCGCTTCATAATGGACTATTAGGTGTATATCCTATATTGTCTATCATAGTTTCTTTTTTTTCTTATACAAGTGCGATATGTTAATTATTTCCTCGTACCATATTGAACTATGCAGAACGCTAAAGTAAATAAACTGACATCTTCACAGTCTTGGCAGCAATATAATGTGACACAAACTCAACCACTTAAAGAAAAGCACACTCTAGGGCTAGAAAAGTGATATTTCAGTTAAATGTGCATGTCCTGTAAATATACTTCTGTCATATAAAATTTTTCTGCAATCTACTTCGAAGCTTTACAGACCAGCTTATAACTTTGTCAGTTGCTTCATTTTTGTATCAGTAACCATAGAACCTCTTTAATATTGCTTATCCCGCAAATTTTGTCTATTGAATATATTAATTGCCGAAACACATAATTTGGGTTCTTTTTCTGAGACTAGTGGACAATCTATGTGTCTTTTATCTGCCTTCGCACCACAGCAGGCCTCATATGTCCTTTTGTCATATATTGTCGTATGGGATGGAACGTTATATTGACCTTTATTCATTTAGCTGTAGGGACAATTATACGACACATTTATGCCTGCTTGCTCTACACTAACAGACGATCAAAAACCCATTTGTGCGTTCAATGTGAAAGCTCCATCCAGCACAATAACACGCGCTCGCAACTAACACAAAGGTACGATTATTATTTGTATTCTATTATTCCATAGAGTTTAATGTTCAACCGATCTTTTTCCACTCTAATGGTTGAGCAACGAAATGACCATGGTTAACCATGGTAGAACCACGAATTTCCAATGGGACCCATTGCTCAACCATTGCTGAACCATGTCTAAAATTTCAAAATTTTTACTTTTTCATAAATTTGCTTGAGCAATATTGAAAGCTGAAATGTTCTGGATTATTTTAAACAATTTTGAAATTTCAGTTTTTTTATGATTTCAGTTTAAACCATGGTCAAACCATAGCCAATACATGGTTACCTGTTCATGGTTGAACCATGGCCTAACCATGCTCAACAAATGTGTTTCAACCATGTTTTTCCATGGTTAGACCATGTCATCTAATCATTTTACCAATTTAGGTCAAATCAGGGTTCAACCATATAAACATTTGAATTTTTGAAAATACAAATTTGAATTTTTACAGGAATTGCATAATGCTTGTAAACTTGGTTTGAAACATGGTTCAAACATGGTTCAACCATATCACTTGACCATGATCGAACCATGATTCAACCATGTTTTTTGGCCATGATCAAACCATGATTCAACCGTGTCTCTTGACCATGATCAAACCATGGTTCAAACATATCAACCAACCATGATCAAGCCATGGTTCACTTTTGCTTTTTTTCCTCTTTAAGATTCCTCTTGCTTCTGCACTTCATGAACTCCTGCTGTAAGCACTCTCAAAGAGAATCTCTCTTTGAGCTCATCAAAGTTCTGACACAGTAAATTTTAATGCAAAGCTTTGCTTTTCACAAGAAAGCTCACTTTGCTTGATATCATATTTTTATTTGTTGCTGATTAGAGCACTTCAAGGTTCCTGATCAATTTTTAAAAAAGGCATCTTATCTAGGATGAAAAGTGTGCGCAAAGTTTGGCAAAGTTCAGGCTTAACATGCAGTTCTTGAACTTGTTTTCATGAGACTGTATGCAAATACTAGCCTCTCACAATCTGTAGAATGGGGCTTCCAGGCAGGGCCGGTTCCATGGGGGTGTATGGGTGGGGGGAGTGATGTAACACAAGAATAGGCATTTGTGTTTTAGTCTGTAAAATTTGGGATTTTAGTCAGTAAAATTAGAATTTTGACGGGTAGATAAACTTTTTTGTAGAAAATTGTACTTCATGTAATTTTTAAAAACATTCAAAGATATTAAAAAGTTCTGGAGTTCAGTTTTTCCGTTGATCCAGAAGAGAATTTCCAGGAACATCACAGAAGAAGATTAATCCCAAGATATTTGACAAAACCAGAGACAATTTTAGTCTGGGAGATGCATTTCTAGCCAACCTAGAAGGCTTAATTTCAAAAAATTTCTTTCACGTCGGACCCAACCATGTCACTGAACTTGATTCTTAACCCCACAGGCTCAGTTTTGTGGCCCCATCCCTCAAACTGCGAAGCACAATGCACCAGTCGCATTAACAGAGTGTAATAATGCCAAAATGTATTCGGTAGATAAACACTTGCACCCTCCCAAAAAAATTTCATGAAGCCAGGCCTGCTTCCAGGCCATCATAATCATGCATTGAAGTGCATAAAGCTCGCAAGTCACTTCCGGATACAATCTTTCATATTGTTTCTGCTTGTGTTCTAATTTTTACAGAGAATTGAAGTATGAACTTGTAAGGGGTTTCACAACAATAATCGTTCCAGGTGAAACTTTACCCCCTTAGCTTTCAATCACGGTCAAATTCCTAATGAAAGTTTTCTAATGTCATAATAAAATCAATGTCGTGACCAAAAACATTATGAAAATTTTCAAGTAGACTAAAATTTTTGCTCTTAATGCGAATCTGGAATAAAAGATTTTGTACAAAAGCATTTAAAAAAAAATTTTATCAAAAAAAGTTTAAGTTGAATTGGTGTATACCCTGATAGTAGAAGGGGCGTGGTCGTTAAAAATTTAGAAAGACAACGCCCATAAAGTCCAATTTTCTAAATTTTCAAAATTCTTTAAATAAGCTCTGGTGCGAGGAGAGTTTAAACTTAAGCCGTTCGTTGCGAAAAGTCTAGTTTATCCGTACTCGTAATGAACGGGAAGTCTTTCCTTATCAAAAGTTGTACGGCACCGTGTAAACGCGATCTATCCGTATATATCTTTTTATCGGGATCAAACGTTATCCATCATCAAATTGCTCCACAAAAACGTTCTTATTTCGAAATCTTGCATCACTCGCAACAATACTTTCGGTCAGAAAAAGGGTCCCAAGTCCTCTAGATCTGTCCGGGCCTAACATTAAATACGCTATGTTACCTAACAGTTCTTTACGATGAAGCTTTCAACATAATCAACAAACTTCCCAACTGCACAAACCTTTTAAAAAATTATCTTGTTTTTGCTGCGTACATGAATCGCAAAGGTGAACGCACTGATAGATGATCGAACTGCAATCCAAACGGCCATCTTGTGTTTGAAAAAGCGCGCTCAAAAATGGCAGTTGCTTGTTGGTTGAGCCATGGTTTAGCGATGGTCAAACCATGATTGTATGCATAAGAAAATTTAAATCCAAAGGAAATAAATGTTTTCTTATTTGAAAGCAAGGAAATATGTCTACAAAACAAAGCTAATCTTGGAATACCCAACGGGGGCAGGGGGGCTGCTAAAAATGTCAAATATTAAGTAATAAACTACCAGGAAAGCCTCTTTTAAAAGGTTTTAGCCCCCACTTCTTTGAAACCCCCACCGTCTCGAAGCTCCCTGGTGCCTGCTTAATAATGAAACATATAACCATGCAAAAAATTACTTATAGGCAAAAGTTTCTTAGTAGGAAAGGAAGAAAATACCAGGATTTTAAACAGTGGAGATTTCTTGTAGGGACATAGGGGTGGAGCCCATCTTTCTTGTTAGAAATTTTTTTGACTTTGAAGGGGGCAGGGGGCTTGATCTTGCTTTTGAATTTGAATTTATTTTAAAAATTCTTTGCCATTTTAAGAAATGTCAATTAATAGATTGACCATGGTTCAGCAATGGGTCAGCAATGGTCAGGCCAAATTTTCATAAAACATCTCAAATTCAAAGAAAATAATTTTTCTATGGCTTAAAAACAAGGAAATATGTCCACAAACAAATATAGTAGAAATCAAACTATTTAATTTAAAATTTCTTTGCTATTTTAAGAAATGTCAATTAATAGATTGACCATGGTTCAGCAATGGGTCAGCAATGGTCAGGCCAAATTTTCATAAAACATCTCAAATTCAAAGAAAATAATTTTTCTATGGCTTAAGAACAAGGAAATATGTCCACAAAACAAATATAGTAGAAATCAAACTATTTATTTTAAAAATTCTTTGCCATTTTAAGAAATGTCAATTAAAAAATGGACCATGGTTCAGCAATGGGTCAGCAATGGTCAGGCCAAATTTTCATAAAACATCTCAAATTCAAAGAAAATAATTTTTCTATGGCTTAAAAACAAGGAAATATGTCCACAAAACAAATATAGTAGAAATCAAACTATTTAATCTAAAAATTCTTTGCCATTTTAAGAAATGTCAATTAATAAATGGACCATGGTTCAGCAATGGGTCAGCAATGGTCAGGCCAGATTTTCATAAAACATCTCAAATTCAAAGAAAATAATTTTTCTATGGCTTAAAAACAAGGAAATGTGTCCACAAAACAAAACTAGTGGATATCAAGCTGTTTAATTTAGAAGTTCTTTGCCATTTTATGAATATCAGTTGATAAATGGACCATGGTTTAGCAATGGTTAGACCATGTTTATGTAGAACTCTTGCCATTCAGAATAAATGAAGGAAATTAATAGTGAGACAAGGAAAATATAATCTTTCAATTGGAAGGTATCAGAAACCAAGCACATAAACCCCCCCTATTGACTGAGTTGTGTCTTGAGACATGGACCATGGTCTTGACATGGTCAGACATGGTTACATGGAAAATGATAAAAAATACAGATAACTGTTACTTTTTCTTATATTTCTATTGAGGATAACTTTTTAGACAGTTGAGGATTCATATTTTCCAAGAACCAACAAATTAAAATCATTGCAGGCAAAATCTTCTTACATTGCTCAACCATGGTCACTAACCATGGTCAGCACTTGTCAGGATCACGGCTCAACCATGGTATGACCATTGCAAACTATGGTTGGGCCATGAACCATGGTTGGGTTTTCGCAGGGGTAGGGGCATCGACAAATAACTTTCTAGAGGCCATTAGTTTTCCAACTATATTTTACAAAAAGTGTTATATGCATTCATAAAACAGGGGGATAATAGGAAGATTAAAAGGGGCTAGCTAATTGACATTTTATCTAATTTTCTTTTTTTGTTCGGTTGTCAGTGCATTTCTATGATGAAAATGATACTTTGCAAATGCCTAACGCAAATACACTCTTCCAACTCATACATTGCATCACATTACCACTAACCATTTCATCAAAAGTAATTCAGATCAAAACATATCATGAAAGTCAGTAAAAATTTACTGGTCGAAACATGTCACAGAAGTTGTTATTGAATTCCCTAAAAAGTGCATCGATGTAAGGAAGAAGTATTTGAGCTTTTGACGAAATATAACATGAGAGGGTGAATTTTTTGTATCCATAGGAATTTCATTCCAGAATTTAGCTACACAGTAACGCACTGATTTCTGTGTCAGGAAAATATCATTTTTAGTGACTTGCCGTGTACCATATTAATGCCCAGATTTCACTTATTGAAAGAAGGAATGAAAACAAGAAGGAGAGATCTATGCAGTCATATACAAAGCTAAGCATTTTCAACTGAAAACGATCCTTCTCTTGCAACTTCTGAGTTAAATATCGAAGTAGCATATCAAAGGAAACGAATTCAACCAGAATCAATAGCCCCAGAGCATTTTTAGTTGTTAAAATTTTATGTCATATTATTATTTTTTCTGAAAAACCTCAGGGTATTCACTGAATACCTGGGCGCTAGGCCATTGCTCTTACTTTCAGTGTGGACTGAAGAAGAAACTGCCCTACTTTAAAAGTAATGTAGCGCTACAAAACTGCAAAGCTTGCAGGTGGACAGGATTGGGAAACTGTGAGGACCAAGTATGAGAACATATCGTCAGAATGTTTTGTAATAATTCTTCAACACAGTAGTTTGTCAACTTGATGTTCTGATTTCTGGTCCCAAAAAGCCACATATTACATATTCAAACTAATCAAAAAATTTTCTGTCTCACCTTCAACAAATAACATAGACAGATCTGATCTGGACCAGATCCACCAATTTATATGGGATCCGGTCCAGATCGGATCCATACGGGATCTCCTCTGAAAGCAATTCCAAAAGTAATCGGATAGCGGATCCAAAAGTAAACAGATTCGCCAGTTGCGGTGTAAATGCAAGGCTTATCTGTACTCTTTTGGATCAGATCCAGATCGGATCCACTCTCATGTAAATGGGGTCTAATTTGTATGTCAGTTTAGGAGATCTTTAGAAATTTCTCAAGACTGGTATGTTTTTCCCTATATTTGAAAATAACATCAACACAGGATCGAGACTGAAAACGTTTGTTTCTTGCATTCACAAGTTTACTTAGAAAATTTGAGACTGCCCACCAGAAATCATAAATTTTTAGTTACTTTTTCAGTTGATTATGTTAAATGTTATTGTCTAGAGATTTTGTTTGGCCAATATGCAAAAGCACACAGATATGTGCCTGGGCAGTATATTCAAAGTTTCCAGTCTGGCGCATGAAGATAAGGTTTTTTGCATGTAAAAAATATTCTCAACAAACCGCAAAGATTCCAAGAATAAAGAACCTTAAAACCAATAATTGTGTTATTATCATGAATTATTTTCATTATTTTTAGATGTGTAGGGGTTTCAGAGAATCAGGCTACGGATATTGATGTCTATCATTGCCCTTTGTGTGAACAGGTCCATGGTACATCCACTTGTAAGTTATCTGCATTTATTTGGATACAGAACATGGAAAATAAATATTACATAGTACTCATTTATCATTTTCATTTTATTATAATTTCAATTTGAATGGGATAACTAAAAGATTGAATATCTCTACATTAAACAAGTAGTGGTGTTTTAAAATGGCTGTTTATCTTTAATTGAGTGATGTTGAGGAAGGTGTTTCATTCTAGAGCTAGATGCACACTATAAATCAAAGCTAATGTCCTAATATATTGTAGTAAAAAGAAGAAGATCAACACAGAGGCGAAACTACAAAGAGCTTAATAACGGGATTAAGGTATGAGATGATATAAAATTTGCCAAAACTTAGAGATCAATATGTTGCACTTAGATCGATTCGGTTTTGCTAATTACATTAAAAGTGATTTTTGTGGAAATGACCTTTTTCCACCTCCAGTAATAATTTATTCAAAATTTTCCTGTTTTTAATTGTCTTCACATTTTTTTAGCCAATATTTGCTGGGACAATAGATTTCATGAAACTACTAAAGACAAGGAAGTTTGATGGGTAATATTATTATTATTATCTTTATTATTATTATTAAAAAACGAATGTTTTTATAGATACATCATGCCAGAAAAAAATTTCTGTTATCAATGTGTTACCTGACTTGGAAAGGGGAAAAAATATCAAGATCTCCAGAGATGGCTTCAGAGCTCACCCATCATTTGGAATGATCGTTCCTTAACAATAACATATTGTTAAATATATTATTGTCCCCTATAGATTGAATAGTATAAAACTTTTCTGTCAGGCATAATTTACAAAAGTTACTTTTACCTTTGCTTGTTATTTTCTTTTTTAAGATCTTCTTCATATACTTCTTCATACCATTTTATTGCGTAAGGCGTGCTGAAATATAAAAGCAAAGCTGCTTGTGTATCAGTTGTCTAAATACTTATCTTCTACTGCAATCAATCAACATATACCGAGAAAAAAAACGCCTGCCATCTCATAATTCATCAACTGCCTACATCAACAATCTCAAAGCTGCAGCAAATTTCAAAAAGCTTGAAGATGACAAACAGTGCAAGTTCTATACGTACTAAAAAGTTACTGAGAGTTACATTGGAAAAGAAGGGAAGCCGGTTTAATACAATAGAACAACCCGTGTTGATGATTGTAAACCTTTTCGGGAGCTTGTAGAACTCATCAAGGAGAAAAGTGATAGATACCTGAAACACAGATCATACGTAGATAACTATGCAACTGTCTTTCCCTTGATGAAGGAACCATATGGAGGGAAGTATATCGAATTGGACTTTTCACAGAGCCTAGCCCTGAGACCAAAACATGAAGTCCAATCAGCCCATTTTTTTGGAAAACAATTCACATTTCACTGTGCAATTGCAGAGCCATTTGATAGGCGATATCACTTTCATTTAAGCAATGATACAAAACACGATATAGTGTTTTTGTTGATCAAGTGTTAAGATACCTTATAACAGGTTATGGAATCTCAAATGAAGATCTGTGGATTCAGAGTGACAACGCTTCTTTTCAGTATAAGAACAAAAACTCTTTTGGACTTATACATAAATTGGCTAATGAATTTAATATCCGCATAATACTCACTTATGGTGCTGCAGGACATGGAAAGGGAGCAATCGATGCTATGTCTAGCTTTGGCGTTAAAAACATATCAAGGATGGACATTGTTACTCATGATCAGTCTTCTTTAACAATAGTGATACCATTGCTGATTATTTGGCAAAGAAAAATCCTCAGTTTTTCTACGGTCATATTCCGGCCGCAAATATTTTCACGCAGCGTCAGCTGGACAACGATCTAATCGAGATTCAAAGCTGCATGAAACAGCACTTGATAATCTTTAGTACATATAAGGAAATCCTTTGTAAAGAATATCTCTGTGATTGCACTCACTGCCTTCAGTTCGATTTTAAAACTTGTTTACAGGAAGAATTTGAGAACGGAGATGAAGACGACTTTGGCAATCTGCTTCATGATGGCTAAGATGATGGGGATGTTTGCAAAAACGAACAAATTTTTCGATTTTGTTACTGTCCCATCGTTTGTGTCATTATTTTCAGGAAATACAGTAGAACCACTCTTTTTCATGAAAGTTACAGAGAGAGATGTTGCAGATAAAGATCTTTCTGATCCCTACGGACACTCTATTTCAAAAGGAGAGCGTTATTTTGAAGGTTTTTATCTTAAGCTGGTTCGATCAAAAAATATCAACTTTAAAAAGTCTAAAGTTCTCCCAACTGTAGTTGTAATCGCATCCGATGAAATCTACCATACCTATGTTGCAATAGAAGAGAATTTACAATTGGACACTCATCTTTATATAATGTGTTAATTAGAAAAGGAAGTTGTTGAAAAGTTACTGCATCATGTTCATTTGTTGAGGTTTTTCATGAAAAATTTTGCTTTGTAAGGGCAGTATAATACTTATTTTTTCATTGCCTTTGCGATAGTCTTAGTTGATTCCCAGTATTTATAAGCTGTTTTACTTCATTTTTTAATCCTACTTTCCTCATGCAAATCAATCTTTCCAACGTGCTTTATATTGGGATCTTAGCAGAGTTATTCAAAAGTTTGTTAGTATATTCATAGGTCAAGTTTTTCAATTTATAGTAACACTATCTCCATTGAATTGGAATCTAATAGTCCTGGGCTGCTCATGAAATTTAATTTAAACTTTTTAATCTTGTTTCTATTCATTCTTTTTCAAACGCTTACGTAAAAATAAGCCACCCACTTCATATTATCCAAATAGAAAATGCAATTTTTTTGGAGTAATTCTTTCCATTTTGCTCAAAACATTCATTTTGCTGATTTTTATACGATTTAAAGGGTGTTCAGCCACTTCATGGCTTGTTCTTAGGGTGTTCCTGGGTTGTTCAGCCTGTTCTTTGAGTGTTCAGTCTTTTAGAAACAATGCTTTAAACACTTGGATAAGAAGTCATATTTTGATCTTTTTGAAGGATTCCTCCTGGTTCTAAGCTTTTTCTTTGAACTGCAGTTTCATATGGTGTTCAAATGAATCTCAATCTCTCAGCATTCTAATGTACTAATGGGTGGATCCTTTGTTGGGAATTTACTGTTTTTTTAAATGTGGAATAATTTGAACTCTTCTACGAGGGTCACTCCAAAATTATTGAGATATTCAGTAACCGCTTGAGATATCAGTTTGAAATTTTTTTGGTGGCTTGTACCATCTATTTCACCCATGTTTTGTAATTTTTGTTAATTTCAAGCGCGGGAAAAAAATAAAAAAGGGTTTTGAATTTCAGCACCTTAGATGTTCTTATTTGTTAAAAATGGAGCTTGAAAGACGTGATTTTCGCGCAATGATTTATTATGATTTTAAAAGGGGGCTGAAACAAGAAGAGTGCCTAGCTCAACTTCTGCAGACATTTGGAGATAATGCACCTTCAAGGGCAACAGTTTTTCGATGGTTTGCCGAATTTAAGAGAGGGAGGGAGAGCCTTAAAGATGAGACCCACCCAGGGAGGCCCCCAACTGCTGTTGTGCCAGAATCAGTTGCCGCTGTGGAGAAGATGCTAAGGCAAGATGGTCGGATGACTTATTCTATGATGCAGGATAGCGTAAAGATTGGATCAGCAGCATTGCACACAATTTTGCATGAAAACTTGCAAGTTCGGAAAGTGGCTGCCCGCTGGGTGCCACATTGCTTGTCAGATAAGCAAAAAGAGCAGCGCGTCAATTGGTGCCAGTTTATGCTGCAAAAATTTAATGAAGGGAAGTCGAAACGGGTTTATGACATTGTGACAGGCGATGAAAGTTGGGTTTACCAATTTGACCCGGAGACAAAGCGCCAATCCTCAATTTGGATCTTTCCAGGTGAAAACCCGCCGCAAAAAATTTCGGCGATCCAGAAGCGTCGGCAAAAGGATGGTTGCGTCATTTTTCTCAAAGATGGGTCATGTCGCAACCATTCAAGTTGAAGACCGTCGTACAGTGAACGCGGATTGGTATGTTAACCATTGTATACCACAGGTTCTAGAAATTTGGCGAAATAAACGTCCAAGGACCGGCTTAAGAGGTCTACTTTGGCACCATGACAACGCTTCCGCTCACACAGCTGCTTTGACCATCGACTTTCTGTCCGAAAATTCAGTTCAGTTGATGACCCACCCGCCTTATTCACCTGATTTGGCACCTTGTGACTTCTTTCTCTTTCCAGCGGTGAAAGAAAAAATTCGCGGAACCAAGTTTGATAGCGCTGATGATGCAGTTAGTGCCTTCAACGAGGCTGTTTCTGACCTGGCTGCAGAAAAATGGGCCCATTGTTTTGATATGTGGTTTTATCGTATGAGACTTTGTGTGGAAGCCAGTGGAGAGTATTATGAGAAACTGTGAAAATTTGAGCACGATGCCTCTTGCGGTTTTTGAATATCTCAATAATTTTGGAGTGACCCTCGTATTTGTACATAATTAAAGTGTATTATAGTGGTTTCCTGGAAGTGCAAAGTTTTTTTTGAAATTGTTTTTGTTTACATTTTTTGTTTGTGTATAGTCTTGATATGATACCCAAATGTGAAATTTATCAGTTTTCATCTTCGAATTGAAAAAAATGAAAGCAAGGTCAAAACAGAACCATTTTGATCCATTCTCATATGAAAATGAAGGGTTTGAAGTGTCTGAATATGTTTTGCTTATATTTTCCATGCCATCTTGTACTTTGATTTTTGCATATGTATTATTGATTTGTTGTGCATATTTTTTACTAAATTATTTTGTCAGTCCTAGCAATAATATTGTTGTCTTGGAGAGTGGGTCCTTGTTAAGCAGCAGATACTTGGAAGCCAATGGTTTCAGAGAACCAATTTTGGTAAAGCATGCAGAAGGCCTTGGTTTGAAATTACCTCCAAGCAACTTTACTGTTTTTGATGTTGAACAGCATGTTGGTAAGAGAATATTACTTTGTGTTCTGTTTTCTTGCAATGATATTTCACAAGTTTCTGTATTATATGTAGCCTACAATAAAAATGATACTAATGATATACATATTTTTATCATAATGAAACAATAATATGATACTATTCTTGTTGTGTGTAGTTGTGCTGCAGTACGGCTTATTGGCTTTGGAATATTACAGCCTGAATCATTGCCTGCGACCCGAAACGTTGCATTGTGTTCAGTAATAAGCTATAACAAAAGAACCTTTTCAATACTTTTGTTACATGCTTTTCAGGTGTTAAGAACTCTTTTTGTTAATCTTCACATTGTTCAGTTTTATGTTGGATGCTCCTATAAAATTGTGTTCACTGCTTTCACGAATAACCAGCTGTTTTACTGGGATCTCAACTTCTAAACACAAAACGGATCACTGGTCTATTTGCTCCTTTTGCCGACCAATAAATGGATACAATAAATCTAATGATATATTTCATTCATATGAGCATATTTGAGCATATTGAATGATATTCACCAGGTTCTAAGTTGCTCTTTTTCCTTCTAAAAGGCTCATTGCAAGAGATCCATGTCATTGATGTGGCAAGGCAGGTGAGTAAAGATATTTGTCAGCTATTTCTCTTTTCTTATAGAAAGCTCTCATCATTTTCCATTTTCCGTTAGCTTATTGAATAATTTTTGTTCTTCAGGAGGACATGAAGATGAAAATGAAAGAATGGACAGAATATTACAATTCTCCAATTAGAACAAAAGTTCTAAATGTCATTAGCTTGGAATTTTCCAAAACAAGGTATGTCTGTTCAGATCTGTATGTCTGCTCAGAACAATAGAAATATTTTCAAGGGAGAGGATGCTCAGTCAAGTTTAATAGCTGTATGAATTTTTTCACTTAAGAAAGTTTTTTTTAGGCTTTCATCCTTGGTTCTACCGCCCATTGTTGTCCAAGAAATATCATGGGTGGAGAATATCTGGCCAAAAGACATGACTGAGGACAGGTAAATGATACCATTTGTGCTCTTTTGTAAAACTCAATTTACTCTTTGTTCTTGATAGATGTTTTTATTGTGAAGAAAGACTCAATTTAAAAGATTCAGCATTATTTAACTTTGTACTTGGTTCTTTTCATCATCAAATTAAGCAGTGTTCAAAGTCAGCTTGTAAGCATCATCTAGTAACAAAGCCCATTATACATAAAGTTTTCATGATGAATAACTTTTAAGTTAGAAAACAGTCATGGGGAGTGAACAATATAGTTTCCATTTCTTTGCTGCTGTGTTAGTGGGAGAGAGATACACTTTAGAAATGAGGCAATTTTCCTAGTTTTTGAAGTCCATTATTCCTTCTTCTTTATCAAATTATCAAGTAAATTATATATAAGTAGTTTTTATATAAGTAGTTGTTATTAAATATGTTGTCTCTATTCTATGCATTATTTATAATGAAATAACAGTGATGACTTATTCTGTGTTTTAGTCCACATTCAATGCCCTATGTTCAGAAATATTGCTTGATGGGTGTGAAAGACTGTTACACAGATTTCCATGTTGACTTTGGGGGCACTTCAGTGTGGTACCATGTTTTTCGGGTAATCATTTTCTTATATTTCATAACTTCCCATCTATGCCAGGCCTGACTCTGTGTGAAATTAATATTTTGATATCTGTGTATTATCAACCATCAACTTTGTGTATAATTTTATCAGCCATTTTTGCTGTGTACCAATGGTTTTTGTAGAAAGCCTTTCTTTTTCAGGGCGAAAAAGTGTTTTATCTTATTGAACCTACTGATGAAAATATAGCAAAATATGAGAACTGGGTCTCATCCTCAAATCAGAGTCAAGTATTTTTTGGTGACAGGGTCAGCAAATGTGTGAGATGCTCAGTAAAACAAGGAGAGACTCTTTTCATTCCTACAGGTTAGCCTCTTTGAATTCATCATTATTGAATTCATCAGCTTCATCAGGAGGATTTGATTTATTTTAAAATTCTATTTCACTGCATTGGATTCTCTTTGTCGTGTTGCTTGTTCCTGACCACTCATTGCAAGTTTCACAGAACCCAGCAGACAGCATATCCCGTGGATTGTCTTATCTGATGATGAGCCTTTGGTCTTTGTTTTGCAAGCATTGTATTGATTGGCCTGTTTTGTGCAATGGCATGGTTAAAAAATTCCATATCAGGTGCACAGAAAACCAATCTGGATAGCAACTTTCAAGATGAAACCTAAGGGAAATTATTTGTGAGGGCCACTGTATTAGCTTACCCCAAGATGCTAGGTTCCCTTATTTGCGTTTATTTGTATGTGTATGTCCTTTTTATTTTTTTCAGGCTGGATACATGCTGTTATGACACCCACAGACGCGCTTGTCTTTGGTGGTAACTTTTTGCATTCTGCAAATATTGGTCTGCAGCTGAAGTAAGTGTAACAGAGTAGTACTATTTTTTATATCTTTTGGGCATCAGCATTGGGCCAATTTTTTTCATGAAATAAAAACGTTACATTAAAGGTAGTAAAAGTAAGTGTAGCCCAGTTTGTACCATCCACATTTTATTTGAATTCCATGAAAGCTCTATAAAGCTCTTGGGTACTATACTACATGTTCTTATGTAATTTTTGTTATAAAAGTATCAACAGATGTTCTCCAAAAACTTTCCTAGCAGCTTAGAAAGTTTAAGAAAATATGTCAGTTAAAGTGCCTTCATCTTCATCAGAATCACCAGGATCAATTGCTAACCATGGAACATCTAAACAAATTTTGTCCTCTTGGAAACCTTCAAAATGATCAACATCATTATCTCCTTGACTTCTCAGGCGCACGAATAGATCTTATCATCATCACACCCTTCAAGATATCCACTCAATGCCCATTATTTCTTGTTTGATATAAGTGGCTAAATTTTTGCTTGAGAAGGAGGGGCTTAATAGAGAGTGGTTTGTAGGGAAAGGGGACTAAAGAGAGCTTCACAGTAAATGTGAAGTAAATTGCTCAGACAAAGAGACTGTAAGATTTTTTTACATGGATACGGGATGCTTTTTAGTCTCTTAATCACTTAGCAATCAACATTTAAATTATTCCTGCTCATAAAAGGTTATAGGTTTATTCTTCATTTTTTTTAAAGGGACGTTGGCTTTTATTCAACAACAGTTGGATATCATACTTACTTTATGTATTTGTTTCTACCTAGCTTCTGAAGGTAGTTTTTAGGACATCGAAAAGCTTATGCTTATCGAGCAGTGTCCTGGTCCTTCCTCTCGATGTGACCACACCTCATAATTCCTACCCTGGCGACCCTCCTCACTCTGGGTGAAAGTTTGGTCATGCCAGGCACTCGAACCACGGATCCTTGGGTCTGTAGTCAGCGCCTCTAACAACTGAGCCATCCTCGCACCTTATTTCAATCTAAAACCAATTTTATTTCTGTAGAATATACGATCTGGAGCATCATTTGAACACACCAATCAAGTTTCTGTTTCCAAACTATGAGACAACTTGTTGGTATGCAGCAAGAGCCATGTTGAGAAAACTTAAAGGTATTTTAATTTGTATATAATTTGATGAATGCATTAAATAGATTAAAGCGATATGCCTTCTTTAAAGAAATAAGACATAAAAAACCTATATTTCTGAGTCATTGAACCCCTAAAATTGTTTTTTTCACACTTAGATATTCACAAAGAAGGAATAAAGATTCCCAATTTCTTATACAAAGGTATCGAAACGCTTCTGAGATACCTTCGAAGCTGGACTTTGAATAAAGAGGTTTGAGATTTTCTTTCTTATAGATAGATTTCAGATCTTTTTCTTTCTCTACTACCTTGAGTTCTTTAAGCACCTTAAAGTGACGCAATATTGAGAAGAGCGTGAAATGATTTCACTTACCGAGCCTTTGGACCTTCAAACTTCAGCCTTCAGAATCTCTGATGATCTCGCAACGGGTCGAATTACGTACTGTTTCCTTGATATAACAATACGTTTTTTAGCTTCGTGCATGTACGTGAGGCATTCTTCAATATCATCTTCGTCAACCATTATAGCTTTGTATTCTTGACATGTTATTTTGAGATTTTCAAAAGTTTCATTCAACTTTGGTCACTCTCACTTCATCTACGGTTTGTTCAGCAGTCAACCAATCTGCAACACGGCTTAAAACTTTCGCTAACCACCGTTTGTAATCTTTGGTGCCTAATAGAAGGGAGTTGGAATAAGCGGGGGGGGGGTGGGGGTTGGAAAAATCTCCAAAACATACTAGGCGGGTGGGGTGGAATAGCAGTGGGGTTGGAAAATTCCCAGAAGCTTAATAGCCAGGGGGTGGAGAAGAGCAATAATTCTTTAAATATTAATTTTTCTTATAGAAAATACAGAAACTGTAATAAAACAGAAGATATCAGCAAAATACGATGCAAAATTCGTTATAAATAAAAGTTTTCCAGTTGTTCACATGTTCTCGAGAATGTCAAAAATGTATCCTTCGCTTCATCTTTAGAAGCAGCGTCAATATTGGTGTCGTTTGTAGTGGTGTTTTTTTCACACGCTTCTTTGTGTTTCTTCTCGCTTCGTAAAATGCTGATTTTAACTTTTTGAGGTGAGGTTTAAAGATGACACTTGGATAATTTTCCTCAAGGACAAGTTGTAATGCATCAAGGAACTTTGCATCCTTGTTTATCAAAGGATCCTCCGTTATGTTTGTTAATGATAGAATTTTCGAAGATCTCTGTGTTTCGACATCATCATCGCTTTCACTTCCACCCTCATCGAGGGTCTTATTGGTTTCATTCTCATCATCCTCTAATAGATGCGGATTGTTCTCGACGTAATCTAGCAGCTCTGAGCCCTTGAAATCTCTATGGATGCCTTTCGGTGGAATAAGATTTTTAATTACGGACAATAAGTTTACTGGCACAGGTGATTTTAATAACTTCTTGCAAAATGTATGCATTTCATTGCCAATTAACGCAAACAGTTTGTAGGAGACTAGATGGCCCTCTGATCCATTAAGGGCATTTGTAACAAAGAGTTTTTTGAATACGTAGGCAAAGTTGTTTGGCATACCTCTCCAAGCAGGCATAAGCATCTCAACCATATCTTCACGTTTTGGTGATGGGACTTTGTTTTCATCCAATTCAAGCATTTTCAGCATCAAATCCATTTCTTGGTGTCTATAAGAGCCTTAAGACGGCGTTGAAGATCATTGTCATTAGCCTGAATAAAGCCTGTGATACCTCCACCCATCGCTATCAGAATATACCCACGCTCATAAAGAGCTTTTCTAACTTCTAGCATTAGATGAACAGCATAATCATCAAGGACGTAAATGGCGAAGTTCTTTTGCATGAAAGGATTGAAACGGTTAGGAAGATTCTTCATTGTTTTGATCATGTGCTCCAATCGATAAGATCCACTCGGTGACCACTGGTAATTGACATTATGGACTGCTACTGTCGTACGCACTCCTTTCCCTTTAAAAACGAATTCTGGCTACAGGTTGATGTTTGAAACGCTTGCAACCTCAGTGAATACAGTAACTCGTTCTCGTGAAAGGTTATGGTCTTTCTTAGGTGAACGTGTCTTCATCTTTGAAGACATGCTTTTCTCCTGAGAACTCTCGTTCCTATGAAGTTTGAAGTGGCATTTGATCCCCATTTATTATAGGGGGTCGACTCCGTATTTCTCCATGAAAAATCTTCGCACTGTCCAAACATTATGTAAATAGTCCTGAAGTCTTATAAGCAAGTCTTCTCTTTTGATGGAATACCGTTTGCTAGGCCTCCTCAAGTTCACTCCATATTGATTTTCCCACAATTTGATCTTTTTCGGGCATTGGGTTTTGAATAAGCCAGTCTGCATAAAGCTGCCGGGCTTTCAATTTGAACAAACGACGAGGTAAACGTCTCTTCAACATCTCTTTTACAGCTACGAACCAGTGGAATAAAGCTACTCTCACTTCTGGTGCTTTTTTTTTCTGGCCAGCGCCAGTCCCTCCTGATTTTTTTGGCGGGCGTGAAGAAGGGTCTCTTAAATGCTCCAGATCATTGTACGAACGTGAAGCAAGCTTGACTGCTTTTACAAATTCTGGATCATCAATCTTCTTATCAGTCAAATCGGTATAAAACGATCGAACAGTCGTCGAAGACTTTATTGGATTTAAGGCATATTAGGCACCAAAGAGTATTGGCTCTGAATTTTTTTAGATGTCGGACATGCTCAGTATCGACACTTTCAGCACCAACAAAATTATCCCTTGTTCGATTTATCTTGTCAACTACGAACTGATGTAGCTACTCGGCAAATCTGCCACTGAGCACAGGAAATAGCGTACTCCACAACCCCTTCTTTTTTTCTATAGTAAATCAACATTGTTCTTAGGGGGAGAGGGGGGTGGTTGAATTTGCCTTGGAAAACTGACGTTAGTGTTCCAAGACTTTTGGCAGTGATTGTAGCAAGTGTATAAGTAATTAATTAACGCGTTCCAATCGCAAGCAAAATAATGTCAACTTACTTTTTGTACGACCTCGTAGCATAATAGCAGGCCTATCTACTGCTAAAGACACTAGGCCGTCAAAAACTGTCAACTTCTTACTCATGCGTACTCAGCTACAACACTGCGCAAAATACTACCAAAGCTTATATAGTGCTACGACTACAAATCTTCGAAGACACGCTTAGCGCTGGAACCGATATCAAGAGTCCCCCGAGGACATTTCTGAAATTTATTTATACAATGTTGAGGTCCAAAGTTGTTCGATGTAAACAGCAACAAAAAATTAAAAACAATATATATTCTACAGTTATTAAAAAGCTGCAACCAATTGCAAAAGAAAATCTGTGCAAATGGCAGACCTCAAGCTTTTTAACGTATATTCCAATACCTCCATTTGTTTGACGTCATTTGATACCCCTAAAAAGGCTGGAAGGGGCCACGCAGCATTAATTTACTAGAAAGTGGAATCTAGTACTGCGAATTATTTGATATTGTTGAATTATCGAAGGACAGACAGTTCTACGTCAAGGTGATTTACCAGTAACAAGAGGACAGCCTTCTGCAATTCTGGATGAAAAGGGCTTATTCAATGCCAATAATTTGGCTTACTGTCACAAATCAGCTGTGATGTATTCTGCAGCTATTCCTTTAACTTTTTCGCAATCAATGAAGTATAGTTTTTTGTAGCTATATACAGTCTTATGTAAATTACAATTTTCTACTTTGATTCTCGTTTTATATAAAAGACTCTCTTTGCCAAGTCTATGATGATTAAAACATTTTGTTCGTAAAGATTTTGCTTAGACATTGAGTAGCATGTTGCAACCGCCAATTTTATATCTATGGATTCATATTACTTTGTTCAAGGAGTTTCTTAAGTTTCACAAGTTCCAAGTTCCTGAAGAAGTCAACTATACAAAGCTGCTAAAGGCATTGGAAAAAGAACTTAAGATTGACATGGTGAGACTTGATTTAGAAGTTTTTCAAATAGTAAATTACTGCATTAAATCTTTGACTGTGAAAGGTTGGAGGAAGCAATTGAACATTTAACCAAAAAGAAAGATTTTATCACTGCAGTACATTCTGTTTTTGAAAAATTGCTAGTTCTTGCATCGTTTTCAGGAAATTCCATCAAGTAATTCGGGAATATTGTGTGCGACTCCTGCAATTGTAATGGCACACATTGCACAAATGAAGAAAGAATTGCCACAGGTTGAAAAGAAGAGTGGGTCGACTACAGTGATAAAGTTAAAACTAACAGGACCAAATCCTAACAACAGTTGGTCAGAAAATGCACATTCGATTAAAAGCAAAAAGAAAGGCATCTCGAAAAATTCAGATAGGAAAAATGTAGAAGTCTTGAAAAATGCTGCCACGAAAAGAATTCGAAAGAAGAAAATTAAGCGAAGACGTGATGTCTCTTCTGAGACTTTCACCAGTAAAGGCGAATTGTCAAAGAAAATCTCTTCCAGTCGACCAATACAAGTCCAAGTCACCAACGGTAAAATTAGGTAAGATTAATTTCCTAATGAAGAATTGATCAACTCGTTTCATAGAAGTTGTTGCAATAGTTATGCTGCATAGTTTTTTTGTGAATATCTCCTAAAAATTGGGTCTTACGTCAATTTTGCAATAATAATGTTTTCTGTGCTCCTTTTTGTCAAGTTCATCGATATCACCATCAAGTGAAGTCAATAAATCCAATATTTCAAAAGGACATCAATTCCAACCACTCGTCTCGGCAGATTTACTAGTGCAACCAAGAGGTAATCTTTCTATGCTACTTTTTGCTAGCTAATTTGTTCTGTATGGCTGTCAAAATAGTGGTGATTGAGTGACTGAGCAACCATTGACTGGTATAGTTTTGGTTTTTGTTGAAGTATTGCTGTTGTGCTATAAAAATGTTGCTCTCTGTTTTCTTTGTTTCAGGTGAAAACTCTGAAATCCGCGCACCAGCAATAGAAGACCAGGACTGGGAGGCTGCGCAGCTACTCTCTAATTTTCATGGCATGGATACCGAAAGAGACACTAAGTTTATGCAGCAAGTTTCCGATGAATCAACCGAGAAAATCTGTCACTCTGTCCCAGGCCTAGGTGCTGATAAATCTTCAAAACTACCCGGGGAAAGGTTTTTGTAAGTAATAGAATTTCCAGAAAAAATAAATGGGTTAATTGTTTCCTAAAAAAGGAAGATTATATTTTCAGGTTTATATCGTTTTGTATTTTCGTTTGGATTTATGAAGAACTAAGGTCTTTATCGTCATTTTCAAAGAAAAAATATACTTTTCTTCACAGAGAGCAATTTGATGCAACGAAGAAAGATTTGTTTCATGAAAACAGAGGGCATACAATCAGTCAAATGAAGACGCCAAATATGGCCGACGATTACGTAATCCGAGAACCTCTTGCTAAGCCACAAGGAAAAATCAAAAGGAGTCGTTCGGACGCTGATTCTGATTATGATCCGGAAGAAGAGTACTACCAGGATGCCAACTTTGTCTACCCGAGGCTAAGTACAACCTCTGATCTTGATTTCGATGATTTTTCATGGAACCCTGGTCAAAGAGGCAAACGGAAAGCAAAGAATTCTTTGAGCTCAAAAAGTAAGATTTATACGGACCGCTCTCCGCTTATACCTGTTTATGTAATTTGATTTAAATCTTTTCTGTCTTGTTGCCTGTTGTATTTCTGTCAAAAGCCTAAGCTTCGCATTATTTCAAAATTACAGTGACCTTGCTGTAGATATTTGATCCAGGTCTCAAACCACACTATTTGAGTACAACATATAAGATTCTTTCCATTTTCAACTGTTGTGGAGTGAAGTATATATCAGATTATTTCTAGTTGGAAATTAATCGGTACGATAAAACAGGTGTGCACCTCTATAGCAGCACGGTTAACTTTTTATTTGGTACTTCTCGTGTAACTGGTATCTTCTTGTGTTCACGCTTGCAAACAAAATGGCCGACATGGCTTGAAAGCTGTTTTGTTAAATTAACTTACTCCTTGTTTCTTTTTCTGGTTATCTTTACAAAGGTAAATTAAATAGTGGAACATCTCATCGCCATCAAACTGCATCCTTCGATTGTTCGAAACCTGGTCCCGACGATTATGTAAGTATTTGAATCTGTTTTAGTTTTCATTCTGTTAAAGCATCCTCAAGTCCTAACATAAGCATGATGGAAATTTCACAACAAATTATTCATTATTTCTTCAAATGAAAGTTTTGTTCCCACAAAAGGGTGGGAACAAATTCGAAGATGGGGCTTATTCGACGACTTACGGTAATACAACTGACGTTTAATAGTGGATCTATGTCTGTCTGACAATTGTTCAGCCTGTAAACTTCACAACCCTGTTACAACAGACTTTTTCTACTTTCGTCTTATCTGCAAACTTTTTTTAGGCAAAAGCAAAAAGCCTAAAAGACGCAGGACCTTCAGGCAAACATGGTCTAGGTAAGGCAATGTTTGTTGTACACAGCTGTTTCACAAATTATTAGCTTTCCCAGCTAAACATTTTTCTCAAACCGAACTCAGAAACATTGTGGTCTTTTAGGATAGTTTGAGGATTTTGAGCTGAACATTTGGCTTCATAACTAAAAATGCTCCTAACCATCATACTCCTTGACCTGTGTAATTGCGTTAAACAATACAGTTATTAGATTTATTCTATCTAAATTACATTTATTTTCATAGCTAAATGGTATATTTTAGGGAGACGTAAGAGGCACTTAAGTGTTTACTATCGCTAGATTGTTCTGTCAGAGGATTGGCCCGTATGGATGTTCGCCTCAAACTACCCAAGGCAGTGCAATCTACATGAAGTACTTGGAGTTGTACGCTTTATGGTTAGCTATAGCCATATTACCATTATTCATTCGAAATTTCAGGTGGAGATAAAAAGAGGGAGAAAATTCGAAAGGGCAGCACGACAGCGAAACAGCGATTAGGAAAACTGCTAAAGTTAGACAAACTTGGAGGAAGATATGTGCGTTGAAAACTCAGAGCCTATACTCACAGATAGAAAACTATACCTTTTTGCAACTGGCAGGTTGCATCTCAAAGGCGCCATGTACCACTTTTTGTCATTATTTGTATTATACTTCCTGTAAATATTTCTTGTATCTTAACACATGTCTGACTACAAATAGCTTCCCTCATTTTTCAGTCCTTCAAGAGAAAAATTTGTTAACAAGCTTTTATGGAAGTCATAATCATCCTTTTTTTCATGTTTACAAACATTTAAATTTCGAGATTTTGTCGAGATTCTGATTTCCAGTCACAAAACTGTTTTCAATTATCAGCCGTTACGTAAGGCAATATCCGTGAAATAGACATCTATAGGTATCTAGGAATCAACCCCGATAACACCCGACTTTGCAGCAGAAAATCTAGAAAAGAGCCTCAATTAGTATTAGAAGAGGGCAAAGGAGCTTTTGCACTTTAAAAAGCGTTGATATTCAACCAGGTGCCCGCAGAAAAATAAAAGATACGATTTCAACTTTAGACGAGCAATAAACCGATTGAATTATTACAATTCCTACAGTTTTAAATGCAAGTTTGATAACATTTTCCCTTCTTATTTTTCTTTCCGTTTTATTTTACTTCTTACAGGACATTCAGTGATAGGATTATTCTGTATATATATATATGCATGATTATTATTGTTGTTCAATTGAATTCAACTGCTTTCCAAGATGACACAATTTCAACCTAAACCCTTTATTGGTAGCAAAATGGCCCTTCTGTGTAAATATCTGGGGCATACCCTAAAGCTGGAGACAAACAACCATGATCACAAACACCCACTCTTATCCTACCTCCACGAAAGTCGATTTGTTAAAGATTTTTTCCCAAAATAAACAGTTTCTCTAAACTCGCTTGGTGCGGCTCTATCTCAGCTATTGGTGTGTAAAAACCTAGATAATCTTGTCATTAATTTTGTACGAACATGGCTACATCGCAGCCTCCTTCCTCGTAGCGGCTGTGGGCTTAATTTCCAATCCACCAACAAAATACATAAATTCAAGCTGATCTCCACGTCATAGCTGGCTGTAATTCTTACCAGGAGTCGTGTTTCACGCGGATTCCCCATCTAATTCATCGCCCCGTCCGATTAATCCAGGCTAAATTATTTTGTTGTTTTAAAACCAAAAGTTCAGTCTAGCCTTTGTTTTATCTAGCAGCTTTCGAAACTGACCCAAAGAAGCAGGTAGTCCTAGATCAATAAGTTCGTTTATACTCTGCCTTTAATCTTCGTTTGAAAAGCAATATTCTGTTGAGTCCGAGTAAATTATTTACTATCCAGCTGCAAAATTGCTTTAACCTCAGAAAATAGCCAATAAATTTGGGCCGAATGAAAAGAGACAAGAACAGAGCTGCATTATTCATGTGAAAATTCACTACAACAGTAATTACTTTTTAAAATTATGGCCTTGAAAGACATTGTAAATATCACGAAGGCTTTTAAATACAAGTTCTACGAAATCAGTGCAGCTAGGACTGTCAGGGTATGCTGAAACATTGCAACCAAGCTTTTCATCAAGAATCATGTAGCCGACACCAAGGCCATTTGGCGTGACTGGTGCGAAACCGCCCATTCGAATGTTGGGACTGGATACAGTGCTTGTAGACAGAATGATGTGGTTCATCTTGAGGTACGCTTCGTCTTGGAAAAAATCCACATTACGCCCACTTTTTTCGGAAATCGTTTTTAATGCGAACAAATGACGATCAAAACCTTGCCCTAAAAACAATTATAGATTCAATGGAAAATGCTCGAACCAACCATGGTCGGGTTATTACATTGTATTAACGATTTCATCTTTCTAATTTATAATGTATTAACGATTTCGAACTTTTTAATTTAAAAAATTTACTTCAGAATATACCTCACTCATCTTGCACTGACTAAGACAGAGAGATAACTTTGGCTGAACGAACCTACTAATTTGTTCAGTAGGTTCGTTCTGCTACCTTTAGTAATTTTCAAAAGTGTTGCGCACACATAAAGATAGAACACTTTAATACCCGTTCTTCTAATGCAGGTTCAAAAGAATGGGAAGGTATCAATGAAATCGAAAAATTGTAAGACAGTAAATGGAAACTTGTAATTCGTATCATGCTCCTTTCTTCTATCTCTAAATATTTCGTATCATGCTCCTTTCTTAGACAAAGTTGACAAAACCAGATTCTGTGACCACACCCTTGGCCTTATCAAGGCGAATAAGGCATACAAAATCAGATTCTGTGACCATACAAAATCAGATTCTGTGACCACATCCTTGGCCTTATCAAGGCGAATAAAGGCATACAAAATCAGATTCTGTGACCACCCTCTTGGCCTTATCAAGGCGAATAAAGGCATACAAAATCAGATTCTGTGACCACACCCTTGGCCTTATCAAGGCGAATAAAGGCATACAAAATCAGATTCTGTGACCATATCCTTGGCCATATCAAGGCGAATTAAGGCATACAAAACCAGATTCTGTGACCACCCTCTTGGCCTTATCAAGGCGAATAAAGGCATACAAAATCAGATTCTGTGACCACCCTCTTGGCCTTATCAAGGCGAATAAAGGCATACAAAATCAGATTCTGTGACCACATCCTTGGCCGTATCAAGGCGAATTAAGGCATACAAAATCAGATTCTGTGACCACATCCTTGGCCTTATCAAGGCGAATAAAGGCATACAAAACCAGATTCTGTGACCACATCCTTGGCCTTATCAAGGCGAATAAAGGCAAACAAAATCAGATTCTGTGACCACCCTCTTGGCCTTATCAAGGCGAATAAAGGCATACAAAATCAGATTCTGTGACCACACCCTTGGCCTTATCAAGGCGAATAAAGGCATACAAAATCAGATTCTGTGACCACCCTCTTGGCCTTATCAAGGCGAATAAAGGCATACAAAATCAGATTCTGTGACCACCCTCTTGGCCTTATCAAGGCGAATAAAGGCAAACAAAACCAGATTCTGTGACCACACCCTTGGCCTTATCAAGGCGAATAAAGGCATACAAAACCAGATTCTGTGACCACATCCTTGGCCTTATCAAGGCGAATAAAGCCATACAAAATCAGATTCTGTGACCACACCCTTGGCCTTATCAAGGCGAATAAAGGCATACAAAATCAGATTCTGTGACCACCCTCTTGGCCTTATCAAGGCGAATAAAGGCATACAAAACCAGATTCTGTGACCACCCCCTTGGCCTTATCAAGGCGAATAAAGGCATACAAAACCAGATTCTGTGACCACCCCCTTGGCCTTATCAAGGCGAATAAGGCATACAAAACCAGATTCTGTGACCACCCTCCTTGGCCTTATCAAGGCGAATAAAGGCATACAAAATCAGATTCTGTGACCACCCTCTTGGCCTTATCAAGGCGAATAAAGGCATACAAAACCAGATTCTGTGACCACCCCTTGGCCTTATCAAGGCGAATAAAGGCATACAAAACAGATTCTGTGACCACCCTCTTGGCCTTATCAAGGCGAATAAAGGCATACAAAACCAGATTCTGTGACCACATCCTTGGCCTTATCAAGGCGAATAAAGGCATACAAAATCAGATTCTGTGACCACATCCTTGGCCATATCAAGGCGAATTAAGGCATACAAAATCAGATTCTGTGACCACCCTCTTGGCCTTATCAAGGCGAAAAAAGGCATACAAAATCAGATTCTGTGACCACATCCTTGGCCTTATCAAGGCGAATAAAGGCATACAAAACCAGATTCTGTGACCATATCCTTGGCTTTATCAAGGCGAATAAAGGCATACAAAACCAGATTCTGTGACCACATCCTTGGCCGTATCAAGGCGAATAAAGGCATACAAAACCAGATTCTGTGACCACATCCTTGGCCTTACCAAGGCGAATAAAGGCATACAAAATCAGATTCTGTGACCACATCCTTGGCCATATCAAGGCGAATTAAGGCATACAAAATCAGATTCTGTGACCACCCTCTTGGCCTTATCAAGGCGAATTAAGGCATACAAAATCAGATTCTGTGACCACATCCTTGGCCTTATCAAGGCGAATAAAGGCATACAAAACCAGATTCTGTGACCACATCCTTGGCCTTATCAAGGCGAATAAAGGCATACAAAATCAGATTCTGTGACCACATCCTTGGCCTATCAAGGCGAATAAGGCATACAAAACAGATTCTGTGACCATATCCTTGGCCAATCAAGGCGAATAAGGCATACAAAACCAGATTCTGTGACCACACCCTTGGCCTTATCAAGGCGAATAAAGGCATACAAAACCAGATTCTGTGACCACATCCTTGGCCTTATCAAGGCGAATAAAGGCATACAAAACCAGATTCTGTGACCACATCCTTGGCCTTATCAAGGCGAATAAAGGCATACAAAACCAGATTCTGTGACCACATCCTTGGCCTTATCAAGGCGAATAAAGGCATACAAAATCAGATTCTGTGACCACCCTCTTGGCCGTATCAAGGCGAATAAAGGCATACAAAATCAGATTCTGTGACCACACCCTTGGCTTTATCGAGGCGAAAAAACTGGCAATGGCCAGAAAGAATCTTTACCGATCAGAACAAGAAAATATGGCTGCGAACATAGGTTTTATCCTAGAAAAAATAATTCCAATTTGGCACCATTAAAACAGAAAAATTATAGCATGAAAATTATGCGATGGCAGTCCTGTGAAGATAAGAGCGCTTCGAAAATTCGAACTTGACTGACAGAAAGCACCACAAGATTCAACAAAAATAATCCTCATAAGAAAGTCGCAAAGGAAAATTTTGTTCCTTTGCATTTCCAACTTTCGCCCCACAGTAGAATATATTCAAAAACACATTTCATGCGAGTGATGAGATTTCTTTGAAGGGCAATTTATTTTCATAAATTTATAAAAACTTGGCGTTGAAAGGAACCACCTTCATGCAATTCAGAAACTTCTGCCGTTTCATTAACAACCCTCTTAGACAATTCGTAAAGCACAAGGCATGATGCGCAAGTGCCAAAGTGCGATTGGAACCTTTCAAAAGCGTATGTTAGAAGGGGGGGCGTTGCTGGGCGTTGCGGGGCGTTGAAGATGATGTCTGGGTATTTCCTGAGATTATTGAGAAATAGAGTACTTGTAACAGGACACACAGAAAAACAAGCGAATAATATACTTACCCATGGCTGCTTCCTTGGTCAGCTTGCCATGCATGTCGGATGAGTTCCTAACAAGATGGACCATCTCTTCAATGCCTGCTGGATGATTCAAATCAAATGCTTCTGAACAAGCTACTGTTGCTGTTGTTGCTGGCCTCAATGTTTCTGTCCGTCCGTGCTTAAATGCCGCTGTGCTGCATGACTCATACGTGGGTGATGCGCAGCCGAACATCCTATAGTATGCCATCTACAACGACAGTTTCTCAATTTCAACAGCAAACCAAGCCATGTGGCCGAATATATATTTGAAAATTCAGTTTTATGTAGCATGGTGCAAACTTCCATTCCAGTTTGGAAGCAGCATTAGCAGTTAAATGCTCTTTCCTCCTTATGAAGTAACAAATATAAGAAATTTTATACGTTTTATACGTTTGTAATAGGATGCTCAAATGATATGGGGTGTCAAGGTAAACATTAAATCTCACACGACAGTCTTCTGTACTAGGAACCAAAATTTTCTTGTTTAGTTTTCTCACGAACTATGCGAGAAAAAGAATAAATCTTGTTTGGCAAAGAAACCACGAAAATAGAACCCAAACATGTAGAAGTAAGGCTAAAGAAAAACTGGTGTGAGATCATGTTAAGTAATTTGCTTGTTTGCTCTCGTTTTGGAGTTTACGTGTAGACAGTCTAACATGCTCTGTAAACGATCGAGTGTATCTATGTAGACGGGAAAACATTCCTCTCGTCTGTAAACGTAAAAGATCCTAAACGGATACGTGTCGACGAGGCCTAAATAAAAATCTTCAAAATGCGTTTCTTGACATTCCAAGCTGAGCTCACTTAAGCCAACTTGAAGATTATAAGCTATTGCCCTTGACAGTTATGAATTCTCAATGAGCTACGAATTCTCAATGAGCTACGAATTCTCAATAAGCTACGAATTCTCAATGAGCTATGAGTTCTCAATGAGCTATGAGTTCTCAATGAGCTATGAGTTCTCAATGAGCTACGAATTCTCAATGAGCTACGAATTCTCAATGAGCTATGAGTTCTCAATGAGCTACGAATTCTCAATGAGCTACGAATTCTCAATGAGCTATGAGTTCTCAATGAGCTACGAATTCTCAATGAGCTACGAATTCTCAATGAGCTATGAGTTCTCAATGAGCTACGAATTTTCAATGAGCTACAAATTCTCAATGAGCTACGAGTTCTCAATGAGCTACGAATTCTCAATGAGCTATGAGTTCTCAATGAGCTACGAATTTTCAATGAGCTACGAATTCCCAATGAGCTATGAGTTCTCAATGAGCTACGAATTCTCAATGAGCTACGAATTCTCAATGAGCTATGAGTTCTCAATGAGCTACGACGAATTCTCAATGAGCTACGAATTCTCAATGAGCTATGAGTTCTCAATGAGCTATGAGTTCTCAATGAGCTACGAATTTTCAATGAGCTACAAATTCTCAATGAGCTACGAATTCTCAATGAGCTATGAGTTATCAATGAGCTACGAATTCTCAATGAGCTACGAATTCTCAATGAGCTACGAATTTTCAATGAGCTACAAATTCTCAATGAGCTACGAGTTCTCAATGAGCTACGAATTCTCAATGAGCTATGAGTTCTCAATTCATAATAGATTGAATCAAACACAACACTTACTTGAAACGCTAGCTGCATCACACCATCGGCACTTAACCTATTTGCCTTAAAAAAATTCTTGCCAAATTCTTCTTCTTCCCTGGCAAACAACTTCAGTTTGCCAACAAACTCTTGGAACCTTTTCTGTGATTGCTGTAGAATTTCCTGAAACGGTTTGTCGATCAAAAACTCGTGTTTTGCGAGGCTGGACACTGGCGGTGCAGCTGCTGACGGTTGATACTCCTCTTTGATGCAATGTTCGTGAATTTCATTGAAAAATCGAACGATGGAAACACCGTCCCCCCAAGCATGTTCGAAGTTAATTGCGGCCTCAGCATTACCTTCGAGAATAAGCTGGAAGGACTTGTCAAACCACCTTGAAAGACAACATAACCAGACTTGCTTAGCGTGAAACAATCTTTAAAACAATAATCAGTGGGAATTTGAAAAAGGCTTTAACTAACTAACAAAAAATGATGTCAATGAAATTAGCATGTAAAAGAATTATTGGAAACGGTAAATTATTGGAAACAACTTATGATATCTGTCGAGGTTTTTACATTACCATCCAATTTGCTAATTGACTTTGCGTTACCAAGTTGTCCAAACAAGAATTGGTGATTTTGGCAAAAAGAGACTTCACAAGAAACCGAGAAAGGTTTGCTTGATAAATTGGCTGATTGCATCTTGCAAAGATTCTTGCGTGTGTGAATCCATTTTTGCTACTTAAGACATTATTGTGCAGGAGAAAGCTGTCTGCAAGAGTATCTCTAGGGAAAACGTATACAACCTGGCGAAAACTACTGAAAATTTGGAGATTTGTGAAAGACAGCCAACGAGCCGCGTTTAGGCATTCTGTACACTTAGATGCGCATGTTTTTAGCCTATTGAGGTACAAAACTTTACATCCTGTGTCTCTGAAGTCTCTAAAACTCTGATCAATGTTGGATGAAAAGAGCTTTTGGTATTCGCCTTTAATCTGTATTATTATCTCTCGTCTTAAATTGCCCAAGCAGGTATTTTCAAACGACTGCTGTCAAGGGGAAACTTTGATGAACAAAGAAGCTCACCTATCGCCACCAACGCCATGTAGGAACATCCGCATTGCCTCGTATTCGTCGGAATACTTTCTGTCGTCCAAGCATAAAACAAACAATGCTCCGTCAATTTTGCGCAATATTTCTGCATTTTTCGTGTTGTCCTTCAGCCTGGCTCGCAGCTCTGCCCAATAATCACGCTCTTCTGCAGTTAAAACGCCACACGAATTCTCGTTTTTTGCGGCACTCTGCTCAACAACTGCCTTCAAGTTTGCGTAAATTTCATCCTTTGAAACAACAGATCCTGTGTAAAGAAAAAAGACTTCGACAAAAGCAGCTTTGATATGTTCAGTTAATGACGTTGTAAATACAAACAACCAAAATAAATTGAAACAGATTTCGTACCGTCTTGCTTCAAGAGATCAAACGTGAAAAAATGTCCATTTCTAATAACCAAGATGTGTCGGTCTGCAGGAAAACTTTCCAAGGAGTCTTTCTCTTTCAAAGGGATGCGTGTGCTGTTGAAAAGTCTTTTGTACTGACTCATATCCAACGGAAACGCCTTGAAAAGGTACGCTCCATACCAGGACAGACTTGATGGTAACAATCTACAAGAAAGAAAGGATTTATGTTCAGTTTATGCGTGAATATACGTGATTATACGTGATTATACGTGAGTAACTGGCCACAATGATAAATGATTAAAGAGGCATCAACGCAAAATTTCGACCCCTGAAAATTGCAATGGCTTTACAAGCTTTGTATCCATACATGTTGCGAGGAAAAAGCGAGAGAAACTTGTACGATTGAATTTTTGGTAACCTAGTATTTTTACCGTCCGACGGTCATCAACAATTAATCGATTGATTATGTGATATCCGAAAAATATGGTGAAAGCTCTCGGTCGATGGGGATTTTTCGGGACAAGGCAAGCTTCCCTGCCTAGGAGTACAGTAATGGCTGCTCATGTCGATGAAATAAAAAAGGTTCATATAAACAGGGAAGCATTAAATGAGTCAAAAGCAAAGTTTCAAACGGTTCCCAACCGGCTTTTTCTAGGCCTACTAAGTATTAGATGCTACTCTTTCCCGTTACAAAATTAATATAATGGTATTCAAACCTCACTGGTTTGAATAGAATTATATTACTCGCAAAACATCATTGGTGAGAGTTTTTCCGGAATACAAAAAGTTTTTTCCTCCTTTCCCCTTTCTGTACCATGATCGTTCAAAGATTGGTTTATTTTCAATTTTCAGGGAGCGTGACAAAATAATCGCGCATTCGTTTAAATCTTCCGGCAGCGGCCTCCAGACGACGTCGCCCATATCCGCGCTCGCAGGTTACCGCAACATTATCATTATTTCATATTATAGTACTTCATCCCCACTACATTTTCATTCCACCACCACCCACCCACCCTCTCTCATTTGCCACCCTTCCCTCCTCCACCACTGCGCTGCATTCACACTATTCCACATCAGCCAATCCGACACCACCATCGCCTCATTTAAATGTGTACATTTTTAGCCCGTTAACTTTTGCTCTGATGAAGCCCCGTATGCCGGGGCGAAATATCAGCCTCTACTGATTTACGTGTATTTATTGTTGTTTATTTTCGGCGTATTGCGGTGTTTCTTATTTGCTCTGATTTTTATCGACTTTTCGCCGCAAGAACTCCTTGGAGCCCGTCGAGCAGCCAGCTACAGTGACCTTTTCTTCATTCACACACTTGTACCCTTGCTCGCTTCAACTTTCTTACCCTAAATTTGACCCCCTTTCTGTATTCCAGACAACATTGAGCCTTTTGTGATATTCTTTCATGTTAACATAACGCACTAGAGCGATGTCAATTGTTTGCGTTGATGCCTCTTTAAATGTATATGATGTATGCCATGTCAATGTGTCTGATATTGCGGAATTCCGTGGGCTCACTTTAGAACAAACAGGCTGAGAGAGACTGCAGTCAACCAAATAAGTATGGAAGTTAATAAAATAAAATAATGCTTTCATGGACGATAAACAAGCCACCATCTATTCTAGCACTATCCTCCATGAAAATATATTATGTACAATTCAGGTTATATGTCACGAAACTCGTGTCTTATGTCACATACCTCACAAAACTGCGAAAAAACTTGGTGTCTGACTTTTTTGGATTAAGATGATAGACGTCCGGTGCAAGCAACCCCTTGTCAAAACTTTTCTTGAATCTCACTGCAGCATGAAGCATTTTTGTTGCCCTCACCAACTAAGTGAGATTTATGCTGCATTACATTCAAAGGCAATGGGCAAAGAGCGTGAACAATTATAACAATCGGTATATTGAGATTATTAACAGTTTGCTTCTCGGAAGTTATTTCTAAGTAGGTGTAAATTAAAGAGCCTTTCCATCTGAAACTTGCAATTACGTTCGATGGCAAATTTAATGGAACTTGAATGCTGATTATGAACTTCTTTTTTAGAATATTTAATAAAGCTTGCCAGTTATAAATGTTTTTAAGATTTAAAAAAAATGTTTTTAAAATAAGATTAAATTAAAAAATGAGAAAAAGAATTTGAAATAAAAACAAACACATCTCAGCTGAAGCAGTAATGCATATTTTATCGAGCAATTACATTGTGAATGGCTCAAATGGTCACAGTGCTAATTATCAAAATTATCACATCAGACTGACACACAAATGCTGCTGAATTATTATTAAATTAAAAATCTACAAAATCTTTTATAAATATCTACACACTGGTTGCTTTCTGTGTTTAATTCAAGTGCACAATGAACAAAAAATAAGCATTTTGATGCCAAGGTGTCACCGATTTTTTCATGTCTTTTCTCTCAGAAAAGGAGATCTCTCCAACCTTACACCTTTTCAAATGGGTTTGCAAAAATTAAAAGCATATTATTGGCTGAAGGGGCTTTTTCAACTAAATAGTTTTACATCAACTAAAGTTTGCCTTGAAACAGGCTAAACTCTAATTTAGTTTAACATGTAACTTACTGAGAAAGGCTTGTTCTGATTAAACAAATTTGTACCTATACATATGGAAAGGCAATACATACTATTGGGACAAACTGGCTATTAGTATTGCTGCCTTTTCTGACCTCCGCACAAAGGTCTCATAATATTCCAGAATCCTCTACTGACTTATATTTTAAAATCCTATTACTCAATCCTCTTTTTCTCTTGTGACATGCATGTATTTAACATTCATTCATTCATTCAGCTTCCCATCAACCAAATTTCCAAGCCCCTTCTCATTCTGATCTTCCCGAGTATTTGGAAATAGAAAGAAGTGACTTTGTACTAACCGGATCACTGGTGTTTGGGTCGCGGTTGAAAACAATAAATGGATTATGATTGAGAACAATTGACTTTCTGTATCTCAGATACATGTCATACCAAGGTTCTGAAACAGAAAAAATTGCTTTCAGTCCTCAAAAATGCGGAACTAGTATCACACAGTTTCAAAATTCAAAGTTAAGTAGGTGGTACAATGAAGAGCTATTAAAAAGAACAAGCTAGATGTTATAAATGGACAGGCAGAAAGTAAATGCAAAGCTCAGAAATCATCTACAATACAGAATTGACCATTGGTGCCAACCATAGCACAAACAACTTTCAGTGTCAGTTAGTATAGATAGGTATTCAAGTTACTGCATGGACTTGATTGGCTAATCTGCCCACAACTCCATTTGAGTCCAAACAAACAAAGCTAGAAATGCAAATTGAAAACATTACCTGAAACGTAACTGGTGTTTTTGTTCAAGTTATCTTTAGCAACTAATTCTGCATTCAGTGCTGCAATGAAAAAATTAAGAGTATAAGAAACCTCAATTTACTATTTACAACAAAGTAGGGTCAGGGAGACAAACAACGTGGAGAGCTCAAGATTGTGCGAATGCTTAGACAACCAGCCGTGCACTGGGCTGGGGTAACACAACTGGGACAAAACAAGAAAAATAATGCTTTTGAAACTTCATAACTTTTTTGTCAAACAAAAAATTATAGTTTTCATTGAAAAGTTTAAAAATCATTTTAGAAGCAAACTATTTCAGAAACGATATTTGCATAATTCACATGACCTTTGTCGAAAAATTTTTAGAAACATGATGTTTTGACACTGGCAACATTGATCATTACCTCTTCCTTCATATTCAATAAAGTTTTTAGTAACTTCTTTCACTCTTTCATACTGTTCTGGAGTCAATAATGGCTTTTGGGCATCCAAATATCGTCTGTAAGTATCTTCCAACTTTGGAATGGGCAAACGTGGCAAGCTTCCTTGAAAATGCATTGTTGGAACAGAGCTCTTTTGTAGAAAATCTGAGTCACTCCCACTAAAATTTATTAAGAATCAAGATTTAAATATTATTTTCTGAATATGAAAAAGTTTATCAAAAATGTTTACTCTGGGGGTTATCATTTTATACAGACTAATATGTCTTTCATTAGCAGCTTCTGCTAAAAACAGAAAGCATGCTTCTTCTACAATATTGTTTTGGTGAAGAACATACATTTTAACCACATCTGTATATAACTGGAACATTGTTTCTATACTATAATAAGGCAAATTAACACAAACAAAAGTAAAAACTTGAGCAAGCAATAACACATTTTTCTCCTTAACAATAACATTAAATGATATAATTTAAATTAAAAGCTGTTTGCTCAAACAGTTATGTAGATTTTAAAAGCAAACCTGTGATTTCGACTGTGCAACAGTAAAGTACTGACTGAGGCCTTGCAAGGAACATTCTGTGAATTCCAAATATTTTATAAATACAATGAAATTACAAATAGTAAAAACTTTTGGCAAATCATAAGTTGATGCTTATTGATGTCAGATTATTAACAAGCAGCTCACATTCTCCAATACGTCTCTACAGCTCTTGGCTAACAAAATAAAACAATTGGAAAATGGAAACTTATCTACTAAGACATGAAACTTCAATATGAGGTAAACAGAAATTACACTGACAGCTTAATGCAAAAAAATTTACAGACAGGTGTTTTAAAATAAACTTTATTGATAATTTTATTGTTGAATAATTGAAAAATAATTGCTGTAATGTTTTTTTTAGTTAATTAGTTTTGCTTCATTGGCACCCTAACTTTTCTAAAGCAATAGTGAACTAGCACATTAAACATCTTACCGTAAACATTCTATTAAGCCCTCCAGGGGGGGGGGGCTTATTTATTTTTGTCAGTCCAAGAGAGGGGGCTGAAATTTCGCACAAAGTTTTTTTTAAAGAAATTGAAACTTCAACATATTGTTGCAATATAAAACGATAATTAACTCAAGAATTTGCATAGAAAGTTTGTTTTGGGGGGTTTCAAAAACAATGAGTGCGAGTGACAAAGAATAAGAATCAGTGACCTCACAAGGTTTGCAGTTGGGAGAGACATTAATAATTTTAACTGTCATGTGCATATGACGCATATTTTAGTTGCACCCTCAGCGCTACCATGTCTGCATCTTGGGTGCACCATTGATATGTTTTGTTGGAAAACTTGATCTCTTTGGTTCAATGAAGGGATATAACATGTTCAACGAATCCATAACAAACGATAGTAAACGGCAGTTACAGGCCAGGACTAGTTTTAAAATTTTAGCTCTTTAGTTTTGCACGCGCATTTGTCGCTGAAGTTATTTTAATTTTTGAGATATTTATGATTTATTAAACTGAACAAAAAATTAAATCCGGAGAAATCGACTGGGACTTTTCAACATTGTAACATAGCTTTATGATAATAGATAAAAAGTTAATTTCACTCTTACCCGTTTCAAAATCCTTGAGTTTCTCACTCCAGTAAATAATCCGAATTCTAAAACCGTCTTCATGCTGCAAGTTGAGTTTTTCTTGAGACAAGTTTTGAATTCTGTACCTCTTTGATTGGGTTCAAAGTACAACGCTAGAACGAGGCAGGGTGTCGATCTCACCGAAAAGAGGGGTTCTTGGCTAAATTTTGGGGAGGGGTCTGCCGTGAGCATATTCAAAGTGGTACCATTGGCTAGACGTGTTTTTAAGAGAATGATGCCCTTGGCTAGAACAGTTTCTACTGAAATCTAGACAGATTTCTACAAAAATTATACCCTTGACTAGATTAATATTGAAGACGATACCATTGGCTTTATGCATTTCCAAACCATTCGAGCTTGCAAATATCTCAAAAGTATTTTTTGAACTCTGAAATGTCAAAGGTCTATTAATTTCATTAACTAGTTTATAATCAACGAAAATGGTTTGTGATGATTGACATTTCCCTTTTTGCCGTTCCCTAGACCAATATTGTCAAAAATTATACCCTTGGCAAGACCTTGACTGGACCAAAATTGCTAAAAGTTAAACCCTTGACTAGACTGGAAGACCAAAAAAGTATACCCTTGCTAAATGGCTTTGAAAAAATCAAACATTTAGTAAACTAAAGCTTTTCGTCTGACACTCTTCAGAGTTTAAAACGTCAGAACATAGATCGAAAACTCTACGCTAAGAAATATAAATACCCAGTTGTGGATCGAAATAGGCCAATCAGAAACACGAGCACATGACTGTAAAGGTTGACCAATCAGTGCCGCTTGCCTATTAGAATGTAACCAATGGAGTCCTAAGGTGAAAACGAACTCCTTTTGTCTACACAGTAACGGTTTTTTCGTGCTTATGTAGATAGATTCTAAAACTGCTAGGTGGAACGACGATCGGGCTTTACCAATAATCCGAAACATGTCGCCATTATAGTTTTTTGCACAATCTGGGTTTTCTAGCAAATGCTGCCCGATAGCAGAATCGCAGGTTTTAGTACTAATTTTGGATTTGCAAGACCGAGGTGGCTGTTCTGAAGAGTGTCAGACGAAAAGCTTTAGTTTACTAAATGTTTGCTTTTTTCAAAGCCATTTACAAGTTTTGTACCACCAAAAGATTGTTTGTATACCCTTGCTCGTGGCAAACCCCCAGGTACCGTTTTTAGGGGATGGGAGATAGTGTTGTCTTATTACAGGCGCCTTCAACTCAAGATTTTGGAAAATGCCCTCTCTGGAGATACCCTCTCTGGGGACCCGGTCCGCGCCAAAGCTTCCGGGACCTCGCGTTTTCCTAGTCCGGAAAGTGAAGAGAGGTAGATTTCTTGGGATGTTTTACTTGTTTCCAGTCTTTATTAATGTTTTACACTATCCAAATTCAATTAATCTGAGTTTAATCGCATAAGACAGTATCGGTCTAACCATACCCATAAATAGCCATGTCAATTTTCTCACGTTTGGTTCATTATCTTTTCCACGGTTGGCTGCCACAGTGTCAAAGAACCCGTTACCATCAGTTAGTCATCAAAATACCATCAGTTACATATACTAATCTTAAAATTCATGAGTATATTCTTAAAATACACCTTGCTGCCGGTTGAAAAGATTACAAGTTCATACGCTTCATGTTGAAAATATAAAAAAGGAAAATATTTTCATCAATGTTCTTTTGAAAACTCAAATAGACAAAATTCCAGTCAGCTGCAAATCTTCACAAATCGTTACAAAACAAGAATTTGGATTAAAGATTTATAGTTATATATGTGAAAGACACATTCAAACAAGAGTTAATAGATATAACTGAAAGTATTAGACAAAACAACAGTGCATCTGGAAAAGCGAAAAATGAGAATCAATTCGAAAAGAGTTCTGCACATTAAGAGATTCCTATCAAACTTACACATGGAGAATGTAATAGCTTAAAAACAAGGTGGGCACTTACAAATGTGGGTACTGTAAATATTTCGGGTCGTCTTTGTATGCTGAAACTAAAGCCCGCTGAGAATTTCGTCAATATTATCGATGACATGAGAGATAAATTTCAAACTTACAAATAGTGATTATCATTGCTAATGCTTATCATAAAACAACTTTGATTTCTTCGCCAAAACCCCTGCCAGTATTGCTTTTAGGTTTAGGTACATTTGAGGCGACAGATGTCCTTCCACCGATAGGTAATGATTTTGCACGAGCTACGTCACGGGCCTCGTCTGCCTTGTGTTTCTCAACAAACACCGACGTAATTGAAGGTTGACTGTTCTGCTTGCCTAAAAAGGTGAAACAAAAAAGCTGGTAACCAAATGACTGCTTTATTTGATCGTAGCATAAAGCCTCTTAATAAAGTGACAGACAATCTGTTCTTCACGGAATGCATGGTTAGCAATTTTTAAAACAAGCTTTGTGAAAGAACAAGATGGAATAAGACCTTCCTTTTGCGGGATGCATTCGCTCAGATGCTTATTTTGGTTCAAGCCGTTGGCCAACCATTTATTGTGAAATCTTCATTGGCCATCTTTCCTCCGGCTGAAACGACCGAGTCCTGGGAATAGGAAGGTGCCCTTTTCCCGTCAATCATTGCATTGACAAGTACTTTGATGAATCGGTTCGGCAAATGACCTTGGGAATTAGCTGCTTGATTGTTTTGTAGCATACGAACACGAATATGAAATAAAACTAATAAATCTTGTAAGTTGGACTTTCTTTGTTCACCGGCCTAGAGTTTACAACCTCTCGTTCCAATTTAATAAAAGGCAAGACCATTTACGATGGCCGTTTACAGAGACAAGAGAAAGAGCGTTGATAGAAAAGATCTCACCAGCTTTTGTCTGTTTTTTCATTTTTGTCCGGAATGCGTCCTTCCCAACCACGCTCACAGCAATCTTCCTACGGTTGTCTACGTTGTCGAAATTTGATTCTCTTAGCTGTGGCGCCTTCATTCTGTTACGATCGTCATCAGTTGTTCTGTTGTCCTCTATTCAAGTGAATCAAAAAAATAATGGTAATTAAAGGGGTGCAAGAGTGACAGGAAATTTTGATTTTATACCATGAATAGACTGCAGCAAGGTTCGTTTTTACGACGCGAATTCACGGTGAATCTGCAGCAAGGTTCGTTTCTACGAGGCGAATTCACGGTGAATTCACCGGAAATCGCTGGTAAACGTAACATTCACCGTTCCAATTTACCGTTCGTTGTTGAGAGCCAACGTACAAATATTTAGTACGTGTCAACGTCCAATAAGTCTGCACGCACCAAAATGCCAATTAAGTAACAACGAGTCAACTTCTTCGTGGCTCAAAATCGTTTGCTGTTCTTGGCATGAATTTAAATTCATTAAAATTTGTTTATATTTTAACTTTAGAAATTTAGATTTTTGGAGAGGTAGGATTTAAAAAAATTTTGAAGGTAATAGAAAGGCTTAGTTGGCTTCAACCTGTCATTTTCGCTATTCTTTCATAAAAGTGCCAATTGCCATTAAGTCGAGTTGCTTATTGAAATTGCAATCAAAGGAATACAGACGCCACGGCCTATTTTCCCCGTCCTCAGCATTTTCTATTCCAAGTTGGTTGCGCCTTTCCTCTTCTTTAAATAGCTCAAAAACCTAGTGTGATTATAAAAACATCCTCAAGCAAGTACAAGCTTTTCATTTGATAAGAAACCGACAATTTTTAAGCGCGGAGGCTGAAGTCCTTTCTTTTGCCATTAAAATTCGCATATTTTTGTCACGAAATGTGTTATATCTTGAAGGCGTTTTATTTTACTTCATGTACACTTTGTCTTGATCTAAAGAATTTACACTTCAATGAGAAAAATATTTTAAGATAACGAACCTGGATTTCGGCCAAAACTGAATTGATTTAGGCATGTTGGAACGTTACAAAAATTGACGCGTTTGCACGTACCAGATTTGGCACGTTGGTACGTTGGCACATACCAAGCTTTGGAACGCTTGACACGCATGGAACGTACTTTAGCAGACTCTGGACACCTTAAAGTTCAGCCCGGCGGAAAGCAAAATATAATTTCGCAGCGCATTCACTTCGTTAAAATCGTCCTTAAAATGCACATAAAGGAAAGAAGATTAAGACTGTTTCTTCTTTAAAAATTTGTCGAATTTTGCGCTTCAGAGAGATATATATACATATATAAGAACGCATCGAAAAAAGACCTTTGTGCTAGCTACATAAAGAATCTTCTTCGGGTGCAACATCATAGTCCTCCTTATCGTTCCAATCAATTACCAGCAAATTCATTTAATTAAAGGAACATACTTTGACTGTCATGTTTTTGCTTGTCAACTGCAGTGTATCCACTGTCACTGATTTCGTCTCCATTTTCATTTTTTCTCCCTTTTCCTTCTTCTTCGTATGCTTGCTCTCTGAACATGTGCATTGCTTCCAAATTCAAAGCACAGACGCCCCTCATAAACGCTTTTTTCATCGTCTCTTCATAGAGATCTCTTTCGTTGTGCAAACGAGCCACCTCAATCCTCGCAACTTCAAGTGAATTTTGCAACTGCAAAAATGTCAAAGCAATCAAATGCTACAGAAAACAGGATTTGTTAGTATAAATTGCAAAAACGGAGCAGTAAAAACATTTTTCTTAAAAACTGGATACGCTGTCACCCAAGAAACGACAAGAAACTTTTACTCCCTCCTACTTTTAATATTACTTTTGATAAAGTAAAGATAAGAGAAATAACATACTCTTAACACAACGCGATGCTTTTGTGCACTTTTGAAGGATATATCTAGTTTTCCTGACGCTTAATCCTACCAAATATTACATCTTGCGAACCTTCAAGCCAGCAACATCATTCCAGAAGCCATTCTCTGATCCTTGATTCAAATTGTTCCAACCTGTTCCAAAATTGTTCCAATAATTATCAGCGTTGCCAGATTGGCCTTTTTCAAGCCAAATTTTCCAATTTTGGTTTTTTTCATAGCTAGATTGCTTGGAAAATTTGTTTTTGGTCAAATATCACCACCTATTGGTCAGACAAAAAGTCCTAACCATCAGGTAGAGATCTTTGTAAAGAAGAAGTAAGTTTCCTATTTGAGTTAAGAGATTATTTAAAAGACACGTGCGTAGAAATATAAACAGCGCATGCACAATGTATTTTTAAGAAATATTTTTTAATTATGGCCTTTTTATGACCATTTTGGCCTGAGTTGCCTACCCGCCTGGCCTTCTTTTGTAAATCATATCTGGCAACCCTGATAATTATTAAGGGTTTTCCCTTAATAACGTTATTTTCCTGAAATTCATAAAACTCTTGACTGACTTTATTTCAAACGCATGTAATCCAGCTCACCCCTTTCAATCTTTCTTCGTAGTCCTCTGTTAGTTTCACGCAAATCTCTTGGGACCTAGACTAAAACAAAAGAGATAACTGTTTACAAAGTCGCTCAGCTGCAATGAATATGGAAAAGGAGAATTTTGGTACTTTCTGGGCGTGCATGAAGATGAATGGCTATACCTGACAAGCTCTCTCAACCCTTTGCTTCCAGCGCATTTCAATTACACTCCTCCATCCAAGCCATATTTTGGACAACACAGTCCTTTTATAATGCTTCTCAGCCAACTTGGATGCAAATCTCTCACGTTTTTCATCGTTGTGCTTCAACTTCCAAGTTAGTAAGATCTTCAATTTCTCCTGCTTTTCTTTCTACAATGGAAGAAAAATTGTTTACGAAACTTATTTCAAAACAAAATTAAAGACCCGACCCATAATGCACAAAACTAAAGTTCAACTTTTCTCCGACGCAAAAAGGTAGACGCTTGTAAAAAACATGAGAATAAGAATGACACGATTGGTTGAAAGAAAGTGAAGTTTTCCATCTTCAGGAAAAAGAATTGTTTGCCTTGGTGCAGAGAAATGCAAAACCACGTCAACAAAAAATTATCATTATCATCGCCATACTCATTGACCCACTCTGAATTCATGAGTCAATTTCAATTAATGTCTGAAATGCCATCTACTTGGGTATGCTGAGCTTTTACAGATATGGAGTACCTGCTTTCCCCCAAGAAACGCTTTTGCTTTTTGTTTGTGAAAACATGTTTCTAAATTCTGTTCATTAGTCTGTAAGCTGTCCAATAATCCCCTATGCTCTGGCCAAGGCTCCAATATCCAACGTTTATACTCCAAAGAGTTTCATAAGAAAGTACTTCAGCATGCTATGTTTCCGCTATTTCGTGCCATCCTCAAATATTATCATCGTTTCACAGCTATCCATTGGTCTTTTAGCTGTCAGATGGTCCCTTGGCTGGCCATTTGTCCCTAAGCTGTCCATCGGTCTCTTAATTGTCCATTGGTCTCTCAGCTACCAAATTGTCTCTTGGCTGTCACATTTTCTCTTGTCATTGGTCTCTTGGCTGTCAATCGGTCTCTTAGCTGTCAATCGGTCTCTCAGCTGTCCATCGGTCTCTTAATTGTCCATTGGTCTCTCAGCTATCAAATTGTCTCTTGGCTGTCAAATTTTCTTTTGTCATTGGTATCTTAGCTGTCCATTGGTCTCTTAATTGTCCATTGATCTCTTGGCTATCAATTGGTCTCTCAGCTGTCCATTGGTCTCTTAATTGTCCATTGGTCTCTCAGCTACCAAATTGTCTCTTGGCTGTCACATTTTCTCTTGTCATTGGTCTCTTGGCTGTCAATCGGTCTCTTAGCTGTCAATCGGTCTCTCAGCTGTCCATCGGTCTCTTAATTGTCCATTGGTCTCTCAGCTATCAAATTGTCTCTTGGCTGTCAAATTTTCTCTTGTCATTGGTATCTTAGCTGTCCATTGGTCTCTTAATTGTCCATTGATCTCTTGGCTATCAATTGGTGTCTCAGCTGTCCATTGGTCCCTCAGCTGCCAAATGGTCTCTTAGCTGTCCATTGGTCTCCTAGCTGTCAATTGTTCTCTTATCAGTGTAAAATGGGTTGTTAAATGGTGTAAAATTCTTTAAAAAAAAATTGAAAAACAATTATCTTTGAAAAAAATATGAAAATCCAGCTTAAATTGACCAAAAATTGCTACATACTTGTTTTTCCAAGGAATCAGTAAGATTGGTAATGACAAGATCTTTTTGATTGATTGATTTTTCAAATGTGTGCAGCAACTCTTTATGCTTTTCAATTTGATCTTGCAGTGCTTCTTCCTCTCGAAGATGCCTATGAATAGGATTTTTTGTTCATAACTGATGTTTTACAATAGTGATTCATTTAATGTCATATGAGCTAAGTGAGATGTGCATATTTTTGTTCTAATGCCCTATAAACAAGTGTTTTCAGTACAGATTTTTATCAACTGTGTTTACGCAACTAACTTTTAGCAACTGAGTTTTTGCTAATTAGTTTTAACAACTGACTTATAAAAACGGAGTTTTCATAGACAAATGAGTTTTTACAATTAATTTTCTGACAAACAGGTGGTAGCTATCTAAAATAGGTACCATCTACAAAAGCATTTCAGATTTCTGTCAAGCACTTATAATACAATTGACAAATTGCAACATTTGATGCGTAGTGGTCAACTTTTAGATGTTTCATTGCCACCAAAACTTTTACCTTTTCTCTTGAACTTCCATCTTCTCTTTCATATGTTCCAATAGCTTTAGCTTGTTGTTTGAGAATTCTCCCTATTTTATTGGATACAAATAGAAAATGAAACATTTTGGTTTCAATTGACAATTAAAGCATCTAATTTTTGTTATCCATCCATAATAAAATGCCAGTAAGCTTGCAAGTTTGACAATAATAGTTTGAGCCCACGAAGTACACAGAAAAGGAGACCTTTGTGCTACATTAGGAATGTTACTAATTAAACTTAATTCATGAGGCTATGAGGGCCTATAAAACCAAACTCGGATAATTAGATGAAATATAAACATGCATCTTTTGTGGGTTAATGTTTTCATTTCATAATCTGATGCTTTTTGGTCTACCAAATTAAATTTATTATCTAACTCTCCCCAGGATGCTCTGAAGGAATTTATCTAGAGGTGTGAAATAGAGTGTCTTCAGTTTCTTGGGAGCTCTTTTTGTGGAGCATGTTTATTTTTACTTTGAAAAAGTCCTGCATAAGCTGACAAAGAAACAAACATTAAGTTTAAAGCAAACAATATTAATTTTATCACAAATTGATGTCATGTTATGATTTCTATTCATGCTCATCATTCTTGAAGAATACTATTTTATATGTGAACTGAGATAAAATATTGCTAAAAAGATACAATTTCTATTTCTGTGTGAAATTCAAAAATGCCATTTAATGGCAAATAATAGCTAAATGCTATCAGAATTGAAACCTTCGCATCTTCACAATGCAAATCAATTTTTGGACTCCTACTTTTCTAATTGTACTTATTGTGACCCATGATATTTTGATAAAAATGATACACATGAACATGGAAATTGTGTTAATTGACTCATTGTTGTCCTTTATCTCAATATTGTGGTTTGGAATAATCCATAGTAAATCATGTCTAAAACTTCAACACTTAAGGTTCTGGTAGACGCATACCAAAATATTTCTTTTCAACTCAAGACACCAGACATCCAATAAATTGTCCATCCTGCCCAGATCTCCATCCAGTGCTCCATCAAATATACCATTCATCAATGATGTGTTTGACAATGTGCTACTTGCAGAACTGTCATTGTGATTCAGCTTTTCAGTGATGATATGTTCTTCATTGACTGGAAATTTAACTTTACCAGCTGTATAAAGTGTTGTTGTTGTATAAATAATAAAATTGACAAACCAATCAGGCTAAATTGGCACCAGAATTTAGAAAATTATGATTTCTAACAAACTCTTCAATAAAAGATTTTAGTCCTTAATCTAATTTCTAACAACCAATTTTTAAAGATAAAAGTAACAATGGGAGAACTGACTTCCACCATAAAACATTGCGCACCTTGATTTGGCAAAAAGTGCAAACTTCCAGACTGTTGTGCAACTTTTTGAATGAAAATTGCTTGGGATCATTTAGAAATTTGCTGCACGTGCTTGCACAACAGTCTTCTATTACATTTTGCCAAAAGAAACAGTCTGCCAAATAGGGGAAATTGAATAGTCAAGATAATTATCATCATTTGACAGCGCACACTTAAAATAAGGGGAAAAGATCATTACAATTGTTGCCTAAAGGGGTGTGTTTCCAGATGGCAAATAATTGCAGGACAAAAAGAAAACAGAACCATTTGCACTGTAGATGTCATGGACCGGACTGCAGAGTATAGCAGTTTTCAACAAGATCTTGGGTATGCAAGAGCAAAATTTCAGGTGTGCAACTTTGTATTTTGGTCATAGTGTGTACTTCAGTTGTGTATATAGTTTCCACAGCTATGTTAGAGCCCAAAGATATCAACAAGAAAATGAACATGATTATATAATTAACCTAGTAATTTGTACCTAGCAAACTAATGCAAGATTATGTCAACTTTGAGGAAACACGATTCTTCATTTGCGATAAGCAATAGGACACATAATGTCACGCCCAGAACTCAAAATGCCACCATACCTACTCTGCAGTCTGGGTCTCGTGACTCGTGGAGACTTAAAAACCATATTCTGCAATATCATCATTAAATGAAAATTACAAGTTGAAATTGAGCTGAAGTGAAATACTTTTATAGAAAAATTCATAATTTATAATTTGTTGGGAGAATGAATATCAATTGAAGCAATAAATCAGAATAAGAGATAATTAGAGAGGCAGCTAACAGTCTTGAGATGTCATTATCAAGCAGCAACTTACAAGATTTTGCATTTGTCGACAGTAGGCGCTGATTTGCACCCCTATCATGCACTTTTGTTCGGTTAGATAGGCGCTTACGATTTGACTTCACAGTCTCCATCTCCGTTTCTGCTCCATTTTCATCAGAATTGCTTGTGCAAGAAGACGTCTCGGCAACAGGGCTTTGTTCCAATTTGTGATCACACGAATAATCCTGGTGGGGAACAGCCGGCTTCACATAAGCACTTGGTACCGCTTCAAACCTTGGTGTTACAAGGGCATACTTAAGGATATCTTCGTATTCCTTTTGAAAATCGGAAGAAACAGAGCTTCCATGTGAAGTTTCGCTTAACAATGGTGGCGAAGAAGCGTCACTACTTTCCGTGGTGGCCATTTTGCCGTTGGTCAAAAACAACTTCTATTTGCCGCCTTGATACTTACCTCTTCTGATTGGCTAGCCTCGTACCGAGAAGGACTCCTTCACCGCTTCCAAAGCCTCCCCGCTAGATATTAATGCAACACAGCTCAACAAATGAGGTACCTACCCTCGTAAAGTGTAAGAAAAAGTAGATTAGTTATACCCATAGAATTATATTATACAAGGGAAAAGTTCGCAAGTTTTTCTGCTGTCCAAATGTTTGGTCGGCAAATATGCCCAGTTTATCTTAAACTACCGTGGATTGGTAACACTTCCTTTCGATTCGAAAGTCAGATTTAAACAAGCCATCCCAGTATTGTTTCATTATCATCAGGTACCATCTTCATTATCATCAGCAGTGGCGGACTGGCAACTATTTGACCCACCGGGAAAAGCAGTCAAAAGGGCGCCAATAGGTGCTAAAGTCACAAAACTTTAGTGCTTGTAAAACGGGCTCGGAAAAACTTTGCTATAGCTGAGAATCAGTTTGTTGCAAGCATTGTCACAGGAAAGGAAACGGGGGATCGGGGGATGAGCCCCGGAAAATTTTTTGAAATCACCTTATTTAGAATATCAAAGTTTTTTATTCACAACTGGCATTGGCATGAAGAAGATTCTCAGTCAAATTGACTTTATTTGAAACGTCTACACGGCTGACAAAATTTGTAGGTACCAAATCATGTATTGCCCTCAATTTTAGGTATCAAATGATGATTTTTCAGCTAGCGAGACACTATCTTCCAAGATTTTACAAAGAAAGCAATTTCTCTGGCCTAGGAGATGAGATTCTTTTCGATTAAAATCGATCACGAAATCTTTAGAAATTTGACGAAATACATGACTTCATTCTCATAAATTTTCGAAAGTTTTCCAGCATATCTTTAAAAAAGTAAAGGGGTGCCTCAGCACCTGCTACCCTAATGACTGTGTTGCTCCTGCCTCTACGCTAGAGTTACATATCATTTACAAAAGATATGATGCCAGTGCATCAGCGTGCGGAATTATGATCAGGTACTGAACTATAGACTTGTCCGAAAAGTATTTGATAACATATCTTGGACAAATTGATTTTAAGAGACCCTGCTACCGTCCGTTTTGCCCAAATTGATGATTTTGCAGATTGAAGGCTCCTTCTGTATGAGAAACTGTGCGTAGACATGGTAAAAAGGATAAAGAATTTCTTAAGAAAAGGCACAGTCTCTATTCCGGAACAAAAGTTTGAAGGAAGATTGGAATACTTTTATAGATAGTTGTAAATTTGAAACCAGTTTTTTTTCAAAAAAGCAGATTTAACTTTCCATTAAATTTTAAAAAAGGTTCGTACATGAGGGCATGAATTCTCAACAAATTCCGTATAAAGTAATTTAAAAAGTTGTCAAGATTTTTGGCTCCAATAAGTCATAATTTCTTTTTGGCACAAAATTTCTGATTGTAACGTACAAAGAGCATGATGCCTATGAGCTTTTTAGTTGAATTGCAAAATATAATAGCTTGCCATCATTAGGACGTTCAGAAAGTATTGTCCTCTATCGTACCTAGAACAGTTTTCACTATTAAGGGATAGTTTATGGCTCAACCCATCTTTGATTACATAATATGTGAATATTTCCATACCTAATAGCCAACAGATCGATAATTTTATTCCTATTATAACCATTTTGATTAAAAAGAGTACAGGGTAGTGCTCAATTTATCTTTCCAAAGTGCGAGCCCTCAGTTATTGGATGCCAGGCACTAGGAATAGTTTGCTTTAGCCATAAGTCAAACAACTAATATGGTTAGTCATAAGTCATGGGTTTCACAAAATTATTAGTCACCTCAATAGATATCGAATTAATTCAAGTATTGCGCACTTGCGTGAAAAATTACAAGCTAACGAGGGTTGGAAGTGAGAGTAGGCTTTCTGGCTGCTACATATGAAAAAAAATTTTTGCGCTTTTAAATTTGAAAATGGCTTTGAAAAAAGCAAACACTTTTAACATACTTAAAGCCTTTTCGTCTGAACCTCTTCAGGATATAAAACGTCAGAATAAGGGTCAGAAAGAACAAGATGGAGAGTAAGTACCAACTTCTGGATCGAATTTTCCATCTTGTTCTTTTGGACCCTTATTCTGCCGTTATCTACTCTCAGAAGTTTCATACGAAAAAGATTTGAGTATGTTTAAAATTTTTGCTTTTTTCAGAGCCATTTTCAAAATAAAATATGTTCTTTCCAAGGTTTTCGAAAAATTTACAGAATTTGCTAATCAAGATTTCGTCTTCAATGAATTTTACAATAACAAAGATCGGGAAACTTAACAATTAATCTTAATTTTGCTCAACTTAAAAGCGAAACTAAACTTTTTATGGAAACGTACTTTAGACAGGAGGTCAATCGATGATTGTAATCAATTTTAAGCCTGGTTTCCATATAGCCGTAAGGCTGCCTGCGACTGCCTGCGACTGCTTTCTGCCATCTTCCATCTTCCACCCTTACAGTAGCGCCGGCAAATGGAAACGTTCTGTTTTCAATTGCCTGCGGTATCGGTAACTATGCCGGTAACTAGGTAAAGTTTGAGCGGGAAGAACTGGCGGGCAAAATTCAACAACAAAGCCCTGTTTTAATTGGTTCTTGCACATCACATGATCTGTTTAAACAAAAGAATGCCGCAGGCAGCCGCAGGCAAGGCGTTTCCATTTGTAATTTGTCTGCCGGCGGTACCGGGAGGCTGCCGTAAGAGCCGGGAAAAGTTGAACTCGTTCAACTTTCTCCCAGCTCTCCCGGCAGTCTTACGGCACTTCAAACAGCTGCCTGCGGTACCGTTAGAAAGCGTTTCCATAAAGAATTATCTGCCGGCGATTATGTCGTAGGGTATGGAAAGATTGCAGTATGCAGAAGTTAGCAGTCCGCAGGAGCCTTACGGCTGAATAGAACGACCGTAGTAGGCCAGGGTATATGCCTCTTTAGTTTAATTCGAAGATATTGCATGCTATGTCGTTGGGAGAAGGGCTCGCGACCAGGCGTTTTAAAAAAATAACTCTATGTGAGAGGGCTAAAGGGCGGTCGGAGGCGGGAAAAGTAGTAGTGGCTCTCGGTGGGTATGAGGTACACTTCTGGGACTCTGAAATTAGGTAACAAAGAGCGAGGCGAAGGTGGCGACGTCAGTGTCAGCGAGCCTGTATATATAGCTGAGATGTTTTGGATAGTTATGTGCTTTCTATACTTATGTATATTCGCGCACGAAGCATCGTAGGGAGAGTCCATCCCTATTCAAACTATATATCACTATTCCACTGGAACGGGAGAATTCTCGTGATTATGAAATTTTCGTGGAGTGTGAATTCTAGGACGTAGGATGCTGACATAGATAGAGCTCCAGACCGAGAGAATATACTATATAAATGCAACTTTTCCAAATAGTAGATACCTGGTAGTGTATTTTAATGAATGTAATCGCATTTTCAATGTTTACGGAGAAACACGCTGCGCTATCAGAGATTGTAGAAGATTGTTGCTGATTCTCATTTTCTCGAATCAATCGCGTAGCACGGGATCAAGGTGCACAGTTAAAACAGGGTCGAAGTCTACGTAGAGGGGTATGGTGGTGCGATAACCCCCACCCCCCACCGGTCTGACCACCTGGCAGAACAAAAGTAGGACCTTTTCGCAGGGCAAAACTGATTTCTGCAGGGCAAATGTTTTCTACCAACGGATCTAACACTACCAACGGATCTGTAATATGAAAGTGTGTTATACTTGTAAATTGTCTACTCCAAAAAAAATGATACAGACTACCCGTAACAGGAAGTAGAAATTGCCAGCGTGATCTTGGGCTGAATGGAATAGATTTCTAAATCACCTTTGGTTTATATTTGTGTCTTATTTAAAAACCCTACTAAAAAAATTGGGTCAAACTTTGATGGAATTGTTTTGCATAATTGGGTCTAAATTTGCTTTGACTTTAACGAGAAGCGTGACTTTAAGAAAGGAGTCGACTAAATTCGGTTTTTATATCAATTTTTTGTGGATGATACAGGGTATATTGTATAAATTCCTGTAGGTTTTCAAGCTTGTGTTTGCCAGATGAAGATTATATCATCGATAAATCTTTCCAACATATTCGACTGCAATCCATTGGGGCATTGCTTAAGATATGTTCGGGTTTTCACGTAAAATTTCATTGAGTAGTCGATTAAAGTTTTGGTTGAGTGTAATTAGGCCTTAACTGTATCTTGTGACTTGGTGACGCAGCTTTTCTGTTCACCTTATTTTCTAATTGCTTCGATTATAATAATTACACTTTCGTTTGAGCCAACTGACGTAAATTGGATAGAGCATCGTCATTGGTAGTTTATTTTGGATTAATTAGTTTTCAGTATATATATAGAACGTTGGGGTTTTGTTAGTGCGTGCGGGCAACTGGGGGTGGTTGTGCGAACCCAGCTGTGATTTGCTGAATAATATGAAATGTGAAATGCTCAAATGACTTTTTCTTCAGTGTTTTCTCTGGAATACAAAGTTTAAAAAGAATCAGCAAAATAGATCCTGAGAGGTCTAAAAAGATATGTTGTTCTATTGTTGTCATGAGTATGTTGGCATAATTTGGGGCAAATGGTGTTACCGTTGCGGTGCCATGAGGGAGGTTTATAAAATTTACCATTACACTCCTTTTTTATAAGAACCAGTAAATTGAAGTTCAGGCTGGTTGTTCTTAATTTTTTCGAAAATCTGAGGCTGAATTGTTCTTAATTTGCTCTTCAATTTATAGGATATTAGCAATGCGATTGCTAGCTTTTCGCTCTAGGCAGGTGTCCAGGCCTCATTTGCCAGCAAAGTGCATGAGAAAACCTTCATTTGCCGCCATGTTTGAACATTTACTGAAGAAGCATCCCCAGATGGCAAAAAATTCCTCGTTTTTGAGATGAAAATTGTTCAAAGTTACATTTAACAGTAGCTCAGCCTCAGCTTGTTCTTAATTTGTTCTCAACCTTTGGCCAATTTTGAAGCTCGTGTTCTTATAAAATTATTCTCATAAAAAGAGAGTGTAAAGGCAGGGATATCGGAACGACCAAGGGGCAAGGGGGCGGGCTTGAGTAAAAGGGCATTTGAAAAAATTAATTCCCAGCTACCAACAATTCTTTTGTAACCGTCATTTTGTTTCGATCTTCTGTCGGTAACTTGAAAATCGGCTAGATTTTGGCATAAAAAATCTCTTCACAAGTTTCGAGAAATGTTTCATAAATAAGGCACTACAGTCAGAATTCCATATGAATCTCATGGATTTCCTACAAAAAGCGAGCTTCAAGGGCACTTCTATGAAAAGGCACTTTAGCCCTCCTTGCCCCTCCTATCAAAAGGCAGCAGGGGCGGTCGCCCCCCCCGCCCTCCTCTCCGGTGTCCCTGTTTAAAGGCAATATAATTGTGTTTGAGAATAAAAATCACCATCTGTTGTATTTTATATGCAGCAGGGTAGTTTCCCTATAATGATTTTTTTATAGCATTGAGGGAATCTTTGATACCCTCACCTTGTGAAATTGTAGTGTGTATATCGGAAGTGTGATGTAAAAAAATGAGCCCATGCTCTTTAAATCAAGGATGGAGGGTTGCCTCACTCATTAAAAAACTTTCTCTTGCTCGTCTCTCCAAGGTCAGGCACACACGTCGATGAACTTGTGGATACACTGAGCAAGGACATAAGCGGGAGCAACTTACCTTAAGAACTATTTTAGTGTCACGGTAAAATATGCAGCCACCCCCACAAAAAGTATGAAGTGACGCCCCTGCGTACATGTACATGGCTGATGCATTGGTCACATCGGAAAGTTTTAGCAAACAATTGGTGTTTTTGGCCTGTTCTGCTCGCTTCAATGTCCCCCCCCCCCCCAAATTCGAAAACAATTTTAAATTTTTCAGTTTGGTGACACTGTGACCCAATTTTGACGTCACAGTGTATTTCGTTAGTCTCGCCTCAAACCGAATCGAACGACGGCGATTCGCAAATTGAACACTGCCAGTGATGGGGCTCTCAGTTCTGTTCCACCGGCTTTTAGTTTGAGCATTCCAGATATCAATTCTGAAGCCTTCAGTTGTTCTTCTTTTTTGGAGAACAACTGAAGTGTCAATTTCGATTAATTTAACGCGAGGGAAGAGCTGGAACAGGAAGCCGTAGCTTTGTGGGCCTACACAGGTGATCAAAACAAAGTCGTGACACAGCATGGACACATTCCGACCCGTAAACTTAGAATGATTGTAAAAATTTACTATTTTTCGATCCTAAAAAGCTCCTGCTGTAGATTTAGATGCAGTTATCAACGCGTGACCATGACTTCTTCACGAGTCGGTGGAAGATATACGAAATTCATGGCGAACGAGAGTCCCACACTGTGACGTCAGAATGTCATCAAACTGAAGGTGCAACTTTAAAGCCTTATAACTTCTAAACTAATTGGAATTTTGCAAAAACAACGACTTTGCCACAATACACGCACCAGATGCTAACTTTTTATTCACTAAAATAATTTTTTTTGGCTGGAGAGGCCCTTTAACTGTCAATCAAACGTAAAACAAATGTAATTCTCAATTTCCGTGACAGAGAATGCTACCGCTACATTCGTTACATTGGGCTATACACAATTAAAATTTGATGCTGAAAAGGCTTTTGATAAATCTTGGTTAGATAAATCGCGTACCAAACGAGAATGAATTCGACTGAATTTCAGACAGTAAGAGTGATTAATCAAAAATCGAAAGCACCAGTAGAAGCACCAAATGGAGTCACAAAAGCATTTCATCTTGAAGCAGCAGTAAAACGAAGAACCATATTTGAACCACTTTCTGGGCTGCAGACGTACACAAAGTGAACGTAATTAACAGAAGAAGCTACAAAGTGATAGGAGCGGAAAGAGAAATTGAAAACTTATAATCTGTGGATGACATCGTTGGCATTAAAATCAGCAGAGAGAAGCTTACAAGCGAAAGAAGAGAAGACAAAAATATCACCTTTCATGATGAAAAATCGAACATAATGGTGGTCATTTTAGTGAAGGAAAAAGCCATAACAATCGTGCATTTAGTGAAGAAAGCATGAAAATTGGCATACCTATAGATTTTGACATGCTGAAAACGATGAGATCGGGACCCCACCTGTTAAGTACCCCAAAAAGCTATTTTTAGATGATGATACTCGGACCCAGTCCTCCTCAACTAATTCTACCAATTTTACACCACAGTTCCATATTAAAAGCATACAGAGTTGTATAAGTGTATAATCAGGCATGAAAATGCAATAATATTGTTATTTCAAAATGAATTGCCCCCATATTCTATTTTTAGATGGGGTTCTTGGTCCCAGACCTCCAGGAAAGGTGCTGATCATTTTTCTGTAGTACCCGGGAGCGAAATACTAAAATTACTAATATCACAGAGATTAAGATCCTCATAACGATGAAAGCAATTTTTCAACTTTCATATTAGGCCCGCAGTCTATTTTTAGAAAGCGGTACTTGGATCCAGACCTGTGTCGGTAGTTGTGTCTGCCCTGTCATGATTTTCGGATGTTGGAAAATTGAGATACTGGTACCATGGAAAGCACTCAATGCTGTAGATGAAGATGGATTGTGGTCAATGTTGTCGATCGCTGCAGACGTGAACATACCATTCTGGATACTTGGTGGGCAAACTACGCCGTTTTCTCTGTAAATTTTACACAACTGTTTTGTAACCGCTAGTTCGAAATTTTGCACGCGATTGTTCGGGACGCTTATTCCATGCTTTGCAAGGTGTACTACCAAGCCCTTTGTTCGCGTTTTGCTGTGTATCATCAATCAAATATAGCGAGGAAATGGTGTTTCGTCAGCTTTCATGTGCCGTTTTTTTTCAACAATGTCATTATGCTTCTTTTCTTTTCTGATTGTATTAAACCGAATCAACTGAGAGATAGATGTCGCAGCTCTACTGTTGCTCAATTCACAAGGCTCCCCTCCAATCACCGAAACACCCAGGATCATTCTTACTAAGCTATAAAGTGAAGCCGGAACTGATGCTTCATGTTTTGGTTCTTCCTTATCGTCAGCAAACATTTGTTTTCTAATTATTTTGGCTGCTCTTGCAAGGCATCTACCATCATCCTCTCCGCTAAACGAGCACGAATCGAATATTGCTGATCCCGTCTCTTCCTTCAAAATCAAGAGTATTTCTCTTCCTTTCTTATGCTCACTCAGTCCTGGAAGTAGCTCAATAATTTTCTCTTGAGGCGAGTGCTGTGAATCTTGCTCTTATATTCTTCAGATGCACCATATTCGACAAGGCGCTTGCAAAAAAGAGTTTTCAAAGCACTTAGTTTGAAAACTGGGATTGTTTCTTCAACACTGCAGCATTCTTGCATGTAGGAGACTATTTCCGCTAAAATGACTCCGTAAATAATTTCGTACTCAACATCTGCTGCAGGTTTAGAAGATTTTATGGCTCGTACTCTATTTCCTAGAATGGTCAAACAGTTCTTGTGGTAACGAGCCTCAATTGCGACCAAGTCACCTTCACTGAGTCTAGCAAGAAGCTTGTCGTCCGATAACAGAATGGCCGCATCGCGAATTCTTTTATCCAAGCCAAGTGTGCCCGCATGGTGCAAGTTTTTATCGGAGTCATGCTCATCACATAATATGCACGTTGGTTGAAAATTATCTGCAGTATACTGAGATCGAGTTTTTAAAGTCACAGTGGAACTTTGTTCCTGGCTGCTTTCATCAACGCGCCTTTTTCTACATACCCTGTTGTAATGATAATTGTCGTAACGATTTCTACAACTTTTATGAAACTTTGCTTGGTATTGAACAAAATTATCTAAGAGATTCGGATTTTGGAACCTTCGCTTCAGAGATGACGGTAGCTTTCCTATCTCCCCAAAACGTCTAAGGTTTTCTATTACAGCAAGATATCCTTGACTAGCATCAGCTCTAGTAACATTCGCTGGACGCACGAGCGCAGTTTGATCGACTCCTTGACACAGAAAACAGAGATTCCAGTCTATTTCTCTATCAGTCTGACATCTATCAAAGTGATTGGGTACGTCCAAGAGCTCAAACCTCTTTCCGGACATGACACTTTTTGGAACCGTTCTGGCTACTTTCTGCTTACAGTCATGTCAAAATATCCCCTACTCATATCATGCCACGCGCCTCTGTTTCTTGATAAGATCAGGCTTTTCTTTTTACCAGGTATCTCACTTCAAGGGTAGCGTGCTCGCGCGTTCTTAAGACAAAGGATCTTCTACATGCATCAACGCAACTGATCAGATCAGTAATTATACCACGTTTCTGGAAATTCAAAAGCTGCAACGCTTACAGATTGCTTTCAGCTGTTAACTACGGATTCAGCTTCTGTATCGCGAAAATCGAAATTGTCCATCCATTGCATACATAAAGATAGATTGATAGAAAAACTGCTCTACCCCATTCTGAAGAAAGCTTTTTGGTACAATTTAATCCCCTCTCAATTAACTTTTATGACTTGACGCATTGTTTTTGAAAATTTTGTAGAGGTCTGGATCCAAGTACCGCTTTCTAAAAATAGACTGCGGGCCTAATATGAAAGTTGAAAAATTGCTTTCATCGTTATGAGGATCTTAATCTCTGTGATATTAGTAATTTTAGTATTTCGCTCCCGGGTACTACAGAAAAATGATCAGCACCTTTCCTGGAGGTCTGGGACCAAGAACCCCATCTAAAAATAGAATATGGGGGCAATTCATTTTGAAATAACAATATTATTGCATTTTCATGCCTGATTATACACTTATACAACTCTGTATGCTTTTAATATGGAACTGTGGTGTAAAATTGGTAGAATTAGTTGAGGAGGACTGGGTCCGAGTATCATCATCTAAAAATAGCTTTTTGGGGTACTTAACAGGTGGGGTCCCGATCTCATCGTTTTCAGCATGTCAAAATCTATAGGTATGCCAATTTTCATGCTTTCTTCACTAAATGCACGATTGTTATGAAATCTGCCACTGGTTGCCCTCACTATTTTGAAAGAGAAGAAAAGGCAAAAATTACAGAAGAAGAGGAAAAACTGAACAGCAAAGTAGAAATAGAAAGAGGGGAACAGATCAAGTAGAAAGGAGAATGATTTAATGTGAATGGAGACCGCAAATCACAAATTCAAATAACATGTATGATACAAACTATGAAGAGACATGGAAGTACAAAACAAGTAGACAAATTGACGACGCAAGTAATATTGAAGATATTGGAAACAGAAATGACGTCGACAAATTTATATGAAATAAACGTTTACAAATATTTCAAAAGAAGAACATGAATAGATAGGAGATTTGCAAAAATGCTTTTGACTAAAACATCTGAAGTAGAAGAAAGCCTTCAACACTGGGAAATATTATCTGAAAGTGGAAATTGGCGTATTCATCAAATGATATACATCATAAAAATCAACGGCATATCATATCACTGGTACAGCGAGCAAATCAAGATTCACAAAGCAACTTCTACCGACTCAAGCAAATAGCAGCCGGCCGAATTGCGGGTGTACAGAACCTAAAAATATTGCAAAGAGGGTTGCAAACTATGCAAGCAAAAAGCAAAAATGGCTGCAAGCATGAGGGCTGCAAGCAAAAATAATAAAAAATTTTGAAAACGTCAAAGAAGGTTGAATCCAAATGGAAAAAATAGGGAAAATAATTATCTTAATATGACCTTTAAAAAACCATGGCCTTACCAAGAACTCAGTGAGATTTTTCCATGGATCCGCCCTTGTTAAGGCAAGATAGACTAGAAAAGTCCGTCAGTTTTTTCTGCATTTAAGCCCACCAGGTCACTGCCCTTCATAAATCACCATCAAATTCGGGTCAATATTAAGAATTTCAAAACACTGTGAAACGCCAAGTGTGATGACTGTGGGGATCCTTTATAAAAGTGCAATGAAATGTTGAAGGAATCATATCTTAATAGTATATTTTCCAACCTTCCCTTGCTAACATGAAAACAATTTTTAACTTTAAATAGTGATAAAATAAATCGGATTTCGCACAAGGCGTAAAATTGCTATACATTGCAGCACAAAAGGAACATTTTTCACCACAATTTTTTTTTCTCTCTGTGCATCTCGAGAAAGGCTGACGTATTTATCATAATCGGTGTCTCAATCTTTTGGTTAACCCATTTAGCTTTTGACACCTGTTGCCATACAAGATGTGTATAAAGATTGTAAAAGAAAGGATAAGTATAGTGGTGCGCAAAAAATAATGCTTAAGATTGTCAAAAGATGTTTCCGCTTTGCAAGAAATACGTAAGTAATCAAACTTGGATATACTACAGATGGAATGATATTTAGACACGTTTCCTCTTAAATAAGTTGTCCACTTTTCAAAATTTCCTTTTCGCTCTTTACAAACATTTACAAATATACAACTTTAAAGAGTTAAATTTCAAACAAGAAGCTTGATAGAAAGGAATCTTCAGTCAAATTTGAATCGACAAAACGGACAGTGACCATGCTGTAGTAAGGCCAGCTCAAAATCTTCAGTGTGGAACATCTACAAATGAGAAAATGCAAAGTTGAAGAGCAGAAAGGCAAAAATGACCATTGTAGCAAAAGAAACCGCGAAAGCAATACAGAAACTAATTGACTGCTCATAACTTCATGAGTGCAGCCAGAAACTTAGTGATAAAACGATTACGTCAGGCACATTCATAAATAAATCAAAGAGGAAGAATTGTCTTGATAGGAATACGAGTGTGTCAACATAACTGAAAAATCACTTGGGTGAAGATGTCATTTCTTGTCTTTTTAACGACCCCCCAACCTCTTTATGATTGTAAAAAACTTTTTTAAGAAACTGCTAGTGTTTTTCGTTGTTCGCGTGGTTTCTTTGTTGGTTGCCATTTTGCCAGCTATAATACAACAGAACTGGGTGCAGTGGACTTCAAGTACATTGACCAGGTCCTCGTGCGACTGATAAATACGGAGATAAGGAAACATAACAACATAAAATACATAAAACCAAAATCACCCTGAAGCATGATTGGCACATTTTGATGGATACATCTGGAATTATATTCTTGTAGTATTGATAGCGAAGGGGTTCAGGCCATCTTTTAATAAAAACTTCATTCCTGTTTAAGTTCTTTAGCGCTTTTCTGCCAATGAGAACTGGTGTGAATTCACCTCCACCTTGCTACAAAAGAAAACATCGCAGGGTCAATGTACGACATAGAATGACAATGTGAACCTAGCACTCGACTCTAGTTGTCTCCGATTTCTCCAAGCATTGACAAATTGAATAAAAAGTCATTCTCTTATTCAGTGATCTCAGCAGGACAATGAATTACATTTCAGATTATCATTCTCTCATTGAATCTCTTGGAATCTTACAAATGAATTTTCAAATATTACCTCAAATGTCATCACTTTGGTCGAGAAAGGGTCTTCGTCTTCACCGACAGCATCTTCAAACTCATCAAATCGAAGACTTTGCATATCTATTTGTTGCGCTCAGGAAAGCCTAACTGTGTCTTATCTAATCATACGCATATGATATGATCAAAAGAAGTCGTCAATTAATCACTTCCTATTAGTGCAAAGGGGAGATTGCCGAGGGCCAATCTAGGTTACCACCAACAGCCTCTTCATGAACTATGAGGAACGCATTTGCGCATTTCATACCATACTGCCGACCTGGCACTTTAATAGACATAATACCCATCGCTTAGAAAAGCTCAACACCCTAGATACAAGAACATTTTATCTGGAAAAAAATTAAACCGATCCGCAATTAAAGTTGTTAACATTTTGCGAATGATGTCTTTTTTCTCGCCTTTGGTTATCATGTGACTTCACTGTGTCTGCCTCTTATTACTCTTTCTGCAACTCTACCACCGAATGTTTTTGTAATAATCTAGCCGATCACTAATATTATTAAAAACACAATGAATCATATATCATCATATTTTATATTTGGTACTCTTTGGTACTGACAAAGGATACTTTCTGATTGCTGGAATTTGTGCTTGTCCTTTTTATTCGTTTGTAGAGCCTCTGTTTCAATCAATTTGATTGCTTCTTCATCTCTAGGGGGCAAAATGTCACGTGCTACAATCTCAGTGCTAAACAAACATGTTTAAAACAAGGTATCTTTTCAGCAAGTCAGAAAAAGGATTGAAGTGGATTGGAGGAATTATAAACATACTCTATGTCATCTTCAAGCATAAACTCGACCAGTGGCAGGATTTCTGCAAGATAATTACATGGACGCGTTAGAAAATAAAGAACGAGAAATGATTATTCAACAATAAACTGTTGCCATACATTTGAGGGATTACCAGATTAACATACATGGCACTTGTAAATCCACAAAGGGATCTTACCATTATACATGAGAAGGCTGAAACAAAGAAATAACTAGAACAAATTGTCTGCTTATTTCTACATGCCTAGTGGTTCGTATGTTGACAGCCCAAATGGCGAGATGCACTATTAAAACGATACCTAATAGAGACATCTGAACCTATTTAGATTCCTACCACGATCGACAGCAAAGGAAACCACCTAATCATGGAAATCTTGTATAGTTCATTTTCAATGAAAAATGTTAAAACAATGAAGTTGAACATGAATTCTTTGTACGAATACCAAAAATGCTATTCAATACAGGACTGCCTTCCATGGCTTTACATAGAACAAACAACCTGAACAGGTTTTTTAAACACAGTCAAAAAGTAGCTTACCAAAACCAATGTACGAGTGTACGAATGGCTGCGCGCAGTTTATGCACTGGTTTCCTTTGTTATTTAGCAGTGGGTTGGTTGTTGAGCATCGGTAACAGATTGGCAATAAATCCTATGAGATACAAAAATGTGTGGTAGAAAACGTATCTAGAGGGATGGCTCGTCATCAGAGCAAAAGATCAGTTGGGACTTGTTTTCAAATTTATCTAAAACAGGAAATTAACTAACCTCATTATCGTGAAAAGGTTTCGATCGGATAGTAATACTGCCGAGGTCTATGGCTTCCTGGAGTCTTGAAGGAAGCTTCAATGCCTTAAGAATTAAAAAGAAACAAGAAAATGAGTCGAAAGTAGTTAAATAGACGTGAGCACATTAAAATGAAAGGAAAGACAATCGCAAAATAGTTTATAAAAGGTGCTAAAAACGGACCTACTAGCTGTTACGACATCACACATATTTCCCAAGGACTCCAGCGAAAGACAAAAATATGGGATACTTTACCTGCAATTTGTCAAAAGCATAACGCGCGAGTTTGAATGCTCTTAGGTTCTTGCTTTGTTTAGCCAGAGCGTAAAGAGCATTTCTAGTACTCTGTTAAGGACAAATAAGGCGTGCCACTCTCGTTAAAATAAAAAGAACAACTACCATGGGTTGGTTATAGGCAATTGCTATACAAAGACAAGTTCCTCCAGCATAAATAACGAGGTTCATTAAAATCTTTCGCATATATTGCCAGGAAGGTAACAACGATAGGCTGCTTAAGATATATTGCAAATTTAATAAATTATATTAGTATCATCTTTGGGTTGGGAAGTACAATAAAATAAATAGGTGATATAAAACTGCCATGAGAGCTTAATATGAAAAGATACACTTTCGAAATGCCATGCGGGGTATCTTTAATCAGCATATGCAGCAGAAACCGTGACATGTTGAAAAGGGCCTCGGGCAACTGGGATGTGAATGGCTCGTCCTGCAATAGAACACAAAATAGCAAGGTCTACTCCATGCTTCCTTACACATATAACAGGTAACAATTGAGACTAGAAACAAGATTGGGCAAAATCTTGGCAAGTAAAATCAATAAAGGGTTAAAGAATTTCATAATTACCACAACATTTATGCACAATGCTAACAAAACTAGACACAGCATTTCCACGAAATTGGTACCATATTTCAACCAGGCCTTGAGCAAGAGAATACCAGTTGTTTGCCACCACGAGAATTTTATCTCTTAATGTTTTCAATTGGATTTTCGTCGTTTTTATTGGATTGTCGTTACAATTTGAGTCAACCCTAATACTGGCGGAAGGAAAATTGTTCATTGGGGTCTCTTATTACCCATGTAGCTGAAAAACCGTGCCTTGCGCTCAAAAACCCTTTTCCAAAAACTTGGCGCTGTTTTGGCGCCTCTCAGAAAAATTGCCGAAAGGTCTGCCTGGAATACGTTGGTCAGGGCATTTCAAAATCACAAATTATGCGAATAACAATTTTGGGGACAATATTTTAGTATATAGACATGCACTGCTTTAACCAGGAGTTGTCCAAGAAGGAATTTCATGTTCTGTTATGTTAAAAAACAGTTATTTCTTGAGTGCACCTACAGAATTAAAGACTCACTATAACGACATTATTTGCGGATAGAGAGAGGGAGTGCACTCTTGCATGCCTGGTGTTTGATAAAAGGAAATAAAATTCGAAAGTTTTTCTAGCTGAATAGGAATAAAGAGGGAGAACGTTGTTTAATCGTTGAAGATATTTTACAACTTTGTTTGCTTCTTTGCTTCCATAAACTACACCATTGACCCACCCCCTCCCCCTCCCTCACCACCCTACAACAAATTTCACTTTAAATTTCGCCTGCATTGGAAATGGGGAATAGCCACCCCTACTCCACATGCCTGACTATGGGCTTCATTTCAACAAAAAATTTTGTAACAAAAAACTGTATACAGTACAGATATTTAGTTGTATAATTGCAGTAAAACAAACATAATTATGACAAGAAATAAGTTTTTACATTTATTTCAATTCTTACTTTCTATTACGGATTACTCACCATGTACCTCTGAATTGAATGGTACACGTAATAAATTTCACTCTTCACTTGAAATTCAAAGAATTTGTCAAGAATATTGTCTTCCACCTCAATGTCACCTTCAACAATAAATAGAAGTAATGAACCGTATTACAACAGCATTTATCAGCAAATTTCAAGCACGTTTCGCAAAAGAGGAATATACCATGCTAATTAGGAATGCCGATAACACAGTGGACGACATGAAACACGAAAACGTAACAAGTGCGTCTGACCTCTATGCGCAGTCACACCATGGATACAATGGGAAGGCAAATGCGAGACTGCGCTAGTCTGACGAATTAGTTGGTATGAAATTTTGACAGAAATTTCACTGCTCAACAACCAACATGTCTTTAGAGACATTGTGCAAATTTGACACACGATGTGAAGCTACAATTTCACAAACCTTTGACTTTCTTGCCTGCGATATCCAAACATTGCATGGAAAGTTGCCAAAAATAATAACCCGCATCGTTAAATCTAAAAACATTGAAGAGTAAATTATAATCATATTTTTGCACAGTCAACTACTGAATTAAAAAATTTCAGGATCTTCAAAAATGGTATCAAAAATGATAAAAAAATACTTTCGTAAACCTGAAAGCCATGACTGCGGGCAAAAAAAACAGTTTTGGCGGGCGTACATATTCGTATTGAAAAAGGTATGATAACAGGTAAATACACAACAAGTTGATATTTGTAAACGATTTGAAGCTTAAGTTGAACGATCTGTGAACATTCCACACCTGTTTTCGACGACTGCATTTAATGTAAGCTGCTGAAGAACCTTGATTGCTTCTTGCCTTTTGCCAGCCTTATGAAATGCTAAGGATGTAAAAGTTTCGTCTAAAATGATACTTAAAAGATTGTCTTGATTGAAAGACAATAAAGTGATTTCTCAAATGAATATTGTTCTCAAGTGATGTTCTCAAGTGATACTTGGAACTGATCCCTTTCGAACAGAATGCATAACACGGTAAATATAAAAACAATGCACTAATCGACTTGGGATGATCAGGTTCCAAGACGTACCTGCCTGGGCCTCGTCGAATCTGTCATTCTCTGCAAGCCAGTTTGCATAAGGAACATACACATCATCCTGTAACAGCAAAGGATTCTCATCATTTGAAGTCCTTATGAAATTCTTATTATCCAAATATCCCCTATCATTGAGCACAAACATTCCCTTTAAATTTCAATCCAAAACACCAACGGTCTACCTTGAATTCCTTATGTTTTTCTGCCAGATTGAAGGCCTAGAAAGAAAATGTTTCCAATTTGAGACCGCAATATTCAGAGAGTATATAATCTTCGCTGTTCAGAAACTGTCAAATAAATTGTCAAATAAAGGTCACAAGCTTTTTTTTATAAAACACAAATTTATTTAAAACCGGTTTATTATCTGTGACCATGAGACGGCAAAGGAGTGCAGTTCTTCAATATTAAAAATAAAACTTGAAATGGTCGCATCAATTGAAATAGAATTCTGTCTGTGACTTTACCGTAAATAATATGGTTACAGTTTATTCTTTACACGGCTTTGCATCGTTCGAATGACACATAGCCATTCTTGCATTGTAGTCGTAACACATGTCTTGCATTAGCTTAATTCATCATTATTGTGATCAAAGAGACCATTTTCAAGGATCAGACAAATATAATAAAGACAACCTCTTCCCATTGATGCGCCTCCACATACAATTGCACTAGGGATTTCTGGTCCCCCATTTTCAAGTACATTTCCGCTGCGTAGGAATACTGTTGTTGCTCCTTCAGGTAAAATGCACAGATTTTTAATGGCTCGATATCAGCCTTGTTCAAATTGCGACCAAGTTCAACCAATCTAAAAAAATAAAATAACGATATTAACGTTGAGTATACAAAAATCTCAGTAAAATTTTGGCTCTAAACCTTTTAGCTCGTATCGTTATCGCATGCATGTACATAGATGAAATCAAATAGAATATGAAATTTTGTGAATGAACCTGAAGAAAACTCATCAGAAACAAAATAACAAGCAGAGAGGTTTCTCCTATGTCGTCATTCATGAAGTCCATACCGACAAAGAAGTCTCAATGTTTAGACATAAGGAGAAACTTAACACAAAAAAACAAATAATTGGAAAAAATGAGCTACTTGTCGGTCCATCCATTCTCGCCAAGGATTTCGGCAGCTTTAAGAAATTCACCTGCTGCTATAAACATATCACTGCAAAGAAAAAAGAAATAAAATTAAAACAAATATATGACAAAGCATGGCTGAAAATACGAGCATTTGTTGCTGATACAGATTATAATGATACTCACGCAGCAGCCCGCGGGTCATTCGTGCTTTTACACCACTCGGCCTGCTTGCGGATCAGTTGCTTGACATTACGTTGGTCACCACTTCCAATAAATTCTTTTGCAAAATCAAATTGTCGCAGATCAGAAAACATTTCCAATGCCTAAAACAGAAATTAGCATCGAATCGTTCAAAGAAAACATTAAACTAAGAACTTAAATTATCGCTGGACAGAATGACGTATCACCTAAATGATGTAACGTACCTTTTCATCGTTTCCAGTCTTCTTATATAACTTTGCCGCCTCTTGAAACTTGCCCTTAAAATAATGAATTCAAAGTACACAACTCATAGAAGATGTCGGGTCAGAACACCTTACTTAAACGTCAAAAATGCGATTAGCAAGGCAGCCAACTTGTCTAAAGCCAACAAAATCAGAAAACCAGAAGCCCCATATTGAAGTTGGAAAAAGCACGTTTTGGGGCATTTTGTGAGTGAGACCGCTACCCTTCTCCATAAAAGGTGTTTTCCATTGTCAAGCATTTCTGAATACTAATATTCCTTTCTGAGTCGTTATCCCACGAGTTGAGTCTACATCTATGAAACCAGCTATTTGTAAGCATGTTGCAACCTGTGTGTTAAAATACTCAATAATCTACAAGATCAGAAGATAGCTCTTTTCACAGCCCTTTAATATAAAACCTACAATACATTTCATCGTTGATACTTCTACTGCTTCAGTTAAATTCGGGGAAAAGCTATGTTATATTTTGAGTTTGGTTCTCTAATAATGGAACTACCTTATTAAACACAAATAACGCGGTACACCAAATAACGCGGTACACCAAATAACGCGGTACACCAAATAACGCGGTACACCAAAAAACGCGGTAACGCGGTACACAAAATAATACGGAACAAATTAATGCGATCACAAATTAACGCAGATAGCGAGATTGGATTTCAAAATGTGTGGTAATTAACATGAATCAACAAAATTAAAATTATCAAATGGTATATTATAAACGCGAATTTCTGATGTCAGCAAAACGTTTTACTGAAATACCTTCAAATTCAGCACAGGAAAAAAATGACAAAAAAACTCGAAATCAAGGTGGATGACACGAAGAATGTTAGGCATCGAGAAGATGAAGATGTTGAAGAAGATGCTGAATTTAACATGTGGAAACAGTTGATAATGAGGACATTCAAATGTAATAGAATGTATTTCATGTTTTTTACCTTGCATCTTACTTAATACTGGGAAAAGATGTTTTACTTTTATTAAAACTTGAAAAAAGACAGTTAATAACGGACGAGAAATTTACCCGCACATGAAATGAACGGGGTTTCAATTAAGGCGGAGTTTTTCAATTCGCGTAATTTAATGTACCGCGTTATTTACCGCGCTATTGTTGTCGTGTAAAAAGTTATATATCTGGACTAGGATATTTAAAAACCAAACTGATAAAGTTACGATGGGGCCTACCTGATAGGCAAATATGTCGGCCAAAAATGCTTGATTGTCACTATCACCCCTTTTCTTTCGCTCCTATAAAAATAACAAAGATATACTTCATTTATCGCCAAAATTATTGATGCATTTCGATTTTTATTGAAAACATAACAGTAAAATGCAGCAGGCAAAGGTGAAAATGAAACACGATAGTCACCTCAATGGAGTTTATCAACTGCAAATACTTGAGATCTCGGACCCTAATGAAGGCCTGAAAAGAGCGAAGACAAAAGATAAGGGTGAAAGCTATGTAAAGTTCACCAGTAAAACAGTCGGAGATAAAAATGATTAGCTGAAAGACTTTGTGCACAAGGATAACTTCAGAAAAACAGGACTTCATCACTCACCATTTTTGAAATTTGAAATTCAAGACCCTAAAAGAAGAAAAATATTTTTGAGATTAAGAATAAAATAGTACAATTAAAGGGACCTACAACCACTAAGCAAGTATATATATGGAGAAATGAGGGAGAAAAGTAAAACAAGAAGGTTAGGTGAAAAGTAAGTAAAATGAAAAAGAAAAGGAAGATGAATAGAAACAATAGACCAACCTCAAGTGCAGCCATTGCGAGAGCCCTCCAGTCGCCATCTGTTACCCCAAGGCAAGCGACTCTGTAAGCATCCCTGGTGACATAATGGCAGTGAGAGATTGGGTGCAAAAAATCAATGACGGTAAGTAGCAATGGTCACCAGCGATGTGTCACAAAAACCCGAATCATCGAAACTTACCTCACCGTCACATACCGCGAGGCAAACGACGCTTCCAACACTTTACTTTGCATACAACAGACATAAAAAGAGAGCGTAACCAATAAACAAGCATAAAATAATGGGTGTCAATGTTAAAGGAATTTGAATGGTTCTTACGAGTATAGCTTCTTCTCCAGGTACTGATACATCGGCGTCGACTGAAAAAGAAATTTATCCTCTTTTTTTATGGCATATTGCAAACATTTGCAGGCAGATTTAAAAGGCGTGCGATCAGAGTTGATGACAACAACGAAAAATGAGTCAAATTAAACAGTTAACATTGCTTACCTGAGGTACCTCTACCGATGTCATTGAGTATACATGCAAACAGAATATTTTGGATCCACAAAAGCCAACAACAAAGCCCTGAATGCAACAAAGATCACAAGTCAATCTTAAAATTCATGCAACACGTGAAATTAGGCAAAAGATAGTCAAACCCAATAGAAAGTGGCGCAACTACACTTTGAAAGAACCGGAGCACGAATGTTGATAAAACTATCAACTTCTTTGGAATCTATCCAAAAACTAGAAAAAAGTTACTTAGAAGATCAAACAAAGTTTTTTTTAAATTACAAAATACGGTTTATCATTTCATTATTTTGTTAGATGTTTATTTTTGCTAACTTTTTAATTTTTATTTTGCAACCCAAACAAGATGAATATTTTTCATTTATATCGCACGGAATAAGTGTTCTTATCATTATTACCACAACCTGGCTGTTTGCACTCTGCTAATAAATTGGAAGTAAATTGAATAAATTCAATTGCTCAGACCAACACAGTAGTTCGAAGGGACATCAATTTTTAAAATAGATGACAGCCTAGCCACTTCTCCCAAAGATATCTTTCAACAGACTTAAGATTTTAAAATGAAATTTTTATGGGAATAAAGAGTTTACCGGCACTTTCTGTTGATGAACTGGAAAACTGCTAGCTTTGATGTTGAGCGTCCCTCCGCCAGAAAAACACAACATGTCCTGAAATATGACGGGACGCAATGAATGGTAGATTAAAAAATTTGAATATATTGCAAGGAAAATATGATATTATAGTGTACACATGTAGACGCCAAACGCCAATATGAAATGTAGAGAAACCATTTACTGACTTGCATCACCTACGAACTTGTGATTTGATGTTCTGTTATTTGTAAATAAATAAATAAATAAATAAATAAATGAATTAATAAATTAATGAATACATACATCATTTTGCGTGTTCCAAGACACACTGTTTGCATTTGGCTCCTAGACAAAAATGGCCAATGAGTATGTTACAATGTGACAATGAGCATGTATCCTACAGAAAGAGCTTACGTGAAACTGGAGTGAATAATGAACACAAATAATAATAGCAAACAAAAAGCAGCATCAGCACACCTGGAAGAGCAGTTCTTTGGTCTTCAAATCATAGACGAGACACGTACTGTTTTCATCAACAACGGCCAGTTTCGTCCGACTGCAAAGAGATTGAAAAGGTTTGCAAGGTGGTCACTACCCTAAAACCCTAGAAACTCTACCGCTGATCATCTGCAGTCAAAAGCTACAACAAGGGGAAATAGCTTACTTGCAACTGAGGTCGAGGCATCGGACACTGGTTTGCTGTTTCAAAAGAGACACAGGAAACGGGTTGTCCACGAATATCTTCAAAATCTGGAAAGAGAAGCGAATTTTGCCATAAAACGTCGATACATTTAGCTTTGCACTTCAAACAATAGCTTTTATCATTAAGCAACTCATCTTGCCATCCTAAATAGCTAAGTCTTAAAATTCAATCAAAGAAAACTATATCGATAGAGCATTTGGTTTCCCTGAGTTACAAATGAGTAAACAATAGGGAAAGTACCACGCAACAATACAGTACATAGAATCAATGGAATGCATGTAGCTTTGTAACTGGGAATTTTATGCACAACATACTAAGCCATTCTTGAGTCCAACAAGCAGTCCTTCTCTCCCAACAGGACCTCCGATCACCTTGATGTACCTTATCAGTGACTCCATGTTCCATTCCCTAAAAAATTACATTTCATGCCAATTAAAAATCAAGCAAAAATAGTGAAAAAATCAATAAGGAATTGTTCTTTCATTTGACCTTGTCTATGATTTCATACCAATAAGAATTTTGAGATTTCATACCAATGAGATTTCATACCAATCAACAATTTGCTTACCCTCAAAGAAAAAAGGGCTGGCAAAGAAACAGCCATCGTTCGAGTTCATATCAAAGCAAGTTGAGGAAAATTGGACTTCTCACCGTTTGCAATTGCTTAATCAGTTCGGAAGAAGGTTACAAAACAACTTTTTTGATACAAAACAACACAAACACAAAACAACATTACCTTTCCTTTATACCGTCGAATGAGAAACATTGCAGTCGTTTTTCCTAAAATGTGACAAGAACTGTATCAGCACCATCGACTAGAATGGTGTAAAGGACAAATGCAGAGAAAATATGCTATAATGATGCAAAGCGACAGAAACATTCACTTAATAAAGAAATGGAAAGGAAATTAAACCTACTTGGCACAATATGACGTTATTTCCACATACAACCAGCAAGTTGCATTCGACTTTCTTGTTTATTTTTTCCTAGGTGAAAAAACATTTAAAATTGTTTGCAAAAAACAAACATGGGAATCAAAACGATATGGAAATAAAATCTTGAATTCCAAATACATCACGAAGCTAACTAAAACATGAGAGAAACTTCATAAATAAAAACCTTTAAGCGATAGTGCATATCGGAGGTGTCTTCTGAATATAACTCATAAACGTTGATTCTGTCCGGCAATTGAACCTAAAAGGAAGAGATCGTTTTACAGATTATATAAAGATTACAACTACAAATAATTTAGGAATATTGATCATAAAAGAATTCTTAGGTCTTATACACAATACCTCAAGGGGAAATACAAGCGAATCAGCAAAGTTTGTTCAAACACTCAATGATACGTCATGAATGATTCTTAACAAGTTGAAAAACTGACACAGATTTTTCGCTAAAATTTCTGTACCTGACAGTATTAGTATAGAAATACTTGGAAACGAACAAGGTAAAAATACTCACTGCTAATTTGTTTCTGTAAATGGCAATTTTCCTCACCAAATCTTTGCATTTGATGCGAACTGTCAAAAAAAGAAAATATTGTTACTATAACACATAGTTTCCGCTTGTGTTTCTTTGTTTGGGAGATTTCGACAAAAACTAAACGTCGGATCGACGAACGCGACCAGGCCATAATTAATCCTGTTCCCAGGTTCGAGACTGGTCGCAGTGAAAGGGAAGTTAAAATGTGGGTATGCCGAGCAATGCATTCGCTCAGTCACGCAACGGTTGTTGGCTGTTGCCGATTTTGCGGGAAACTGATTTCCACGCGAAGCTAAATTTAGCAGTAATCTCCAAGTGCAAGAATTTTAATTTATTTTACAATGGAAGTGAAGGATTTTCAGAGACTTTGAAGCAAGCTACAGTTCTTATGTTTGCATATAACCAATAGTAACAAATCATTAACAAATCATCAATCATTAACAATCATCAAAATCAACAATTTCATCAAAACATCTACCTCGTCTTACGGCCTACACTTAATAAAAATGATACTATGGGTCCTATTCGCACTTTTATTAAAGAAGATATCCCAGCTGAAGACCGAGCTGAGAAAATATTTAAAAATGGAGCAAATGCTCAGTGACCTTTTTGAGAATGTTTCCCTACCAGAAATTAATAACAAAGATAGTCTCCTTGCTTACACTTATAAATTTTTATAAAGAATCAAATACAAATTTTTTGAAAATGCCTGAAATTAATCACTTGCACCAAAGTAAGCCAGAAAATGCAAAAAATACCTTTCTGTTCAGTTAGCAAGTGTTGTATTATAACATCAGTCATGTTGTCACGGTATGCATATCTGCAAGAGAGAAGGTGCAATCCAATAATAAAAGAATTCAAATGCTTTGAAGAAATTCCACGAGAGAATCGAGAGAGGACATTAACAGCAAAAAACAAAAGCATATTTGTGAGTTCTCTAGCCTTGAGAATTGCAATGTAAATAGACGAAGCAACTTTTTACCTGTCTTTATAAAGTCCATGAACTGTGCTGAAAATCAGTTGATAATATGCAATTGTTCCATCCTCGCATCCAACAGCCTAAAAACAAAAAAATCAGCATTAGCAAACATGTTAAAACAGAAGGAAAAACACTAGGCTCATTTCCGTTAAAAGTATCATTGTCACATTAGCAACTTTACTGACAGAGCAACTTAAATTCACATTTAAATGACACAGTTATAAACAAAGAACACTGTCGGGGAACACTGTCGGTAGTTTTCAACAAAGTCATTCTTGTTCAGCGGCTTCTCCTCCCTAAGAGACATCATAAAAGGCAATCTGGATTGAATTCCGGACTGAGAATTCTTGCTGCCGTTTACAACTTGTTGATTTCAGTTATGAAAAGGGCTTCAAAGGCTACCACAATATTCTGGTTACTAGACAGTAAGCTATGAACTCACCAAATAATTTGAGTCTGGGCGTGCTTTACAGCACCACACCCAGCTTTTCTGTTCACCAATAGTAGTAAGCCGAACGCCATCTTTTGTAAAAAGTGAGCACTAGAGAAATGAAGGTGTTATGGTAAGCTATGAATATAAAACAATAATTCAGCGATGCGAAAGCATCGATAACATCATTTTGTTTATGATATATTTAAAACATGTGTATTACCTGCTTATCTGAGCCACCAACGATTAGGTATTCTCCTTTGCTAAAGTAGCTTAGGCAGCAAGGATCGAAATTGAGTGACTTCTCCTTACCTATCTAGCAGTGCAAAAGAAGCGATTAGAAAGTGAACTGGAACTTTGAAGAGGTATTAACAACTATCAGAGGTTAAATATCCAAGAGAAAGCTTCACCCAAGAGAGGTTCAATTAAAAAAATGATTGCAAAATACAAACACAAACCTGTTTGCCACTGAGCTGGTAGAAAGAAAGTTTTCTGTTCCAGTCGCCAACAGCCAAAATGTCGGCACTTCCATCTCTACAAAAAAACACACAGTTTATGTGGGTATATGCACACAAGTAGACTTAAAGAAAATGAATGGTTGAGAGTCTACAAAAAAGCAGAGATCAAAACCATTTGTGTTTTTATGAAAGATACTCACTTCAGTGGAGTCCATGAAATAGTCCAAACAGGAGAGGAACCTGGTCTATCGATTTTAATTTTATCTTCACCAAGCTGAATTGAGGAAAAAGAGCAAGTAACAAGCAAGAATCTATAACTTTTTATTAACAGGCATAAAAATAAAACCCTAATCAATTAATGAGTTGGGAGAAAGCTACATGTGAGCTATTGTTTTCATCTTATGGATACAAAGCTAAAACCTCAATAAAAGCATAAAATTATTAAAATGAAACTCAATTTCTGATAAAAGCTCAATAAAACCTTATTCCTAATGCTGACTGTGCCATTGAACATTCCTAGAGCAATATATTGCCCATCATTTGTCCAACTACAAAAAAAATACACACAGAAATTAGTACAGCACAAATATATATTTTAATAAAAAGCATGTATAAATATATACATACATATAAAGATACAAGATATGACTGCTAAAATTGTTCATGCTTTCACCTGCAGCAAGTTATCTTTGAAGGCACCTTGTGTTTGGCAACTGATTTCTGCTCAGGTGACCACAAACCTAAGAAAAAAAGAATCTAAAATGAATACTGTAAATTCAGTAAGTGTGGGTTGATGTCCCACATGTTCAGAAGCATGTGCTGACAGTTTTCTGCAGAGAGTAAAAAGTGAATTGGTGTTTAAAGCCTTTGAAACTGGATAATGGTATTCTGAATGTTTTTTCAATTACATCTGATCAAATAAGTTTTTTTACTTTTATCACTTGAAAAGCTACATAATTTTAGTAAAACAGAAAAAAACCAGATAGTTTGATTTGCCAAAAATATCTTAATCTCATCTAGATATGATTAGATTGATCTTTTAAAATATGGGTGGTGCATTTATTACCCATTTATTATAAAGTACATTCTATTATAAAGTACAAAGGTTTAAATTGATATTTTATGATACCAAGGGTTCAAAAGCCTGTTAAGAAAAATTTCGCAGGGCGCCAAGAAGAGCTTTATTGCCACGCAGAAATGCCACCTCTGAAGTTCGTAAAGGGCTGTTTAGGAATTTTGAAATGGAAATATCGTATTTGTTATGAACCTCCCTTCCTGACATTGCATTTTAGAGAACGGAACAGGTATGTAAGGAAAAGCTCCGTTATTTGCAAAGCGAAAGCATTTCTTACCGAAACTCATAGCCAATGGATGCAATGATTGATGCATATGTTTATGAGGGCAAGGTTGAGTCCATACAAGTTAATTTAAGTTGTAAATTATTTTCATGACAAGCACGGCGTCACTGTAGGGGAATAAGAGGCTGAAGGCCCTCACTTTGGTCAAGATAAGAATTTTTTTATCATTTTTTCTATTACTTTTTAACAGTGCATGAACTAAAAAACATAATAAATCGTTAAGATACCGATTTTGTTTCATCTAATTGCTAACTTTTTCACGTATATTTTTATTATTTTTCTTTTATTTGCATTAATTCAGTAAATCACTTTCTGTATCATTGCAATGTTTTAATTTTGGATGTGTAAACATAGCCTTCTCGATGCAAGAAACTGCACATTTCTGTTCAGGAAATAAAATTCCCCCAATCAAAACAACATCTTCCTCTGTCATTCACAACTACGTGCAATCTGAAACGAAAGGTTGTCGTTTCTTTCCTTCCCCAACGTCTAATACTAGAGTTTTAGCATGACATCCCCCTCCCTATTTTTCCCAATAAACAATAATATTTTCAATAAACAATCAGTTCTTTTAGCATAATAGCATTTTGCTAAATTTTTGTCTGAAAGATGCTTTTTAGCCCTTTTACAAGGTATAATTTCAAAAATTTTCTTCACGTCGGACCCAACCATGGTGGGTCCTCCTACCTCACTAAACTTGATTCTTAGCCCCACTGGGCTAAATTTCGTTGCACTGTCTGCATCATGTACCCTCCCCTCCCCCCCCAATTAGCTGTTTATTAGCTAGTATTTTGCAAACCAACATTAAATAAAGTGACTATAAAAGAAACAATTTACGGTCAAGTAGAGAAATAGATATTTCATAGGTAATGAAGTTTCAAGTTTGTTTCTATTGCTTAGAAGTTTGTCCTTGGTAAAGACCAGTGTTCACTGGTAAAGCTTTCACTAGTAACATATAGACAAACCGTTGCTACGAGGTCTGCAGGGCACCACTCAGTTTTGCAGGGCAGAAACCCTTTTCACCCCCCCCCAAACCTATTGGCCAAGTTACGCCCCTGCCTGTGTGGGGGGCTTGATTAAGCTTGAGCACCTCTCCTTGCAAGGCCTGAAAAGAACAGGAAGTCAAATTATGCTTTCAAATAGCCTCAGTTCTCATCTGGTTTTTTTATTTTTAATGATGGCAGAAAGAAATCAAATCTTAGTTACCGAAATCACTGTTTGTACAACTTGCCAAAGCCTGAGTGACAGGATTGTAAGCCAGGCACTGTATAGAGTCATTGTGCCTGTTGAAAAATAATTGGCCAATTTAAAATCAAATCAATGTAAGGTTTATTGTAAAGGCAAGAAGCAAAATTGAAGCTTATTTCTTAGAAAATAATGCAGTTTGTTTTACTTAAAAATACATACGTATATTTCAGTATTCCTTCTAGTTTATTTGTCCATATGATGACACTTTTATCTGCACCACCTGAAGCAAATCTTTTACCTGCAAATGATTAATTCCAATTCATAAAGATTGCAGTTCACCAGTCTGTTACAAAGGCATAGAGATAGAGCTGCTGGGTACTTAAAACAGCCTCAATCTACATAGCAGAACAAGTCTTACTAAAATTTCATTCAGATGTAAGCAAGAAAAGAGACTGGAAACTGCAATAATTTTTTCTTTTATGAGATATCAATTAATAGATATTTGACTGCATATAAGGATAAAATTTTATTTGCCAGCCTTTGCTTAATATAGGAGGGTTATTATAGTTGCTGTCTCCAGGTTTTTCCGAAGGAGTCTGCATAAGCACACCATCAAACAATTCCAGAGGCCAGATGAGCTCTTGGATGTTATGATAGGTGCCAAAAAGACAAAGGTTGCTTTTTAATTGAATTTTGTCCGTAGTGGTAACTGGGTAAAGCTGGTGAGACAGTACCATCTCTTCCAAATGAGACACAATAAACTGTATCTCTGTGGCCTTTCAGTGGTTGCAACAATGTTCCATCAACAGTGTCATACACCTAGGAAGAAATCAAACCTAATAGTTCATAATATTTATCAGAAGATTCAAACATTTTTTAAACTCTGAATAATAGGGCTTCAGCAGTGTGTACTAAACAGTGTCAAGGTAAAACAGAATAAGATATGTCATCAAAAACTAGGTTCTCAAAATGATAATGTGAATTTTGTGCCCCACAGGAATGGTGATAATTTACAAAGATAATTTAAAGAGAAAAAAAGGCTGTTGAACAAAATGAGGTAATCAGAAAAAAATATTTTTAATAAAAGATAACAAAAACATGTTAGGCATACCAAAACTCTATTGCCAGCTGCAACAATCAATTGACTACCATCAGGACTAAATGCCAAATCATGGATGCTATAAAAAAGTATCCTATTAGTAACTGCACACAAGTTACGATTCTATGCAACATGTCTTCAACCATTACATGCATGACCAGAAATTGTGGCTTAATAATGGCAAGAAAAGAATTTTTCTACTGTTTTCTTAAGCTTTGTTTATTTCTAAATCGAGCCATTCTTCATTCATCAAATATATATTTTAATCTGTCTTGAGCCAGAACCCAAGCATGGTGAGAAGAATGTTAGGCCTTGGCCAATATGTCTAATATTTTTCTCATTGCTATGCTATGAGAGAATATATCATAAAAACTGTGTGTTTTACTGCAAAACCTTTTTTCCTGCTTTTCGTTACCTGCCTCACATTAGGTGGCAAAAAGGTGCCAAAGTATCAAGTACAAAGTATATAGTTTCCAGTATCATTGTGATATGTGCGGCAGCAAGATGAACCGGAAATTAGCATCCCAATTCTGCCGAAGGTCAACAACTAAATTCTGATATAAAATTTGAAGATCTAAAATGATCCAAAAACTTTCATGTTGACAGAACATTATAAAGATTCAGAACCTTGCCTTGTGAACATGAAAGTGCGCAAAGATTATCTAGGCCTACAGAGGAACACAACTCGCTTATTGCTCGCGGAAGATATAACTGAATGGTTTAATTCTTATCAAGCAAATGCCCAATATTTGTATATAGGCGTAACAACTATCCGCCATAAATGCAACAGCGAGGATGCGCTTGGCTTAGTTGCTAGGTACAAAAAGAAAACAACCTGCAAGCGGACAAATTACAAAAGTACATACCTCTGTGGAACTTGGTCTTTGTCATGGACCTTGTCCACCCAGGAAGGAATTGCTCTCATGTTCAATATGTTCCTTGCCTTCGTGCAAAGTATAAACGCACCAGAATCATTTAAACTGTTGTTATGATGTCTGGCTTTTCACAACATCGTTCTCTTCATTTTCCCTTTCAGCCTCGATGCCAACACAACCTCTATCGTGGATACGAAAATGGCGTCGATATTTCAAAGGAACGTTCTTTTCTCTTCTCGTGGCTTGTTAGCATCCAGCGTGACTCGGAATTGTTTCATTGTATCTAAGGCTAGCAAAAGCATTGTGCTTTCCCCTTCTAATCACAACATCGAATATTCACCAAGGCCGCCAAAAATCGTTTGCACCATAAGCAACAATGCCTTTTCACCCCGGAACAAAGGAAGGCCTAAGCAGCAAGATGACTTCCAGAAGATATCAAAGAAAATTTTATCTGTTGGAATGGTTGGTGAACCGAATGCAGGAAAGTCAACGCTTATAAATGCTTTTGTTGGAGAGAAAGTTTCCATCACTTCGGATGTACAAAATACAACGAGAGAGAGTATTTACGTGCCGTTCGTGAACGGAGACACTCAGCTAGTATTTATTGATACACCAGGGATAGTCCCGTTTCAGGAAGCAAGACGACTCAAGCTTGGACGTATGCAAATAACTGCACCAAGAAAAGTTATTGAAGAATGTGATGTTTTGGCAGTAGTTGTAGACTTGGAAAGCAAAAGAAAAAGAGAAAGAATTCACGAGTCTATTTTGGATCTTTTATTTGAGCATCCAGAGTTCCCGTGTGTGTTGATTTTGAATAAAGTTGATCTTATAAAAAGAAAGTCAAGCCTTTTGCGGTATGCTGAAATCCTTACAAATGATAGAAAAAGAGATGTGTGGGGATACGAGCCAGTTGGTGGATACAGTAGATTTCAAAATGTCTTTATGGTATCTGGATCAACTGGAGATGGAGTTGAGGATGTGACAAACTATTTCCTAGCCAGCGCTAAACCTGGCAACTGGGCATATGAAGGTGAAACCAAAGTTGATCTGCCCATTGACAAACAGATTGCTGAGCTATTTAGGGAGACATTACTTGACATGTTCAAACATGAAATACCATGGCAAGTTAAACAAACAACATTGTTATTTGAAGAACTAAAAGATTTTTGTAGAATACATCACAAGCTTGTTTGGCCAAAGAAAAGTCAAGCAAGATTTGTACGGACTAAATATGATGAAATTTCTAGAATTACAGAAATGAAGCTCACAGACTTGTTAAAAAGGAAAATTTTCCTTACAATTGAAATAAGTTCATCAGTAAGCCTTGCAAGAAACCTCCCATTTTAAATTGATCGCATGACATTATTTTTTAATGAAATTACCACATTTTCAAGGACATACTTAATTTGCAAGTCACAGAGTCATATGTTATAAATTTGTATATCTTCTGTTATATAGCATGGCTTGCAGCATGTATTAAAGAAGGTTTCAGCATTTGCATTCAAAGTAACTGTCAATAACTTACAGGGTAATACAGTGGTGTTAAGTGTGAAGAAATAGTGTGGTATTAAAATATGACATTGTTCTTTTTAATGAGCCATGTTTATGGTTTGAAAGATTGACTGTGAAATGCTGGAGGCATGATACAACTAGCCTAAAGATGTACTTTGTACACTACATACCTTTTGTTGTGAGAAGAATGATGGTATGATTATCATAATTTGAATCGTGTAGAAGAGTAGAAAATAAGAGATTGTAAAATAATTTCATGCAAAGTCTAGAAACCCTGGATATATATGAGATTTTGTATGGGATATTTTGCAAAATGTATTGGAAAATATAGAGAATATATATCAGGCAGAATTTTAAAACATTGGCTTGGCTAAGTGATTTTCTTCTCTTCCAACCATATGTTCCTGTACATAACTTTCAATGCTTCTTGCACATAAGTTTCAATTTTGAATTCAAAATGTATGCCATTATCTTGCCTAAGTTCACAAACTTACTTCCAATCACTGTAGGAAGGTTAGCTAGCAGCATTTTACTTACAAATTACAAGTTACTAACGAAAACAGGTCTCTTAGCTTGAGGCATGTGATTACCTGTCTCCACCTCGGCAAGTGCCTGGACAAGGCAATGTGCACATTTTGTCATGTGCCTGTTTCTCAGAAAGTAGTGATATCATGTGCCTCATGTGGTTTGCATATTGTAAAGATTCCTTTTTGCCATGTTGTTCTGGGAATCATTTTTAAATTACAGCAGTCACAATTTAGGGAATCACATGACATAATTTGCATATTAAACAATGGAAAACTTTCAAGTAATCACAGTAAGTGTTGGTGTGCTGGCTAAGTGTGATATAAGAGCCAATTTAAATGTGTGCTGTAACTATTTTCCTTACAGAAAGTCCACCAGTGTTGCTAAATATGACTTGTCAGACGATTGATTTCATTAGATTTTTAAATAAACTCTATTAAAGTAAAATTTTAGAAAACATTATTAATCTCAATAACAATTCTTTTGAATTGATGTTGGGATCAAAACAATAGAGGTTTCTTGTATGGGTGTCCAAAACATTTGAAAGTTATATAATACTTTGGTACCACAAAGTTTAAAAATCACAAGGAAAAGCATTAGCATCAATAGTGCTGACATTAATGCTTTTCTGTGCAATTTTAACTGAAAGTTATACGAAAGTTATACGTCAGTTATACGTTCACGCACCTGCTGAATTCTTTACAGAGAGGCCTGATGAAGACATGTATTTTTTCTTTTTTTTGCATAAAAAGGAAAATCAAGTTAGTAGTCCAAATATATTTTACTTGCCGTCAGTTGAGTAGGATAAACAGCAAACAGTATCTTTATGACCTTTGAGCATATCAACCATTGTCCCACCAACAGTATCGTAAATCTAAAATAAATTGACATTTTATTTGGGCCTTTGAACCTGAAAACCTGAAAGATCTTCTTGGGTTTCTAATCAATTATGCACTGTACATGAGCAGTTAGTTATATGCTATGGTGAGGCACAATATGGGTATGGTTCCGAAAGACACCGTTCTGTTTTTAAATCTGAAAGATGCTAGAAACAAGCCCACCAAAAGAGTGACAGATGTTCAGATAGTTCTATATCCCAAAGTTACTTAGAGGTTTTAAAGGTTTAATTTCCTTCATCAAGCAATTAGCATCAAAAGAACTTAGAAAATGAATATTGTAGAAGCTTTGCCTGGACTCTCCTAGTAATTATGCAGTTTATACAGTGAGACGGCATCAAATATCTTTGAAGCTTTTTACTTTTGATCACATAACCTGAACATAATGGAAAATCTCTGAAAGGGCAAAATCTGCTAAATATCATGGCTTGGTTCGTGAAGTTTAGAACAGAAAACGAATTTAAAAAATTCATCAAAAAAGATCCTGTGATTATGTGGCTATTTCTCTGCTAACATTTTCAACTTTAAATGCATATCTCAGGCCTGGCCATTTGAGGAGAGCCATAGCTCTTGCTCCCCTCCAGGCTCTCCTCAAATGCTGGAGGGGAGCTAGAGATTGCCCTCCTAAATTGTTCTAAAAAGCAAATTTGGTCTCCTTGAAATAAATTTTTCCTTTGTTTCTATTCTTATAGCTCACCTGAATACTACTAGGAGAGCTGTTTACTGCTCCCCTGTTAAAAGTCTTACGGCCAGACCTGATATCCACTATCTTATACATCTTGATTCTCTTTAAAGTTATTCGATCAACATTTAAAGATTCTTTATGTTATGACTGTAGAACTCTATGCCTCTGGTGTATATGAATCACTTTGTAGCTCCCACAGCTTTAAGTGTTACAATATGTCTGAAAACTTTTAATGAAATGAAGGATACATTTCAATCAATGGAGCATAATTGTTATACAGGATGTAATTTTTTAGAAAGCTACAACTCAAGTTCTAAGGTATTTCTAAACCTCAGCCGCAGATATTCAAAGAAAACTTTACTTTAATGCAAAAACCTTCTGATGATTGCTTCAGTAATGATAGATGGGAAAATGTTCGCTTTGCAGTGCATTCTAGCCTTTCAAACATTATTTTTGTAAAACCTTAGACCACATCCATCTGTGGAATTTTTCGAAGCATTCCCCTCAGTATGGGGCCAGGATAGAAAATTACAGCAACAATCAAGAAAATCGGGTACCCACCACTAAAAATTGAACTGTTTACTTTGAAAGGATGTGAGCGAGGGCAAGTACAAGAAGAGATGGGCGTACAGCGGGAATATTGGGTTTTATTAGTCTAAGACCAATCTGTAGCAGGTGTTTAACTGAAAGTTCGCGTAATTAACAACGCATTAACACACAAGACTTTTATAACGTCATCTTATTGGAGATCATTTATTATCTAGACAGGTTGAAGCGGGAGAAAATACAACAAATATAGATCCATTGTGCAAACTCAAGTTAGGTTGCCGTAGCAGGTCGTAACAGAGTCGTAGCGAAAGATTTGTCCGTCAAAATATGATATATCTGATAACGAAAACAAAGGGCAATTGAACTTAAAAATTAAAGGGCTTACGAGTATAACATTGCCTGCAGTAACCAACAACTGCTCGCCATTTGGACTGAATTCCAGGGAATAAATCCTTCAAATGAAAAAAAATTAAATAGCAAGAAAACTTTCACCGTTCTCTTTTTATTGTTATCATTGCAATGCTTCAGTTTCATAAATCAGCTGTTGTATTCGAAAGGAAGGCGATGATATATGCCGGTCTTCTAAGAAGGGAAATAACCAAACAAAGGAAAGAAACATACGAATCAATCAATTAACGAATGTAAAACATTAATGGACAAAAGATCTCCGTGTGGTATTTGCAAAATGTTACTTTTGTCCAGATGAACATGACGTTCACCATAAGAAAGTATTTTCCATTTCAAGCATTGAACTGATGCAAAGTCCCTATACTTTTTCAAAGAAAAAAGAACCATAATAACAATAATTAAAGAAAACAGCAAAAAATACAGAGTCATAGGCTGACAATAATCAAAGTTTCATCAGCAAAAACATCTTGAAGAATTTCTGTATATGTGGCTAACCTTTGAGGTAAGTTGGCAGCATCGTGGATTTTATCGATCCAAACCAAATTTACTCGACTGAATGCCATTTCGATATTTCTTTGTCGAGCTTCTGCTACTTGATGTCACTTCCCTCTTACTTCCTCCTAGTTCGCTGCCGCATCCAAAGATTCGAAGTCTCCTGCCGGGGGTAAATGCCCTTCTTCTGTCAGACCGACCGGTCCTTTCTGGACATAAGATATTCAAAAACAAAGCAATACGACAACAAGAATCCAATGTAATGAGATAAATTTTCAAAATAAATTAAATAAAACGAATACTAATATTTCGCCCCGGCATACAGGGCTTCATCAGAGTTGAATGATGAGGCTCCATATGCCGGGGGCAAAATATTAGTATTCGTTTTATTTAATTTATTGAATAAGCCAATCATCGTGCCCTAGTGAAAAAGCCAATCATCTTCAATCTTACTTCTTAATATGTTCACAAAGTTTTCCATATCGTATTTAAAAGTCCTCCAGACGATCCTTAAATTGTTTAATTTAGAAGACAAATTCCAGCCTTTATTCACACTTATTTCAACTAGCGAGCAGCCAGCATAAAATTAATACAAAGCAAGCTAAATCTGGTAAATTTTATACTCCAGCAGTAAGAACAAATCTGAGAAAAACTTCATTACATATTCAGGAATCAAAATTTGGAATAGTATCCCTCAGAATATTCGAAATTCTAGTACAAAAAAATCCTTCACTCAACTGTACAAAAGTATGCTATTCGACAGCTATTAAATGTTAGCTTTTGGGCAAAATGACCCATTGGACCAATGAGAACCGTACTCCGGAACTTTCTGCTTTTATTCTTCTTAATTTCATTTTACTTTACCTTTTAATTTTGATTCGATTTTCTGATTTTTGATAAAAGAGCGAAGCAATTCTAGAAAACGTATAAAAATTTATTAAATCTTTATTATTTGGCAATTGTATATTTTTTACTTTAATTCAGATGTTCGGTTAATAGCTAATAAAAATATGTCACTGAGGGCAGATGGCTCAAAAGCTCTACACAGAGTTATTTTCATATGTCCATCAGCTCTTCTTGTTAAATGATGTTTTATAAAAATTGTAAATCATTTTCTTAAAATTGAATCTTAAATTTGCATCTTTTATTCACTAAGTATTATTGTAATCAATTGCTGAGAATTTTTAATAAAATGAAATGAAATGAAATCCATTACAACAATGCTGCACCCCTCCCCCCCCCTTATTTTCAAAAAAGCAGATTTTGTCGGGCAAATTTATGGTTGCCAATATATATCGGTCGTGCAAATCTGGAAATGTTCTTCAGGTCGCACTTTCATTGCTACTTTTTGCCCCAGCGTGGTTTTTGAATTTATGGTCTATTCCCCCCATCTTTTTTACAATCTCCGCCCAGTTGGGAAAACCAAACAGAAACGAGGCAAGCAACAGCAACATATATACATTTCTGTCTTTGGTCTCGAGCTCGACGTGCACATGTTTATCTTCGCCTCGAGATGCAAAAGTAGAGTCTGAAGTATTGATCGGTAGCGAAAGTATAGACAGAAAGTAAAGCGTGTTTGATGTAAGAAGGAAATTAACACAGGGCAAGCCCCCCCCCCACTTTTTGCAAAACAAGAGAGCTCTTTTCAAAATCTTTTGTTATGATTGCTAAATTTTCCCTTGACCCGCCCCCACTTTCCATCCTGCGTCGGAGCCCATGGAACACTGACAATTTTAGAAGTATCATAAATCAAAGAATGAAGGATATGCCATCTCGGAATACGTTTATAAGAAAAATCAAGCAATACTTTCTTTTCCAAATGTATGAAACTTTCATCAAACATTCATAAGAAGTTATGCCCCAAGAATCTCTTAAGGTTTTACACTTACGGTCCGAAAGTATTGCACCTTTCACCAAAAAATGACCATACAGTCACCAAGGTTATTTGACTAAAAAAATTCAAATAGCTGTATCAAGTAACAGAAAGTTTTAAGCCGACAGTTCAAGCGGGAAATATTAGAAAGTTTGTCAAGGAATTGTAATTGAGATATGAATGCAAAAAACTTTCGAGTTTCTTCTATTTCTGAAAAATATCCATGATTATGAAAATTGAGCTTTGATGATAGGTGTACCTGTAAAATATTTCCAATAAAAAAACATTTCTTTGCTTGAGGCAGGGGCGTAGCGTGTGGGGGTGTACACCCTCCTAACTTTACCACGCGACGCCACTGGCTTGTGGGTTTTTGTTATGGTCAATTCAGAGTTACTGACTTTGTGTTTTTGTGTCTAAAATGTTTAAATTCCTTACGGAGCAACCGAAAGTTGAAAATGAAACTCAGAAAATGCAACTAAAGCTCTTTTTTTTTGAAACATTGTAGTCTGCGTAGCTGCTTCTAAATTCCAAAATTTCCAAGCTGTGTTTTGTTGTTCCACTGAGATAAAAACCCTACTTCAATATTTTTTTGAAATTGCTCTTTTAATAAATAGGTAATTTAGAAAGTGAAAACTATTTTTCTTTTATAGAAAAGACAGACCTTACAAATGCTTGCTTTTCGGAAAGAAATGTTAATAGCCAATACCAGATAAACTAGAAGCATATTTTTCAACTGTAAACAAACAGTCTAAAGGCCTAACATATTTAGTGATCCTCTTTCGCGGTCCCCGATGATTTCAGCCCTTGAGGCGATGTGCCCTAAAAATGAAGTTCATGCATGACACGCCCATTCATCAAGCATGACAAGCCCTTTTAATGGGCATCTAAGCTTCATACCCCCCTAATAAAAATAGTGAAGTTTCGCCCCTTTTCAGACCATCCAGGCCCTGGTTTCCATTATTTGAGCCCTGGACAGAATGCCAAGCAGAGAAGCGGAGGAGCGTGCTCTTAGCTTTTATTTCCGCTCTCGAGTTTATGTAGCTCTGGTACCCAGGGTATTTGACCTGGAACTGACAAAAATTGCTTGATTAAAAACATCCATGTTTTAGTTATGAATTGATATCAGTCACATTTTTAATCCATATTCTGATAATATGAAACAGCAAATGTCAGAGACAGTGATGTGGGAACGAAATTCATATTGGGAGGGGGGGGTGGCGGCGGATGCCCCTTGTATTTATTCCCATTTAGTACACTGTTTTACAGGATATATTGCAATTATTGGGGAGGGGGCTCCAATGTATGAAAATAATGTAAAATTCAAAACAGGAAATAAAAAAAGAAAACATAAGGAGTCATCACTACCATTTGGTTACAGCCTCAAACACAGATGAGAGGAGATGGACAGAAGGTTCTCGAAGAATAGAGACCTGTATCAGGATTTAGCAATGCTAGAGCCAAGAAGATTTTTTGACACAAAGATGAAGAAGGAGAACAATAAGAACCTTCTTTTCAAGATTTCAAGTTTAGTGAATGTTAGGTTGGAAATGCTCAGGGAAGAGCTGCTAACATTTGCAAATTGCTACCAGCAGCATATCGTTCAAATAAAAACAAAAATTAGTGCAAATGGAGACCCAAAAAAGAAGATGATTTCAAGGAACAAGCTCTTAGAGAAGGAACATATGGAGGAGAAAACTGTGACTTTCAAGTTGGGGATTCGCAAACAGAGAAAGGACCCAAAAGTCGACATCGACACCCTGTATCAAAAGGTTAGAAGCTTGCCAACTGTGCATACCCTAAGCATTCAAAACTTTCTTTTACATGATTCTTTCACACCCTGAGAAAGGTACGAAAGGGGAACATCGTATATGGTTTGTAATTAGCATCAACTAAAATATTTCATGGTCTTCAAATTACAGTAGAAACCCGCATAAAAGAACCTGTTTTTATAAGAACCTTGAGGCTGAAATTTAATCTTTTTAACCCATAACTAAGAAAACCCAAGAGGCTGAAATTTGTAAAGGTTCTTATATATAAGAAAAAAGTTTTTTAGAATTGTTATGGTAGCTCTGTTGCATTCTAATTGGACAACCTAACAACATGAATTCATTTTATTGGTTGAAATTTAACATGCAAAACAAAGCTGGTGTAAGTGTGTCCATTAGAATTATTACGGTGAAAAACATTGTTAATGTGTGCAAGACCTGTACGTATATAAGAACCTTGTTAAGAACCTTTTAGACTGGAATTTCGAATAGTAGCCTGGTAATTAAGAACCTATTCAGGCCGCCAGAAAAAAATCTAGGTTCTTTTATGCGGGTTTCTACTGTATATTATTGAATTGAAAACATTGATGAGAGTCTAACGAGAAGAATAGGTTCTGAAGAACAGAAACTTAATTTAAGGGTTCCACAATCAAATCAATGTTAATCAATTTGAAACATAAACAGAACTGTAAAAAAGAGGGCAAGATTTCACGTGGCAGCACAGAGATGTCAAATGAGTGAAGTCAATAAGCCATTTTTTCCTATGAAACAGAGGATTATTCCATCTGGATATCGCATCTTATTAGGACCTTTTAAAGTATCGTGAGTGAGACAACAAACAACTACAGCACGGCCTCTTGTACTAAAGATTTCACGGATGCACGTGGTAACATAAACTATAGGTTTTTGCGTAAGTCTCCTTTTAGGTGGTAATGCTCCCCTTCCAGCCACTGGACTAACAAGTTTGATATTTATTTTCATTTTCCTTATTACTGATATTTGGGCAGTATGCCCTTATCAGTTGCAGATATCATTGAGAGAATTTGAGAGAAAAAGAACTTAATACGTTTTCGAGAACCCTGAATAGGCCTTGACAAACTTTGTTGACAGCTTCAGTAAGGAGGTAAACTTCCACAAATAAACAAATGAGATATGGTATTCCAAGGGCTCGAGAGCATATAAGCTATAAAAATTATGAAATCACAATTTTTGAAATAAAGACAATGAAGGCAGATTTGTGTTGGATAGCATACGACGTTCCTGTGTGCAGATAATATTTGCTTATAGTGGGAACATCTACGAGGGTTGATCTAAAACATGGATTTGGAGCACAGGAAGCTCTGGGATTGTCAAGAAATATACTTTTCTGAGGTGAAATCAGAGGCGGATCCGGACTACAGCAACCTTTGCAGAAGCATAAGTCAGATCTTTACAACAACAAAATAAAATAGAAACTATCAAAAGTTTTAATCAATAACTTCCTTGGTAAATTTTTTAGCAACGTACGTCCTAGACCTGCCCCCGTTCATACCAACAACATGCAGAAGACAGGGCATATATTTTGCTGAATATCTTTCGGCTTCTGCACAGAATATTCGAGTGGCGATTCTAGGCATTTATCTGGTCCGTATTTTCTGGGCATTTAACTTGTTTGTCCCTCGAGAGCCAATCACCGCTTGTTTGACTTATGCAAACATCTTGTAAGCCAATCAAAGTGTACTTCACCTCTGCAATCTTTGGCGCGAGCATAGTAGACCAGACGTGTATTACAGCAAGGGTAACATCTCTCCGAACTTTTTGCCACCATGACTTTTAGCTAACCTTACCCTCTGGTAATAAGAAAATTTTTGGTAAAAGGCGAATACCTGCTGCGTTTACCAAATATGGGCATTTTCCCAAACCGGGGGTTACGGTCAGTTTTGAATCATGTGAACTGCAGCCTTGACTGTTTCTATCCTTTCTCTACATCAAAGAAACATGATTCTGTTATAGTTAAGATGTTTTTCAATGCAGTCTGATAGCAGATTTTATAAAATCTCAATATGACACCTTTAAAAGACGGGGGTCAAATCTCCTATAGGCGCTATTTCTGTAGAATTTCCCTGTCACTAATTTTAGGTTATCCTCTCCGTGATACCTTCACGCAGTTTTTTATGACTTTTTTGTTTTTACCTACTTTAATAAAGCGCATGAATGCTGACCAAAGAGTTTACTGGAACAGGGGTCCTCTTCGTTGTTCCAAAAGTGCTGAAGTTATTCCGAAATTTTATCTTTTTATTTAGTTATTAGATAACTATTTCCTATCTCTTGGTCATAATTTTCAATGATTAAGTGGTGATTTTTTTGATGTTCTCAGGCAAAAATAATCATCAGGAAGAGATTGAAACAGCAGTTGTAATATAAACTTCAGTTTGAGGATGAAAATGAAAAACGTGAGTTTAATTCCAAAAATGACAATCCAACGTGGTAATCAACATTCCAATGAAATATAGATTAGACTAAACCATGTTTGATACAAGTAGATTTTCATCTACATAGTTTTACAGATTTATATTACTATACAATGCTGGTTATTTAGTGACTAAGACATGAACAAGTTCGACTATACCATATTCTTTAAACTAATTGATGAGAACACTCTGAGACGAGTACATCTCTTCTTCAGCTAAATGAAGAATTGAAGGAGTGCTACAAACAGTCATTCACTATCTTCTACGATAAAACCAATCCTTTCCACGCGACGAACCCTTCACTGAAGTTGAAAAATGCTGCGCATTCGTTACCAAACAACTCGTCATGCTGGACGTCTCGTTTTGTCTTCTTGTTTTTAAACCTTTTTCAGCCTGATCTCACTGCTTTGGTCTTCCGTTGAAGCCAACGAATTTCTTTTCTTCTTTATCTGCTTTAAAATTCTTTGGCGAACGTAAATTCTATTTTCAATCACATTTGGGAAGACCCTCATTGCCATTCGAACTACTGACAGGGAGCCCATTCGAAGGTTGTAGTTTTCTCTTTCGCTTAGCTGACGTCACACATGGCATCGAGTGGAATTCATCATGTATTTTCAGTTCGTTCTCACAAAGCCACGCTGCAAATTTTAGTCAAAGCGTTGAAGCTCATAACATAAAAACTAAAGGCAGCATCAGTAAGAAATATCACTTGAAAACCCAACATGCATCTGTTCATTACAACGCAGACTGACACTTAACTACTAATCTGACACGTTAGAAAAAAGGCTACTTTAGAATTGAATAACTAAACTTCGTCCTTCCTTGGACAGCTAAAGATCGGCTTTCCCTTGACAACTAAATTTCCTTCAGACTTTTTACATATTCATGTCATCGTCATTTTACAAACGCTTCTTTACCTTTTTTGGGTGATACTTTGCTGTGCCATGGAATATCAAAGCTGGCCCCTTCGGTTCGTTCGATTTCATCTTTCGAACTTGCACTGCCTTCCATACATTCTTTTTCATCATCAACAAACAAGTGCTTCAAGCTAAAAAACCAACATTATTTTTGTAATGTAAAAATCCAGTTTCGAAATCACTATCTTTTCAGCTCTGAAAGAATTATATTATATCAGCACAATGTTAACTGCAACCTCGCACTGCATCTGCTGATATTTATTTTGGAGCCAATTAAAGCCCAGTAACTTTTGGCGAATTTGAAATATTTCTGTAGCTGAATCAGTTTGCGACCAGAAGCCAGATTTGTTCAACGGTTTAATTCAGCGGTTAAATTCAACTGGAGTCTGCGGAGACAATTCAACTTCTTTGCATTTTTATTGCAAGACTTAATCTTCAACGCTACACAAAAACGATGGAATGAAATCAAATATTTATCTATGTTTTGAAAGATTTATTCAAAATCACCATGCATCTATCATAAAAACGACAACGCTACGAGAAACTGCGTGCTTTCTTTCTTTCTAGTGCGTATTTATTGCTGTAAGGAATTCGCCTTTTGTGAAGTTGGATTGACATCTTTATTAAGATTCGCTCATCGAAATATTCCCCCAGCTTCGTTGGTGTACTTCGTTGGTATATTTATATAGGTGAACTTGTCTAGCAAAAATTAATTTGCTGCTATCAAAGTGTAACGCCAAAGTTTCAATAGTCAAAAGTTTAACGAATTTTTTAATTTTGAAACTAAAACTTTTGAAACTAAAAAAGACTAAGCGGGTTAAACTATGTTTTTAGGCAGATAAGAAGAACACGTTGCTATTTGAGCATGTCATTTAAAGCGAACGATAAATGCGCGAACAAAAAGCGAATATATTTCATAAAGCTTTTCCTATAACAGCACCCCTAACCGTTTTCATTCACCACGCATTCGTTTCATCATTCTTTACGCATGTTAACTGAAAAAACAAAGTTACCGTTCATAGGCTTCAACGATGTCATCAGCATCCACCGGAACCACAGTTGGATACAAATAGCTTGGTTGAAGATATGAAACGATGTCACATATCTAAAAAGAAAACTGAAGTTTTTGAAAATTTGAAATGAGTGAACATTTAAGAAAAAAAAATACTTAATAAAAGAAGAAAAATAACTCACCTCCTCAAAAGAAGAATGCATGGAATGTACAACTCTGTGAACACCAAGTTTTTCATCATATCTAGAGACAAATATGAGAAGAATCGGTTCATTGCTTCTCGTTTGTGAGTTTTAGTTGTTATGTTTAGCTTCAATTAGCTTCAATTCAAGTATTGGTGCCTTGACCTTCAAAGGGCTCACTTTATCAAGCATTCTTGGCCTCGTTATGGCTGTATCAATCTGACTTTCTATCAAATTCCATCCTTTTTTGTAACATTGTCCATGAAAATCTAAATCACAAAATTCGATTACTAACATGATATTGTCATTTGGAACCACCTTCTTCTTGAAAACCCACAAGGTAGAGGGTTTAATCTTCAGGATTTTTAACGGCTTTTCTCGAATTCGCGAGACTCCACATGGAAAACATGACTGGGTGCAATAATTCTAAAAATGCAAACATAAAAAAGACAGCTTTGCAGAGCTTTCCATCAACACTCAGGTGAATACTTTTATAATACACTTAAAGGACTATAACTTTTTGTATAATAGATGACAAAATCTTATATGACCTTTGCATCCGACCATTCTTTTATCAACCATAAAATCGATTCTTAAAGAAATCTTAAAGTTTTCATAATTCTGAATAAAAAACGGGAAATCAACTTTTCTAGAATCAGAAACTCTTAAAATTAGTCGTAAATTGTCTCCAAGTAGCACACTTGACGTAAATTAAAAAAAGTGTTTGTAAGTACCTTCCAATGACAAGAATGAATTTTGGTCTCTTCCCCAAACGATGTGACAAAGTCACTCATCCCAGGAATAGCGGTGTACAAATCGAATTTAGGACCATCAACATGAATCTGTAATCGGAACCAATAATTAGATTTTAACTCCCTAGAAACAAACACCATTCACTTGAAAATAAACATTTTTGCTATAATTACTGATTGGGTAAAATTTCTTAAGCATTATATCGCTGTACCATCTTATTAACTTAGACAATTTGATGTTTTTGAAAGGCTGATGCAAGTTCACGCATTTCAAGTCTAGAAAAGGAAGTACACCGTGTTTACTGTTATGTGTTTCCTTTGCTTCTCTTCAAGCCATCACATTAAGTTTCGTTAATTAAAAGCACTCAATCTGTCTTTACACAGAGTCATATCTCTCCGGTTGCTTATTTTTAACCAGAACATTAATATAATTCGATGTAGATACCATGAAGTACATTCCACCATCATCTGGTATCGTAAGCATACAAAAGTTGCTACAATTCAAATATTGTTTACCATGTTCAAAATGACCAAACGGAAACAAACGAATTGGCATTGCTCCGCCGTTAAAAGTGGTTGTGACTAGAAACACATCCAGTAAAGAAAATAACATACAGAAAACTGAGAGAAAAGGATCTCTTCGTCTTAAAGCAAACCTTTGTGTTGAACGCGATTGCAATTTCTTTCAAGATATATTCGTAACCATATTTTGCACTACATTGGATAAAAACTGCCTTGTTGTCTCCATTTTTTAGCCAACTAAAAAGCGAAAAGAAGAGTAAAACTGCTGGTCGTGTTTGACATCAAACTAAGCTTGAAAACAAAGAAAGCAACAAATAAAGCAAAACAACAACAGAAAAAGAGGAAACAATAAACAAACAAAAAACATAATACTGACGGTGAAAGAAAAAAAAGCTTTCTTGCTTTTAGTAAGGAATAAAGCGAAGAAAGTCAAAAAGAAATTGTATGAAAGAACTAACCTCTTCATCAGACTGATTATAGATTCTTTGCTCTCTTCCTTAAAAAAAAGGTTTAGCAAGTGGCACATAATAAGGGCAAAAATGTTAGAAAAGTTACTACATAAATTTTTCATTATCCTGATCATGATTCAGAGAAAGTGCCAATAGCTCAGCAAGGCAATGTTTACTGCTATAGAAAAGTAAATCTTTTTTATATTTAATTATGCAATATTAACATTAAGAGCATTAAAGAATTTAGTCCTGATCAAACGGTGACTATGCTGTAAATCTAAGATGCCCTTCAAATAAGAAATTTCAGGCCGGTTTGAAACTCACGCCGGCCTGAGTTTCATTCGGTCTTTGATCAAATCCTGTGTTCACACGAGAAGGGAGAATTGAAACTCGCACCGCCCTGAGATTCAATTCGGTTTTTTCAAAGCGGTTTGAATTTTTAAGCTGGCGTGAAATTTTCATGTGAACACGATTTTTCAAATTTGGGATAACTGAACTTACAAAATCAAAACTGTACGGTCTCAAGATTCATGCTACGTTCATGGAGTCTTCCGTTGACATTCTAAAGTTCGCTAGCCATTCCCCTGGTAACATTACACCATCCCACACACATCTTTATTATATGTCTATCGTTTCTTTAGGCGTCCAGTGCTCTTACAATATCTTCACTTTTTCATAAAATGAATTTCTTGTTTTTACATTAAAATTACTTGAAAAACTTCCTGTTCCAACGCCTGATCCTTCAATGTGTGAAAACGCAGTATTTAAAAATCAATTCCAACCGATTTGAAATATCCATGTGAACGTGAAGGAAATTAGCACACCACTAATGAACTCAGACCGGCGTGAGTTTCAAACCAGGCTAAAAGTTTCATGTGAAGGGCCTCTAAAATGGACAAAATAAAAATTGGTTCTTTGTGCACTTACTCGTGATGGCAGCCACTGAATCGAAGGAGTGCAAAATGTTGTATCTATGTAGAGCTCTGATATCTTTTTCACGCTGCAATAATTGATCATAATGAGATTCTGATGATGATGATGATTATGATGATGATGATGATGATGATGATGATGATGATGATGATGATGATGATGATGATGATGATGTTTATTTTTATTATTATACAAAAGCTAAGATACAAATTGGTGATGATGAATATTCAGAAATCTTGATGAGAGAATTAAAATGTCATTCTTTAATTGTATTTTTAAAAAGAGTCTAATTATATTTTAGATTTTACTTACATTTTGTTGGTCTGCAAACATTCGATTCTTTTTATATCTCCTTTCTTCATTCTGAAATCACCTTCGAAGGAAAAACATATGATACTGCAAATGCCAAAATACGACAAATGATGATTAAAAATTGCATTTAAAAGACAAGATTGGTGCTAATTGTATTACCGGTGTACAACACTGCTCCTTTCTGACCCTCAAAAAGAAACCTATAATGGAGAAAAAGAATAATAACTATGTCATGTCAAAATAATAGCTTAGCTAAGAATAGGCTGTCACTGGGTAGAAGTTGAAGAAAAGGAGAACCAAAAACAAGCTAACACCAAGACAAGCTTTGAACTGTAAATGACATCAAATGCAAGGTATAACAGACCTTGAAATAGGATTAATTGTCTTACATTGATGATGCCCAATCTACCAGGGTCAACTATTTGGCAACTTTGCTTTATTTTTTAATATTGGCGTTCAATTCAATCTATTCATATTAGATTGCTAAAGTCATTTTACATTTTTTCTGCATATTGATTACCGTAAATCCTCGAATTAGCCCCATGGGGCTTATTTATTTTTGATATTTTAGGACGGGGGCTTATTCGAGAGGGGGGCTTATACTAGGGGGGGGGGCTTATAAAATTATTTTATATAATAAGAAGACGTTATTAAAAGACCTTGTTTATTTTAGTAGGAATTTCTTTATGAGCATTTAATTAATTACTACCAAAAGTTCGAATTTGTCGTGGTAATTCAATAAAACGCCATAGGCAACCTCAGATGGCAAAAACCGTCAAATTGAGGGGTCCAATTCGAGAATATACGGTAACATCGGGGGCTTTTTCGAGGGGGGGGGGGCAATTCGAGGATTTACGGTATCTAAAAAATTTGCCTTAAATCTAGAGAAATGAATCAGGATTATGGGGCTGGAAAGACAATCTGTTTATTGTCAACAGTTCGAATCATGGATTCTCATAAGTTTAACAAGAAAGGAAAAGATTCCAAATGAACTACGAAAACGTATTTGAGACAATTTAATGCTAAAGTTTTCGGTGTAGTTGCAATTTTGAAACAATTGAGATCTCACCAAAGGGCACGCATGGAAGAGTGGCATGTACAAGATCTAGATTGAAAAACTTTCAACCATTGAAAAAAGATTAAATGTCTCACATGACTGATCCAACACAATGTCCAGCTGGAATAAGTGTTACAAGGACTGAATCTGAATTGCTCTGCAAAAAAAGACATTTAATGTTATGAAAAGGGAAACTTGGTTTCAGTACTAAGTATGATAATGTAAGATGGTGAACAAAACTAACCATATCTCTCTGGGGGATGTCAATCATGGTGGGTTGACTGATTGGAATCCCTTCCTGCCAAAATGAATGTTATAGTGGTCAATAAGCAAATAAAATACAAATTTAGTAATCAACATTATACTAAAATTTGACATCCACAATAAAAAGATCCTTCTTATTACTGATGCTATGAATTGACTGAAAATATTACATGGATATCCATATAAAACTGATCTAAGACACCATAGAAAATAATTTTGCATCCTTCAACTTTTAGTCTTCTTCAGATTTATATGTTACCTGATGACTGAAGTACGCAAGACACTCCAAATTGCTACTAACAGCATATATAAATTTATATAAATATTTTATCACATACCACATGGGGGCATAGAATCCTCAAATTTGAATCACTTTGCAATAGATTTTTAGTTGTCTCTGAACAATACAGGTGGATTTTCTTTCTAAACACAGATAAAAGAAGTAGATTGAAATGCATTTGAAGAATTTAACACAGTTAAATTAAAACTTGCTGTTATCACTAGAAAAAACAACGTGGGCTATAAAGCCCTTGCCAGTTTGGCTGCGTAGGCTATTTACCCCTTGCAGAACTTTTGTTAATCTTCTTTTATTTGAGTATTTACAAAGGCAAAAGTATATTACCTTGCCAATTCTTTAAATATTATTCACCTTAAGAAGGCATTTTGGTGTGATTACTACCTTTAAATTCAGTATTACCACTCCTTAAAATGAGACAAAAGAGGAACATAACTTTTTTGGAATATAGCAAAGTTTTATTAGGTTTTGCTGGCCAAATGTGGATTTTTGGGAATGCATAATTTATATGTTGTGACTTGGAAAGAATTGTTTCGTATTTGACAGCATGGTGTAACATTTAATTATTTGTTAAACCATGCTGTCAAACTTCAATTATTTGTAGCACTAACTATGCTATATGTAATTCCTTTCATGTGAAAACATTTCCTATTCCATTGCAAGTTTTAGCAGATAATAATTTGTTAACATGTGATAAACACATAGACATGAAAGACCATTTTCCCTTTATTTACTAACCCCCTGATATTTAGTGGTAAGTAGTACAAACATTGGGAAGCTAAACTGTGTAGATTAAATGGGAACGTTGGTTTGAAAAACTGAGCGGGCAGAAAAAGTCCTCGCAAATTCATTTTGCCTGAGGTTTGCGCGGGCTATAGCCTATAGGACACGTCTCCAGGAAAGGTCTGAACATAACTTCATTTAAGTATATATAACTCAGAGAAAAATCTAAACAGGCAGAAATGTGCCTGCTGGTATATGGCAGACTCTTGTTAAAATGAAACTGGCATAATGGAATCTTTCTAACAAAAAGCTTTTGCATAAAATGTAATGCATTTGGTTTACAAACTTGGTAACAAAATCTCAGCTTTTGAAAACCTTTAGCATACATGTGCAATGCATCCAAATTTTCCTGGTACATTATCTCTCAATGAGTCTAAAGGCAGAAGTAAAAATAGTAGCAAGAAAAAATTGAAAAATATTGACAACAAATTTGAAAAAAATCCTTAATTTTGCAAAAATAAAGGCAGAAAAGCAGGGGAAAGCTCACTTTGATTGTAGAAAGTCAAGAAAGGCTTCAGAAACCAGGCCATCCATATGATCTAAAAAAACATTTAATTTAGGAATGGTTTTATAAACACTTTCCATAAGTATTCAAGTATGGCTCTTGATATTTTTATCCAACCATTATTATTTCATATATCTTCAAGATTAATAAGGGTAAAGGTATTAGTACACCTGAAAATATCAAACTATTATTCTTCAGTTGTTTGAATTGGGTAAAACTGTCTGTCTGTTCCAGAGCAAAAATGATTTGTATTGCATTGACAAGAACAAAAATATGTTGATAAATACAAACATCTACTGAACAGGGACAGATTTAGCGGGAAGGGGGGTGTAGGGGGTGCAACAACCCCCAATATTTCTATGTCTTTCGGTAAATTTTGTTCCATTCGGTAAAAATCATTTTTTGGTAGTCAGTAGTAGCAACGTAACGCCAAGATTTTACTTCATTGAAAGAGCAATAGTTAACATAACATGCCTAAACAAATTGAAAAATGAAAGTTTAGTATCACACACCAAAGGTTTTGACTTTACATAAAACTCAGAAAAAAATATGAGTGGCAAGTGGACAGGCCATGTGGACAAAATGGAAAACAAAAAATTGGACAATGAAGATCACTTAGTGGATACCAATTTCAATATATTGGATACGAAAGGGACAAAAAGATGATCTGCAGAACAGCCCATATATCACTAAGATGAGATGCATGAAGTATATGACGCAACCAGTTAAATGTTCAACGAAGAGATGTTTTAAAAAGCACAAAATATTATAATTTTCTTGAAAGAGCTAATGAAACACTGGTTTTGTTTTTCAATTTTTGCATTTACTTTCTAAGAATTTATGACTACACAACTGGGTTAAACTATAGCTAGTCTGAAACGTGTCTGAAATATTAGAGGAGTGTCGCATCCCCTACACCAATCAAAGCATAATCTTTTGGCACAAAGCTGTTTATCTTAATTACCTGTGTGACAATGTGAGAGGAAAAAAGCAGTACAGCTGAATGTTTCTTTGGTGAAATTGTCCACGGAAATCAGCGGGTAGCCATGTAGCTTTCCTTGGAACACGCTCATATTTTCCCTCTTCCTTCACCGCGTACCACTCAGTAACAGATTCATCCCAAGATTCGAAAGGTTTCTTGAACTGCTTGAAATGTGTAGAGATGACAATAATTAGTAAGAAAATAAGTTATTTCTAATGTTTCCTGTCAAACTCAACTCGTAGTCCCGCCATTTTTTCAATTGAACATGGTTATCGCCTCCTCCGCAAAAGCAACAGCCCTTAGCTGCGCAAGAACTGGCAAAAACCACTGATCTATCAGTGGCAAAAACCATATGGCAAAAACCTAATAAATTGGTGTTTACCTATATCAAAGTGAATGGCTTGAGCTTAATGGTTTATAACTGTTGTGTAATTGAATTTAAATTTTTTCATCATTTTCATCATCATTATTACAAGACTATCGTATTCGTTTTCTTCTTACCTTTGGCCTTTTCATCACTGCGCAAATGCATAAATTTTGCGATTCAAACCAGCATCGCAAATTCGCAATAGACAGCATAGCATGACTCCTGTCATGCGGGTGCGTTTTGCAGAGAGGGTTGTTTTGCTTTACAGCAACAAGTTAATACCCTAAATTTTAGTAAATCACTTTCAGTATAATTTACGGTCATATTACTAACCCTTATCTGTGTACCAATTCACTTTCTTAAAAGGTTTGAAAGAGGGTGGGTTGTTGTACACCAAAGGCTTCAGTGGTGAAAAGTACTAAGTAAATTATATTGTGTAAGAGAGTAGCTGAAGGTTACTTAAGTGAATATAAAAAGTACAGGCTCATTGTGATGAATTTGTACAAGTTTTATCAATTTGTTTTACAAATCTTTTTTGACCATGATGCTCTAAGCACGTTCGCTTGAACCATGATATACGGTTTTCACCCGGCACAATATGGCCCTTCGTACAACATCATGCATTAATGAATGCTGGGTAAGTATAACTAAGGACAGTGTTAATAACTAGGCAGCACTCTAATTGGGTTTTTCACTGGATGCTGAGTGGCATAATTCAACTTGAGTGCTATCCCAATCAAAGACTTGTTTTTGAATATTGTCTTGTGTGACCATAGCTCATTATAAAATATTTATTGTTACATTGGCAATATCATACCACAGACCCTCTTGCAAATCAATAAGCTCTTTCCACATAGATGCTATTATATCCAATTTGTATCAGCAATCGCTGCATCACGTTTTACCAAATCAAGATTAAATCCAATTCAATAGAGATTCAATCCAATTCATTAGAGATTCAATTCAATTCAATAGAGATTCAATTCAATTCAGTGAAGTTTCAATTCAAAACTGTGCATTTGTTGCTAGTATTTAGCAATTGGTCTCTGCTGTAAGTATGATGCATCCTCTGCAGAAATTGTGTATTAAAAAAGAAAAGATGAACACCAGACAACGAAAATTTGTTTAATCGAAGATAAATTATGAAAAAATAGAAGAAATGGAGGCGTCACTACAACCTTTTTACAACTCAAAACCCAGACAGGGAATGAGAACATGTGCCCCTCGAAGCTTTTGGCGGGGATTAGCACGAGTTAGGCAGAAAATAAGATAAAGTTGTAGATACTCAACTCATCAGCCAGAAAATCCGGAGGAACTTTTAGGGGCTTTTATTCTGGTGTGCCAATTTCTCTTGGTAGTTATCGTCATAAGGTGTTTACATAGGGTGTTTGAATATTACAAAGTATAAGCAGAATTATGGGTGACGTGCAGGTCATGGATTTCCCAGCTTTGGTAGCATCAAAACATTAGAGCCATGTGATATTCTATATTCTTGTGGAATGAACTTTTTGTCAGGTTAAAATTTAATCTGCACATGTATTTCAGCATATTCAACTTCTGCTACATTCGCCCTGTCCGACTTTTCAATTTCTTAAGAACATTTTTAGCTGTTTAATAGCAAGAGTTTCATTAGCCATTTCAGACCTCAACCTACAATATCACAGTACATTTAGCTTTTTAGAGTATCTGTGCAAAGTGTGTAAACTGGACAAACACAGCACAAATTATAAGATAGCAATATCTCTTGTTGTCTCATCGATTTTATAGGATTTTCAAGTTGTGGTCAACTTACTGCCCTCTTTCTCAAGTTGATTGGTTCCCTATTTTAATTTGGAATCAACAGGTAATTATCTTCGTGTAGTTGAACAAATGAAGGAGGAATCAGCCACTGTAATTATCAAAGTAATGATATAAAAAGTCACTAAATATACAATAAAGATACATTTATTAAATTTATTAAAAATACGTGAGTAACAAAACGCATCTGAAGAGGTGCTAGGAGCTGTTCAGAAAATGATTCGTGGATTATTAAACGACACTAATTATTTTTTAATAGGTTGCAAATCGGTTTAACAGTCTGCAGGGTGGTTGGTAGATAGTTTATGGATGTCACTCAAAGGATACTCTTCACAAAAACTAAAAAGCAGATATAAAAAAAAACGATAATATTTATCTAGGACTTGCTGATTAACGGACAATATAAAATCTACTAAAATACAGCATATATTTATAAGAAATTACATGAACCCCATTCATTACGCAGTAAGTTCTGACATTACAAATGCTATTTAATTTATACATGATCAAGTGAAAAGAGGGCCTCCTATCTTTGCAGATGCGCTTAAAGAACGCCACAAAGGTGGAAGTGTAACTGTAAAGTTAAAAACCTGCTATTTAATGAAGTAATGAAAATCTAGTAGCAGAGCAACTTGAAATCAGATGAAATATAACGTCACGATGGCGCTACTAACCAATCGGGGCATCATTTTCTATCAGCAAAAAATATCATTACATTCAACTTGCTTGTGACGTCGTCCTTTTCTATCTTGTGAGTTTCCCTTTAAATTTTTAAACAATACTTCAAACATCTAAGATTATCGCTCCTTTTTTAGCACCTGACTTATAGCTCTTTATAGAGCTAACTCTTTTAAACTTTTCCGAAATTTTAATTTGTATCAAACGACGAACAGAAATTAAATACCAACGTCACTGTCAGAGTCTTCTTCCATGTTTTCGATTAGATTTAGGACATCATCTGAAAATGGGGCGGGCGAATGGGTGAGCTCAATGTGCAAATCCTGGAATTCTTCTTCAGGCGGAAATGCAGGCATCATTTCTTTATACCTCAAGGCAGCACGATAAAGATACTCATAAAAATCCTGCAAAATAAATGGAATTTTTCAAAGCAATTAATAATCAGTACAACGTGATGATCTGCAAGAAAATGACAAAATTAGCCTACGGAAACTAGAAAATCTGAGGGCACATCTGCAAAGCTATAAGATGAGAGAGGATTGATACGGCACAACAGTTTATATTTGTGTAAAGCATAGTTGAGAAACACCAAAAACTGGCATATCGCCCTTAGCAGCTAATGACAGAACGTAACTTATATATTTATGAATACCTTCAGAAACGAAAATAGGTCGCCACAATCAATTTCAATCCATCCCTGGCACCTTTGAACAGCAGACAAATGCAAGAGAGAAATATAAGAGAAATATAACTACCTTTGAATTAATTAGCAGTGGCCTTTGCCGTCTAAGCATACGAACAGTTGAGAAAACGTCAATGGTTTCTTCGAAGTCATCCATCTGTTCCTTGATGTTTGACAACGCACAGAAGACACCACTTCTACCGATGCCACAACTAATCCAGAGAAGAAGGCAGTTAATCAATGCAGACAAGCTTCCTATCGGACAGTCATCAAAGCAAGTAGTAAAAAAATTAAACAAGCAAATACTGAACCACTTTCAAGATAAAAAAAATCTTGCCTGCAGTGGACAACCACGGGACTGCTGCTCGCTGACCTGGTGCCCCTTCCCATTGCTTTTTTGCCTTTGATAAGGCTAATCATCTCAAACGCATTCTCAATTTCTGGCAGAGTATTCTCTTGCCATCCTAAAAATTGGTAATGGTGCACCTTGCGTCGTTCACTCTCTCCCTTTAAAGGAAAAGCAAGGCTCCAATTTTATGATTCAAGAAAGGAATAAATTTCAAGAAGGAATAAGACGCTGAAAACTAACAAACATTTGATATCGAGTTGGAAACATAGCATTTGATAAAAGCAAGAAAGTAAAAGGCAAACAAAATACAGATATTCGAACACACCCCCTCAACTCTTCCAACAACCTCGAGTTCTCGCAATCTGTAAAATTCCAATTTCTTTTCACTTAGACAGCGAATCTCGAAAGCGCCGAAGTTCACTGGATTGCAGTCTTGACGGGGTAAATAACTGAAGAAATCTTCCTGCAAAAAATGATATATTGAGGTCAGATTCTCATTTCATTTTTTAAAAAAATTCATTTTAAAATAAATTAAAATTAATATACAAGTTATAATTTTTAAAACCAAGATATGTTTTTCAAACCAACCTGTTTAAACGAAAACACTAAACTAAGAACAAAAGAAATTAATATACCTAATTTACAATATAATATAATACAAAATCTAGGAAAAAGAACGCAAAAATAAAATTTAAGTTACAACCCCTTTTATAGTTGTTCTGTGAAGATTTTCAGGGAGTGTGCCAATTTTGTTTTTCTTTCTGGACTGTTCTAGAGTTTTGCGCCGCGATGAGAAAAAGCTTTTTGGCCATTTAGTACCGGTATCTAGCACGAATCTCTGATGAGCGCAGAAACCGTTCTCTGTCATCTGAACATTTTATGAATTATTTCCTCAAGTAGTCAGGGGCAAGTGAATTCAGAGACTTGTAAGTCAGCGTGGCACGACCAATAAAAACTCAAGACTAAGATAATGAAAAATACTATAGGGAAAGGCCGGACATTACAATTATAATACGTGTCAAGTGTTGAATGTGCATTTTTCATAATCCGTGCCACCGTTATAAACAGTTAATACATAATCCACAAAAAAGCTTTACCCAAAAGAAAGTAAAACTGCTGACCTTGTTACATTCCTCGTCACTTAGCAAGCTAACAACAATCTGCGAAAAGTTCTCCCAAATCATTCGCCAGAAGTCTTCAATTGTGTCATGCAGAGGCATCTGCGTAACGATAAACGCTTTCTTCTGAAGATAACTCTACAATGGAAATTCAGTTCCTTCAATTGAGGCGTTATGTTTTGGCTAGAACAAGCAGAAAAACTAAAATGTAGATTAAAGTCAGGTCTGTACTTGCATAATTTATTGTCTCGTGAAGAGAAGGACTTACATCGACGTAATTTGCATTGACGTAGTCTGTGCCCTCAGTTACACTCTTCATGGTCAGCCTGACACGCGTTGCGTCAACTGAAACGATTCAAAGATTTCCATTCAATGCGACAAAAATTGCTTTACGATTTCATTTAAAACATATAATTAAGATCATGTATGTCATATAAATATTGAATAAAAAATATCGATTGGCTTCAATGTGTAAGTCAGTGCTTACAAAATAAAAGTGATATGAAACATTGCTTATCAAATCAGCTGAGGATAAAACGATCTTAATCAACGGCGATCAAGCACAGATGATCACAGAGCAGTGCAGTACCACGTTTCATAGGAAAGCTACGCTTAAGGGACATCTGTCTCTCACCTGGAATTATAAACGAATCGCGGTTCTTTTGCTGATTGCATGGTCTTCGTCCAGTCAGCATTTCAAATTCATGAATATTAAATTCGTTGATAATCTGAAACAGAACGAGTCTGACGTCATAATATACAAAGGACTGGCTTTGTGCCAAATAGCAGGGAAAGTACCGTTGCACGTTTGATCAAAGTACAAGGAACACCGTAAAGTTTTCCCACAGGAAATCAACTCCTTTTTAAATGCTAACTATGCTACTTTGGATAACTAAATAAAAATTAATTTTATTATGCATTTTTTTCATAATTTTCAATGCTTCTGACTATAATTGTATTGTAGATACGATAAGAAAGTGCGACAATGAAATTGAAAAGATTCTAAACATATTCATATATCATACTCATCTTCACATATAGTAAATCTTGAAAAATCTATTTCAGACTCATTCGCTAGGTAAATCGATTCGATCACATAAGAGATTATTACCTGCCACTCCTCCTCAATCACAGAGACAGCGGTGTCGGGATGCGGATCGAAATAAAAATCATTGTGAATGGTTTCCAGTTCGGAGACGGGAATTGCGGTTAGGCCACATTTGATATAGTCTACCAGCGCATCGTGAATGAATATGTACTGGACCTGAATGAAAAGTTCACCATTTCGGTAAATAAAAAGTTGGGTCGGGTATGCAAAAATATAAACATCGCTTTTACACTGGTAGACGTTATGTTTGGATATTCTGGAGCCATTCCTGAAATAACACGGCGTTAAAAACCTAAGGCAGAGACCTAACATTTGATTTTTCATTAGATTTTTTTCCACGTATCAGTGGATTCTTTCTTTCTTTCTTTCTTTCTTTCTTTCTCTCTTTCTTTCTTTCTTTCTTTCTTTCTTTCTTTCTTTCTTTCTTTCTTTCTTTCTTTCTTTCTTTCTTTCTTTCTTTCTTTCTTTCTTTCTTTCTTTCTTTCTTTCTTTCTTTCTTGTGATGCTGTGGGTTTTGGTTGTTGCGGCAGATGTTTCGAGGTTAAGATGAACGACTACACAAGATGGCGGTCGACCACGTTGTATTAAATTTAAAGTTACCGGGTGCATGTACCTAAGTGAGAGAAGGATGTCATAAAACGGAAAATTGTACACGCCACACAAATGTCCATTTTTATTGATTCCTTTCTGCCCATTCTGACAATTTCCTCTCTCCTTTGCACCTTTTCAATCCTTTCCCATTTTTTTTCCCGTCTCCCTTTTCTTTCCCTTCGCCATTTATTTGCTGCCCTGTTCTAATCTTTTGGCAGCCACCCAATATTACAGACTGCATCTAATCGGGCAAGGGCCATATAGGGTGTGCATAAGATTCAGTAGCAAGCTCTCATTATGCTGGCATCAATAAAATAGTTCAAAACGCAAATGAAATGCTCAAATTTCCCACTGCAGAGTGGCATTTCTTAGCAAAAAGGCTGCATTCCTTAGCTTTTATTGAGAAAAAACAAATTGTTTTGGATTAACCACGTCTGTAACAATATTAAGGAGGTTATGTTAAACTAATAGATACTTCATCTAGTGCTATCACTGGTAGGGCACTATGAAATCTAAGAAGAATTGATAATAATGTAAAAAGGTCTTTACAACCGCATAACAAAAGAATCGATAGAAATCTTTTTCAGGATACCTCTTGTTGGACGAGAAAGTTTCTTTGACTTCGAATGCTTTTTAGGAATCCGTACACATTGATACTTTGCTCTCTGTTGATTCTTTCAATTTGAGATTCAATGACAATAAACGTTCCAGTTCTGCCCACACCAGCACTGAAACGTCAAGAAGGGATTTAATGCCGATGAAGTGATGTTCAAGGGCACATTGCTTTTGTGAAAGTTGTTGATTATTGGGTTAACCTTCTCGTACTTTTAATTTGAAGTAATAACTACAATGCTCTTATCCAATTACCAGAACTATCATATATCATAAGAATCATTGAAGCGATATATCGCAATACAATTCATGTAGAGAGAGGAAAGAGATGTAAGCTACCTGCAGTGTATAACAGTCGGACCCTCGTTCTCTTGCATGTATCTTCTTACTAAGTGCACGAATGACAACATTGCAGATCTTTCTTGGGGCACCCCGAAATCTGGCCAGTCAGTGAAATGGAATTGTCTAACCACTCTAACCCTTTCTCGATCCTGCCCCAGTGCCTTGCAAATTTCTGCGGAGGAGCATGTTACTGAGAACACCCGATGTACATAAAAAGCGTACTTTCGCTCTTCTAATTTCCTGACTGTAATATCACCGTATGATATTTCTCCATCGTGTGGCCAGTACTGATCACATTTTCTCTAAAATAAAAAAGCGGATACCACAATGTTGGTTTTTTTTAATTTTAAAAACAAAACATCGATAAAATAAAACATAATTGTCACAGACGCCACTGGTTACTGGTTAAGCTTCAAAAATTGCAGAATCGAGCCGCTAGAATTATTACAAATAGCAGCTACGATGCTCCTGCTGAAGCTTTGATTACAGAGTTAAGATGGCCAACTGTAAGGGATATGATCAGAAGTGAGACTGCAACAACTGTATATAAATCTGTTAATGGTCTCGCGCCTGATTATCTCTCGAATTTATTTGTTAGAAATTCTGAACGCAATTGTATCAACCTTAGAAATGCCGAAACTGACTTGCTAGTGCCATTCATGAAAACTAGTAAAGGACAGAAAGCGTTCGCATTTCGTGGAGCAAAAATCTGGAATGATCTCAGCCGCGAGGCCAAGCAAGCTCCCTCTTTATCTTCTTTTAAGAACAGGATAAAGGGTTTTTTGTAAATTTATTGCAAATAGTTGTAAATAAATTATTTATGATTGTAATTAGTTTCCTTTTTTTGTTATTAATTTTAGTAGATTTTTTAATTTGTAATGTTTTTGGCACGGCCCCCTGAAAATCAGTCATGACTGACGGGGCTACCGTGCATAAATAATTTTAAAATGAAAAAATGAAAAATGAAAAAAAAAACGCCAGATATTATTATTTGTCTCAAATTTTGCCTACCCTTCCTCTTTCCATTAAATTTGTCAGCATGACAAGAAGTCTAGCATCTTGTTCCCAAACCATTCTCCAAAAGTCTTCAATAGTTTGATTTAAAGGCGCTAGAGAATGCAACAGTATGAAAAGGTAAATTAAAGTGCAATATATGTCATATTCAATTCAAGCGCCATGAAAACAGAAAAAAACAAGACTTGATAAAACAGAAAATAAATAGCATTAAAAATTCCTTGCTTGTGTTGAATGAATACTTAATCGAATCAAATCAAAGAGGGAAACGATTCCAGTGACTAAGTTGAACTCGCATTCTTAATAATCATCATAGCCAAATTAATATAAATTTTCTATTTGTCTTTAAGAGGTTTCCAAATTATGATTGCAGAATTCTGATTCAATGAAATTTCAGAGCCACTTGGTTAGTCAAATTAGAATAAAAATTCACTAGTTCTGGTTTTAACTGGAATAAAGACGAATCACCTTGGGTAGCAATGTAAGCATGTTTCTTTTCAAAACCCTGAAAGACAGAAACATATCAAAAACGTTGATGTGTAAAAAATTTACCAATATACGCAGACGAATAAACATTGCCAACGATCAGCTATTTCCAATGAGCAAAACACAACAGAGCCCTTTATCTCCCGCAATTAAAAAGACTCCTTCAAAAAGGGTAACACCTTTCCATTCAAAACAGATATTAAACAAGAAATCTTTGCCAAAAGAAACAAGTAGGTTTGAAAAAATACCGTATTTATAACATACACGAAACGTATTTATAACATACACTTACATCAACGAAATTTGCATTTATATAATTAGATGCAGGAACACCATCTATGGACATCAAACGAACCCTCGAGTGATCATCTATCAAATAAAGAAAATGAAATATCTAACAACCCGATGTGTCAAGAGTTATTTTCTGAGTGTTCGATTGTCATGCAAAAAACGACGTTATCCAGTCATAAACCATTTTACTCCCAAAATACAAAGAGCGTTGTCACATTACAAATTTAAGAACATGCTTAATTCTCATCCGAGACGATTTAAAATGATCGAAAATTCGAACAAATTAAGAATTCAATGAACAAGAAATTATCTTTTTCAGAGGCTACTCCACGATATTTACTAGGATAACGACTAACAATGATAATAGGATGAATCACAGCAGCGGAATGATTGCCAATATAATGGCTTTTAAGTGAGGAAATCAAAACAAACGAACAGATGACAAAACAAAGGCAAAAATGAAAACAAAACTTACAAGCTACCACATCTTGATACCTATTTTTTGATTTATTAATGTGAAGGGTAGAATGTTCCCACGTACAATCTGGTTTCGAAGGGCCGAGTGACTGAAGAAGAATCAAAACCTTATCAATTGTCAAACAAATAAAAGCCTGAAAGTTGGAGCTGAAAAATATTTAACAGTGATCAGATAAGGAGAACAGTAGTGCATTCACATTTCAAATAATCCACTCTACAGGATATGTGAAGTGGTGCTCATAAAGAAACGTTAGAGTACTAAACATTCTCACAGGACGCAGAAAAAATCCTTGATTCAACAAGGGAGCAAGTGTTTATAGCGAAGCACTTACAGGCAACTGCTAATGTCTAACATGAATCGTATAAGAATATTAAAGAATCAGCAAGGAAAATCGTTTGAAGTATCTGAAACCGTACGTAGAACTCTTCCGAAAACAGGTAATTTGAGTCGGCATGCAGTCTGGCAACATGCTCTTGAAATTCTTCTGTTGTGATTGTTAACTTTCGTTCTGAAAAAGAAAGAAACAGATCTAAATTGTAAGAGCTGCAAGTCCCACCATTCAAATTTATCAAACACTAAAAGGTAGGTAACCTTTTTTCATAGCTTATGAAAAGGGGGAAGCATAAAAAAGAAATGCAAACAGTTTCCAGTAAACGAATGGAAGAAGGGGCAATTTGAGAATCAACGTGCTCCGTTTTAAATCATAAAATCAAACAATTTTAAAATATCCCGGCAGAAAGATGAGTTCTGTTTGACTGAAGAGACTGTATGACTGTCCCTTTCAAACAAGCAGGTTAGCGAAAATCGAGTCCCCCACCCGTCGTCGTCTAATCAGTCTTCTAAAGGAATAAACACAATGTTCCAACCTTGTAGGTAGCAACCCGGCTAGAGAGATTCTGTCAGTTGCTAATCCAATCACCATAAGAGTGCCAAAAAGAAATCTTAGAAAGACAAACTTTAGAACTGTTTGGAAACCAGACCTATAAAAATCTCATAAATTTACTTGATCTGATAAATTCACTTAATCTCATAAATTTGCTAAATCTCATTAATTTACATATGAAATCCTTACCACTGCTGTGCATTCGTAATACTGATGATGACTGCTGATTGGATGGTTCTTCGATATAGAACACAGAGCGCCCATATTTATCAAACAGATTCTTTTTTCTACGATTTGAACAGATTTAAAAATACATACATAAATGCATCAGAAATATCATTTTTTAGCTGGCCATGTTAGGGAATGGACTAAGATCCTCTAGCAAAGCGGGGAATAGAGGGAGGTAATTTCAAGTTTGTTGTTTCCGTCCTACATCTAGTTTGAAGACAGGTTTTATGAACTCGGGAAGCAGAAAGGGCGTTTAAAGTTTACAAAATCTTGGAGGGAAGATAAGTTGTGGCACAGAGTTCATGAAATAAGTACAGAGACTTTGGAAGGGTAATTGAACGAGTATCCAGTGTTTTGTACTCGGGGGACCCTTGGTCAAATCTGGTTATGAAAAGGTGCATTCGACTGTCAAGCAAGCATTCAAAGCACCCACGCTCGAATAAGCCTCAATCTAAAAAATCACTTTTGCAAATAAGCCCCCCCCCCCTTAATAAGTCCCCATGGGGGTTTATTCAAGGGAAGCATAATTGCAGAAAAATTATATCTTATTTCAAGAAATCCCCCAAAGGACAATAGCTATACAGTATTACTTTCTTTGGCAGGAGACCAAAAAGCATAAAGCGACTTTTGTGATGATAAAAAGTTATAATATTTGTTAGATGTTCACGCTTTTTGTAATCTTGCAATTTTTTTCATTGAGAAAATTATATCGTTCCTATGTCGACCTATGAGAAAAATACTAAA